TGCCATGCTCATCACATTCTTCTTTCTACGTTTATTTTGTCCGTACCCGTACCCATCAATTTTCAACCTTTTCTACACAAAAGTAATATTATTTTACCTATTATTTCTTCAAAAACGATAAGTATGCATTTGATTTTTAGATGTAAAAAGTGAAAGAAAGATAATGATATATAACAAATATATATAATATCAACACTCTGACAAATTTATGACGCAATAGTGGGTTTCGTATGGAACCATTCTCTGTGTATCTGAACGCTATTGATCATTGGCAAAGTAATTAGTAGGAACTGGGAAGATATGTTGAGGTAAAAGATCATGTCATGTTTTTTCGTAGACGTTAACATTTCTCTTAATAGAATAGAGGCAAAGGATTTGCGGAAGGGAAGCAAATGATCTTCATTATCAAGCAACGATGATTCTTGTACTACTGAATACGTTTTTGAATGAAAGTTTACTTCCAAGTTATGGACATCAAGTTTATATGTATTAATTATATAAGTAAAGTGATCATTACAAAGGATAGTGTTATTAAAATAATAAAACGCAATTAAAAGATGCAATAAAATTAAATTAATCTTATGATGTGAGAGCATAAAAAGATATTATAGTTTTCTCTTCTTTAAATCCAAAAGAGAATATTTCGTAACCATTTTCTGACTAACAATACATGTTTCTTTATCATATGCGAGCCTATGTCATAGAAAAAGTTAAAACTTTTGTCTTGATCAAGAAAGGAACTTGATATAATCATGAAAGGCGTCATAAAATGTTAACCAAACATTATTAAGATTGAACTGATCCTGATTAAGAAGATAACTTGTAGTTTAAGCTTTGTTGTGAGAAGATAATTGAATATCGTCGACCAATTAATGGTAAAAGATTGAAAGCTTTGAGTTAGGATGATCCAACCTTTTGCTAACTTTTGCATTCCACGGGTGGGGATATCATATCATACAGTATAATTCTTTGTTTCTCCTGAAACAAACCTGTTAAAGTAATAGGAATCATAGATTTTTTCGCACAAATTAAAAATAATTAAATTGGATTGAATTGAATTGGCTCCGTCGATCAATTAGATAATTATAATTCGTTTTAGTTATTGATTTGGACAAGTAAAATACTAATTAAGAATCAGTTTAAATAAGGTATAAATAGATATCATTGAACTAATCAGAACCTGTTTTTTTATATTTTAAGATACTTTTAAAACAAATACAAAATCATATGTAAAATATAAATAAGACTTGATATTATTTAATTATAAATTTTTAAGATGTCATATAATTCTCGTATGTTAATTAAAAATTTTATTTAATTTTATTATAATTTTATATTAATATGTCATACAATATTCATCTATCTATATACACTTTATGTAGCTTTTTAATTTAAAAGAGTTAAATTCATTCATAAATATACATACTATTAATTTGAAAATAAAAGGTAACTATGACTCTCTTTTTTCATGAAAACTGACGTTTATTTATTTAACTGGAAAAATAATAAATTCCTTTAAATAATGTCTTAAATTTAAATTGTATGTATTAGCACAAAAAAAATTAATTTTATGAATGAAAATTAAATACAAGTTGTGAAAGATCTATCTCTTAGTTAAATTAATTCATCTAATTAGCTTAACTGAAATTAATTAGAATCAAAATAATTTTTAAATAGCAAATTCTAAGACTAAAATAATATTTATTATGTAAGCATATCATTAAGAAAATTAAGGTAAAACAAATATGACAAACAAGTTCTGAATAAGAAAAATCATTATCTGAAAAATAATAAGTAGAGTTTGAATAAAATATTATGATACTCGTTTTAATATCCTGGTTTTAAAAATATATTTGTTCTTAGATACATATTAATTACATTTAAAAAAAAAACAAAAAGAAGACACATACTTACATATATAGTAAATTTAATGTTCTTTTTTGTCTTTTTAAAATACTTATATACTCATTTTTACACTTATTACTCGTACTTTTATTAAATAAAATTAATATTTTATATTTGTAATTATCTGCTTATATAAGAGTTTAACACAAACATTATTTTTGTAAATACTCATTAAATCTGAAATCTAATTACCATCCGTAATCTATCTCGAATTCTTGAATATCCATCTACTTTAAGGCAAGAGACAGATTTGTTGAAAGATACATGCTGTTGAAGATGTAATGAAAATCATGGTCATCTAAAGGCACACAAATATGAAGTAATGCTTCCATAAAACCGAAATAAACATCTTTTTAAGACATTTAGAAAGGTGGTGGACATTATGACAAATCAACATCTACGAGCTAGCTGGTTGAACAAGCTTCAGATCGAGTACAAAGTCCAAATCATTAAGATGCTAGCAATTTAACTATTAAAGTAGATATTCTTAATTACCTTTTCATATTTGAAGTATATTTTTTTATATGTATATTATATAAATAAATAAACAAACAAAAAATAAGAATAATAACATGTAGTATTATATATTGATGTAATATCCAATTTTAATAATTCAAATAACATGCGATTATATATTACTATAGCTGAATTTTACAAAAGTCCTATATCGGATGGCCAGAAAAATAGTTAAGAGTGACTGATTAATTGTACCAAAAAAACTGTGCTCCTTTTATTTTGTATATTTTGTTGTTTAAGTTATATATATATATATATATATATATATATATATATATAGAGAGAGAGAGAGAGAGAGAGAGAGAGAGAGAAATTAAAATATTTTTTTATTACTGAACAGTTTTATTATATTTTCATTATAACATTTTTTTCTATTCTGTTTATTATTATTTAACTTTCTATAAATCTTCAATTTGACAAATTTGCTAAAGTAACGCTGATTTAAAACGAAGGGAGCTCGTTGTAGAAATACTTATTTTATTACTGTGCATTTGTTCTCTTATTTTTATCATTCTCATGTCATTATTGTTAATTTGTTATTGTTATTTTTATTACTTTTATCATTATCATCGATATTAATTGCATAAACTCTATATAATATTGTCCATAGTTATTTTTAATAAAAATTATTAAAATAAAATTTAAAGTCTAATTAAATTATAAGTTAATTTTTTTTTAATTTAAATATAAGAATAATGATTCTAAATCAATTCAATTTCTTACTGAATCAAAATTTTAGTGAGCTCCTAGTGAAATTTATCAATTAACAATAAATATATTTTAAAAAGTTCTATTTACATTTTTTTTATTTTGTTAAAAAAGAAACCAAACAATTTTTTTTCAACGTACACTGAGCAAATAAATTGAAGCAAAATTGAAATATTATATGGGCTTGGGACCAGGGCAATCTTCATTATGAGCTGGAGCCCAATAAAAAGATATTGGACTGCACTGGAATATTTGGCCACGTACTCTCGTCATTCTAATATAAATATGAGAAAAAAAATTATAAAAATTTATGGATACAGATTACTTAGATTAAATTGTTGGAATATATAAATTTTTATTTAGGTCCTCTGGTTTCACCCTATCAACGGGGATAAAAAAATACTAACCAATTGGGAAAGAAAACGACACCACGATAACCTAATTGATTCAAAATCATTAATGCAAATTGCTAAACCCAAACGATAATTAGTAACAAGGATTTTATGTAATTTAATTTAGAATGCAAGAGATTATCCATTTGTAATTTTTTAAATTATAAATAAAAAATTATTAAAAATATTATTAATGCACTTTTATTATGATTTCTAAATATATTTTACTTATTAATTATTTAATTAATATTCGTAAGATACACTCTTTTAGTGGATTTAAAGGGAGTTAGATATAATTTGACTTTTCTTAAACTACTGAAATTAATTAAAACACTAAACATAACACTATAGCACAAACCTGATTGGTGGCGGTTTAAACACAGAACAAGTTAATGAAGACAACTATCTTCTGAATCATACTTTTGTGTCTGTTTGTGTGTGTCAGAATGCGAAAGACTTAAGGAGACGACAACACTACCCACTTTTTTTAGGTTACACAATATGGCATATAAAATATTTTACCAGTTTAAGGAGTGTAGAGAGAGATTTCCTGTAGTTATAATATTAAAATGGATTTGTTAACGTAAAAATATTAATTGAAAATTTAAAAATAAAAGCTTTTATTAAAAATTATGATATAGTTGTATCAAACCTATAGTTATATTCATAATAGTTTTTTTAATAAAATGTTTTATTTTGATTTTTCAAACCACTATCTTAAATAAAATTACTAGTATTCTCCTAATCAAACTGTAGATTCGTTATATAAGTGACAGATAATTAATTATAAGTATAAAGTTGACACTGTATACGTTCAATTATATTTGAACAAGAAAAGTTTCATTAGTAGGCTTAAGAACTTCTCTGTAACTTGAATCTATATATAAAAAAAATCCATGTGCTAATAGAAAAACAAAGTTAGTAATGAATTTGATGTACTCATTGATATAATAAAATTTATTTAAAGAAAATTAAATTGATGATATAAGCATTATAGTTTACATCAACACTATGAGTCTATGATTAATAATATATATGAAAAGAAATCTGTTTACTCCAAGAATATAAAATTGACTGAAACAATTGATTGAGATGAAACAATGAAAGATATAAAATTTAGTGATGTTAGTTGAAAGAAAGACTTGATCTAACATCAATAATCATATATTAATATGGCTTATCAAAAGGATTTTCATTGACCTGCACAAACTTGTGAACGGGTAAGCATAATCAATGTTGAGAAAGTGAAATGAATTCCACATGCAATGCCTCATTGCCTTGTCTTGACATATTTGGCTCAGCCACCCCAAATGCAAATTTTCTTTGATTCAAATGCAAGCCACCCTCTATTTCTCTTTCAAGTTCCGTTGACTTTAATATATAGTCTTCCAAACCACTACTTCCTTAGCCATAACCTTCACTATGACATAACCATTTTTATTTTCTCCTTGAACAAGCTGCTACTGTTTGATCAAGAAGATGAGCAACACAGGTGATACTAATTCCCCTGGTTTCCTTGGCTCCAGTAACATCAGTGGCTATAGCTATGGCATAGGAATTTCCATTGGAATTCTCTTGCTCATTATAACCATCACGCTAACATCTTACTTTTGCACCAGAATACAAGTGTCAACTGCTACATCTACTAGGAATAGGAGAAGTGCCCCTAATGCCCTTCAACCACATCACTCTATAGTTGATGTAAGTTTAGATGAAGCCACCATTTTGAGTTATCCAACCCTGTTGTATTCTGAAGCCAAGCTACAAAAATCTGATTCCACTGCAACATGTTGTTCCATATGTCTGGCTGATTACAAGGGTACTGATATGCTGCGTGTGTTACCTGGTTGTCGGCACCAGTTCCACATCAAGTGCATAGATCCATGGTTGAGATTGCATCCCACTTGTCCAGTTTGCAGAACATCTCCAATCCCAACACCACTTTCAACTCCTCTGGCTGAAGTTGTTCCATTAGCAAGCAGACAGGATTCCTAGGTATAACAAAAGAGAATTTTGACTTAAGTCATCATTGATTCATAAAATAGATGAGATATGGAATTTCTCATATTAAAGATGTATTTATCCATTGAGTTTGTTTTTTTGCTTCCTGGTACGTATTACTTGCTTGATCCTACACTTGATTTTTATCTTGTACCCTTTACATAGGGAAATAGCTAGTTCAAACATTGTCCTACTAAAGATACAAACTGTGGGAATGCCTCAATTTCTCCTTTTCAGGGTGGTATGCGTGGAGAGAATTGAATCATCATTTGTTTAACAGTGAAGTTTGAGAATCTAAAATAGAAATCATAAAACTATTTTCAGAAGTAGTCTATTGAGAATATATATACACACACACACAATGTTATTCATAATTCGGTAATTCCTTTGAATTTTTTGGTATCAGGTATGGCTAGATTCTGCATTTATGTGTGTTCAGTGCCAACTTTAGTTACTAAACAGTCACTAAAGAGACACAACTTGAAACATTGTTGTACTCCAACATATGGCTGACTTAGTTTTACGTTACTGACCTAAAAGTGGCTACACCCATTAAATTAGTCACCTTTTTTCTCTATTCACAAAGATAAAAGTAAATGGAAAATAGACAATTCGAATAAGAGATGTTATTTTCGCTTGCTATAAACAGCTAGACATAAATAAACATAATAGTTAGCTTCAGACTTTCAGTAAAAACATAACCTCACTCAACTTCGGCGTGAGTCTCAAAATCCTTTGTATTAATGTCCTGAGGTTATTTTATATGTAAACCACACCCTTTACAAAGCTTATGTCAGATTCATAGAATTTCAAATTTATTTATTATCTGAGCACAAAAATAATTTTTTTTGAAATGCCTAAAAATTCAGATTGATTCTGGAAACATTAAATCAGAATGAATAGAAAAAAGCGTGTGAAGTAGCCGGTAAAGCTTATAGTGAAACAACATTACAGTTCTGCAATTCATGAATGAACATTAATGCCTTATCCTAAAATGAAGGCATTTGCATCATCACAGAGGAAAAAGGATTTTGTGTAAAAAACAACCAAAATGGAGCTGCATGCAAAATAATTTACATTGGAGAATAGCATATTGAAGCTTAGGAGATAAGACAACAAACAAAAGAAAGAAAGAAAAACAGAATAAACGCCTTTTCTTCACAAATCACAAAAACAAGCCATTCTATGTCTCTACTCTATACTAGTATACCTTAAATCTCAAATACTATTTGCCAATTTAATTCTGGCTATGATCAGCAATATTCTGCACCGGTCCTTTAACAATCACATTTTACTTTGCTAATTTTATCAGTATCGTTCTTGGTCGTTCTCCTACGTGTATTTCTCTCAGTCATCCCTGCTGAAGATTTCCGTCTCGTCACTGTAAATGTCCAAATCTTCTTAAACACTTACATGTCATTTCATTTTCAGATGAGGATTCCTTCAACTTGGCGCAAATCGTTTCCTTCCATAATCATTATTCTTATTATTTTACCACATACCTCAATATTTCATCACATTAACCATGTTAATTTTCAAACATGTCGTTTCTAATAATCCAATATATATATATATATATGTATGTATAAAATCAATGCTCCATTTGATACCTAAATTAGGATTCTCAAAAATAGATTTTACCTCCAGGTCAAATTAACTTAAGAGAAGTATTCTCCTATCCTACGGGTCACAAAATGGTAAAACAGAAAACTCGAGACTAAAGGAAAATTTGAAGTATAGCAAACAAAGCCCCAAATAAGAGTTGAAGAACCAAAAAGGATGACTGGTAACTCCAATCTAACGAAAAAACAAGCTCTACAAAACTGTTGCCAATAATTGAAAAGTGAGATACATCAAGTTAATTGAAAGCCGAAACAACCAAAAGAGATATGCATATCCAATTTAAAGACAGCTTAAGTGATCCTAAATTGAAACCACCGCTAGCATCAAATTCAACCAGCTTATATATCATGGTGCTCCCAATAATTAATTAACAATACTCTGTATTAGCCAAAAGATAAGTGACAGAACCAGAAAGGCCAATATAATGCAATAATCCAAAAACTAAGCGTTACCTATTTGTTGGATGGTTGTACTTACTTTTAAGTATTGATATGTGGCGATTAGAGGAGTAATTCATTACAACTTAGATTAATTATATAGTTAACTTCCTGATAATAATGTATAAAATAAGTCCTATAATCACTAAAAAAATGACACTATCATTATGTTGAAATTGTATCTTATTGCCATTAGAATACAGAATTGCTTTTTTTGTTGGTATCGCCGTTTGTTTCCTAATCCAGCAAGGCAGCAACAACCATAAGCAAAATTTTTCAAATGTAGTCAAATTTAATATGACGGATTCTCTTGATCAATAATGCCTAAAAGACTTACAAAGTTTCTTTACTATATCATATCTTCCCCTTTGTGTGTGTATGAGTGTCTTCATGCGCATATGCTTGGTTCAGACTTACAAAGTTTCACACTATTGTTGACGGGATATCAAATTTAATCACACTTTGTTCCTTCTTGTTAATTATTTTTAATCCCTTAAATTGGTTAATTAAAACCACTATCTTTCTGATCTATCGGCATCTGTCCTAAATTAATTCTTTCTGCCACAAGCACAGTTAAGTGTAGTGTCTTTTACTCGTGTCATGACCTTGTTAGCTTTCATTTGCCTTTGTTGGAGTACGAAAATATAGCTTTCAAGTTGGGGGAGGGGGATGGTAATCGGATTTGATGTAGCATATTCAGTTCTTTCCACTATCTAATACCCAAAAGGCATATTAATTGGTTATGTGTTAATTTGAAGATTCACTAATCTCTTTGCTTATATCATATAGTGTGATATTTTTATTTGGACTGTCTTGTTTCTCACCATTTGTCACGTTTGCAGGGTTCGTACTCTTTGAAGATGAAGATGTTTGATGGAAACAAACTGAAACAAGAGTTGACTTGCAATGGATTTGGTTTTGATAGAGTTTATTTCCACTGTGGCTGATAGCTGCTGAGTTAACTCAAGTATAGATCCTGAAATATATTATCAGGTTCATCAAAATTATTTGTACAAACTGCAAAGTTTCTTTTCAATACTAGATTCCTTGTATTATAGCCCAACTTTACTAGTTTTTTTAGGTACAGAAATCATAAATGGATTCTCACGACCAAAAAAAATCATAAATATATTCTTAGTACGTGCAAGGGTTAAACTATACAAACTTGGTACTTCTTTGATTAATAATGCTAATCACGCTCATTGTTTAGCTGTGATGCTATATTTTAATTAGATTTTTTAACATAATAAGTAATTAATATATAATGTTTTAAAAATTATAATATTTGATAGTTTCAAAATATTAAATTGAAAATATATAATTTAATTTTTTTTAAAAATTCTAAGCTAAAAGATAGCATTAAATTACGTTGAGTTCTATTAATGTTAACAAACAACCATAATATATAATTTTTTATAACGTGAATGCTACACAAGGTAAAAAAATCCAACTTTAGCATATTCCTTATCTCTTTTTAATACATTTGGGATAATAAGTTGAATTTACATTAATATATGATGGCATGGATGCATATGCATGCTTCATGAGGAATAATAATATCGTATTTTTTTAATATATTTTTTAATATCAATTTAAGAGATATAAATATTGTATTTTTTTTATAAAAAAAAAACAGACCAATAACAATAAATATGTTGAATAGTATATTAAAAAAAGATAAAAAGTATTATTCATTGATTAAAATTAAAATTTATTTTAATAAAATATTTATATTTATTGTTATTACAAATTATTAAAGTAAAATTTATATCTTAATAAAATAAAAAGTTTTATTAACTTCAACCTTTATGATTGAGAATAAACAATTAATAATGATAAGATTTTATTAAAAAATATTTATTTTATTTGTATAATTTTAATAAAATAAATATATTTTTTATAAGAGATAATTTATAAATATTTCATTTCAGCTTTAAGTTCTGAGAATTGATTTTAACAAAATTCTAAAATAAATAATACTAAAAATACTTATGATATTAGGGGGGTATTGTAAGTATTTCTCAGTTCTTCGTTGCGTCATTTTAATAAAAACTTGCATTGCAAATAATAAATAGACGCACGAGAAAGGACTAGCCTGTGCAGAACATAGTGTACTTGGCTTTAAATTTGGGTGTACTCAGCTTTAAAGTTTACTGATGATTCCATAGTCTGATCAGATGCGATATCAAGGTGAGTCGCATTCATGTGCTTGGTTCATTAAGTGCATCCTCAACCTTATACCTATGTCTACAGATCGTACAAGGACGCAAGGGTGTATATGCTAAGCCACATTTGTGTTTCAACTTCCAGCTTTCCACATGTTTAGTGGTTGATGCACTTTTTGGGAATAGACATGTAACCGGTTGCATCTTTTAGTGCTTTTCTTAATCTTGCCTGCAACAATCTTTAGGTCTTTCCAGTGTGCCACTTTATGTGCGTGATTACAGCATTTGATTGCGGATGGAAGGATTAAAAATGCAGTAACATTTTTCTAACTGTTTGACACCCTAGTGGTGGACATAAAAGTGAGGAATTGTGTTTAAAAAATATAACTTGTATTTTTATTTAAAAATTTCACAAAACTTTTTACAATATATATATATATAAGATGATTGATGTAATAAATAATTTTTTAAAATAAAATAAAAACTATTATAAATTTTTTTTAATTAAGCATGAAGTTACTCTTAAAATTATGTGGTCTATCTGAAAGAAAAAAAAATAATCTGTCATGAAAACTTCTTTTGAAAGGGATAAAATGAATAGATTGACATTGGAATAATAAAAAAAATTGATGATTTTTTTTTCAAAGAAGAGTGGATATAAATCCAAATTCTCTTCCGTAACTAGACGTCCTGTGTCACGTTGATTTTGTAGTTTCGCTTAAGCCAAAAATTTTGTTTAAGCAAAAATGCAAAATTTTGCTTGACTAAACCGTCCAATTCACGCCAAAACGAAAAAGAATCTCGGTCCGAGTGGATACGGAAACACAGTAACTGCCAATAAATTTTAGGATTATTCTTTTACATATGGTTTTTAAAAAATATATATACTAAGATATGGTATTTTAAAAAATATTAAAAATTGCCACTAGTAATTTTTAAAATAATAATAAAATAATTTAAAATTTTTAAAAATAAGGCACTGTCAATTTTTAATTTGCCTCAAATGACATATTATGGTAATATGGTCCCAAATCCTATATTTAGGTAAATCTTTTATAATATATATATATATATATATATATATATATATATATAAATACCCTAAATTTTAAACTTGATATTTATTGAAATCTATAAATATTTAAATATGCCTATGAGAAATTTAACAATATGGACAAGTTCTATCATGATGTTCAAGGAACTATAAATATTCGCCATATTAATTCTTAAACAACAACCAAATTAATACTCTCATGACTAACATTTACAGTTCCTTGAAAATCACGATAGAAGCTGTCTATATGGTGAAATTTCTCATAGGATAATTTAATATTTAAGAACAACCAAATATGACCAATAAGACCGTCATTTACATTTTTTTGTTTTTTGCTTGACTTGCATTTTCAAAGACTAATGCTTTCGTTACTACATTTTCATTGATAAATTTAAGAATTTACTCTGAAATCAATCTTTCTCTGTTACTTGTTTCTTTTTGGGGGTGAAATTGGCAACAACTCAAGTACCTGGAAAGAAATGGAGTCACTGCACAAGATCACCACTGAATATGTATGTATGCAAATTTACAAATCTCTTCTCCTTTTGTTCCTGACAAAGCCGTAGGCAAGTAAAATATTTATTGATCCCAAAGGTTACAATTTGAGGAGGAAGACGCGGCTTTAACACAAATGGTGGCGAATCATGACCAAAGGCACACTTTGTCTCCTTTGCATTTGGCAAGCAAATAAATGTGGTCCAAGGGCACCCCGAGTAAAATTGGTATCAAACCAACTGAATCATGTGCCAATTTGAGGTTATATAAGGCTATAGCATATATAGTTCCCCCCATCAAATAGGTAAAAATAAATAGGGGAATAATAATTATAGCCACTTTATTGTTTTCATTAATTAAGAATATCCTTCATATTCCACACCATGATTGAAGCACCAAATGGTAGGTAGAGGGTCAGTCCACTCATGTATGATAAAAGATGAGGAGTGGGTATAGCCTTGCCCCCACACCATGCAGTGATCATTCAAAAGCAAACCCAACATCACACAACACAGCTTTACAGTTTCCACTTTATATAACCCTCTGGATTCTGGAAGAAACTAAAAGAGATAACTTATCGTTAACCACACTGTCCTCCTCTATTCAGCATCTCCCGACCAGTCATTCTCACCCTCTTCTTTCTCCAATCCTTAGGTGGGTAACACTAACACACCACACCACACCACATGCCATCAAATTTCACAGAGCTACAAAACATGAAAGGAATAATGAGAAACAGGTTCCTTAGAAAGTTGAAACTCATCCCAACCGTAACCAACATGAAACAACAAGGTCTAGTTCTTCAGCTCAACACAACCCCAGATGTGTTTTGCATCCACAAGCTTCCAACTCCACCAATCTATGATGTTCATCACAACCTGGCACAGCTAGAGATTGAGAATGATCACAAGCATGTTGAGGAGGAGGAAGAAGAAGAAGCCAAAGTAGGGTGCAAAGAGACAGAACTTGCAGAAGAGAAGTTGTTAGTGGCTCATAATAATTTGTCACAAACCAATAAGATGATGGCATGCAAAAATGAATACCCGTCACTCGCTGATTTTAAAGAGATGTGTCCACCAGGGGGGAGCCACTCAATCATTCTCTACACAACAAGCTTGAGAGGAATAAGAAAAACGTTTCAGGATTGTAACACAATCCGTTTCTTGTTGAGGAGCTTTAAAATAGTGTACCATGAAAGGGACGTGTCTCTGCACATGGAATATAGAGAGGAGCTATGGAAGATCCTGGGAGGCAAAGTGATTCCTCCGAGGCTTTTCATTAAGGGGAGGTACATTGGAGGAGCTGATGAAGTGGTTGGGTTGCATGAGATGGGTTGGCTTGGGAAGTTTCTAGAAGGGACACCGACACATTCTTCTGATTGCCCTTGCATTGGCTGTGCTAACATGCGCTTCGCTATATGTTCCAACTGTTGTGGAAGTTGCAAAGTCTTTGCCGGCAATGGGGATAACAACGATGAATTGTTCGTTAGATGTTCCGAGTGCAACGAGAACGGCCTTGTCAAATGCCCCCTTTGCTGCTAGAATTTTATCTCACTAGAAGAACCTTGGGTGCGTCTGTTCTCATTTTTAGTTGATATATTTTTACTATAATTATGAAAATATTACTTTATTTTTGCTTGATATCTTACTTTCAAAATTTTGTGAAGGAAAGGGTGATAACAAGATTTTGTTGTTCTCATCAGTTTCTCTATGAATTTATGAAAGTAAGAAACAAAGTAAAAATAAAGTGATGTTTTTATAATTATTGGGATCAACTGAAAATGCAAAGAGAAAACTAATCAAAGGCCGCCATAGGTTTCGTATCTCATTCTTCTTGTATTATATTTAGTTAATTTTCTTCTTTCAACGTAATTTTTCTTGTTTGGCTGGTAACATGCTAGCCTTGTCTATCTGGTAGAGTTCTTAGACTGTAGATGATGTAGAAAGTCGCTAATTTGTTGTAAAAACTACAAGCTGATGCTGTGTAGGGACTAGTAAACATGCCATCACATGGTTATTATTATTGCAGTATAGTAATTTAATGGAAAAGTTGAATTGAATTCGATGTTTCCATAAGTAAAATTTTATCAATTTAGGTGAAGGATATATGGCTTTTGAAGCAAAAATTTGTAAAAAGTAGTCGAACAAGGAGTAGTTATTGCCTGTTAGAAATATGGGAGAAAATAGTAGAGATATAGACAATATATATAGAAAGCGAAATACAAGAAGAAAAGAAACAAAATTTAGAAGCAACAAAAGATGACCATCAATCATGCAAATTAAGTACTGTCATTGAGATATAGATCTCCCCTCACTTCAGAGTAAGGCTCCATGAATGTAGCCTCAAAAGGTAACCCATATGATTTGATGTGGGTAAACTAAACCGAGACAGCTCATCGACACATGATGAGCCCTCTTACTCGACTATGTAGAACATTTGTCGTTTTTCAATAGGCAAGAAACGTAGGAGTTTTGAGGAAACTCTTCTAGTGTGCTAGTACTGCAAGGAGAACTAGGCGATGTTTGACTGAACTCGCTGAGAAGTTTTGATAAAAATAAATAAATATAAAGAATAATAAAACTTTTTGATTGAACTCGTAGAGAAATTTTCATTGAAATAAATAAATATAAAAAATAATAAAACTTCTTTTATAAATTTTTAAATTTTAGAAAAGTAAAATAATTATTTTTCATAAAATAAAGTATAAGTTATTTAACTTATAAAAAAATTATTATTTTTTATACTATGAACTTTTTGAAAAAATTACATAAACACAGTCAGAAATGTCAACAAAATTAGTAGGGGTAAAAGGTCTAGTTTTGATTATGGTAAAAAATAAAAAATAAAACTAATTAACTTAGTCAGAAAGCTGCTCAACTACGCGTAAGTGTTGTGGTACGTCAAAAGAAGCATAAGTGGAATCTAATTAATCTGGTTTTAGGTTACGGTGGAGCATAGTATTTGACAAACTAAAATCATAAGATAGTGTTTGTTAGTTTTTTTATTTTATTTTCATTATTATTTTATATTAAAAATTTGAAGATCGTCTTACAAAGTTTAAAACTAACGAAGAATTTTTTAAATCTAAAAAATTAAAACGTCTACCTCAGTTTCAAGTTTTGATCTGCAGTTTAATTCAACTTAACAGTGTTCGACTTTTTTTTTTGTGGTTAGCTTCAATTTCCCTTTAAAAAAATATGGTAAGACATACTTAAAAGGGTTTTTTTTTTTAATAACGAACATAAGCGTAAAAATGAAATTTTTGAAAAAGTTAATTAAAGGAGTGTCTATTTTTAGAAGAATATAAGCTAAAAAAAGTTAGAATAAACACTACTTTATAGGTGTGAGGCCAAATTGTAAATTGAAATATTCTCAATCTTACTTGAATACCATCACGTTATATTTAACAATGGACAATATGGATACATAAAAACTCTTTGAGAGTCTATAGGCTCTACCCCAAGTAATGTAGGACTTAAAGCCTTAAGCAAAACATACAGAAAAGTCAGTTTGAAACCAAGACCTACAAAGACTAACATTCCTGCCCTCCTTTAAATAAATAGTAAATAAAATGGAAAGAAAGAAAATTAAGAGCCAATAATGTGTTCATTGGAGCACCAAAACCGAAGCACAAAAATTGGGTCGAGTATAATTAGCAGGTTCGTGAATCATGGTCACGGAGGCATGCACATGCATATTTACTTAAAAGTGGGTTGGGGACTTACAACAAAGTGTTCATATGATTAATCCACAATAGCGTGTTTCGAAGGAGTGGAAAATATTTTACTCTTTAGTTTCTGTGTACTAATGCTCAAGTGCACGAGAATGAGCAAAATGCCCAAATAAACTATGCCAATATTAATTATTAGATGCCAAAATCACTTTCCCACGTTCCTCATTATCACTTATCAGGTTAACACATTTTTAAATAGCTTTTTGCAATTAATGGATAACTATTTCTAGTAGTATACATCTATTTTTGTTTAAGCCAAATTTACATCGAATATTATATGTATAATCTTCGTTAAATAAGCTAATCTCATTATATTATAGATAATTTTAAATAATGAATTGTGCTAGATTCTTTAACAAAGTTAATTATTAAATTTTTATTCTTTTTTCAGGGATAGTGACCACGTAGCCATATATGTTTATCCTTTTAACTCGTGTAAATAAGCAAAAGACTAACTTTAATCGTACCTTGTGATAAAAAGTAGTCCCCTGTAATTTTATCTCATTAATTCCCATAATTGGAATATAAAAACGAAGAATTAGAGGTCCAACACAAAGCCACGAAGGTGGGTGGTATAAGTTTGGATAGAAGAAAAAGGATGAACAGTAAAGTTTCTCCTTTTTTTTCTTACAAACATTATCCTTACTGAGAAAAAATTAAAATATATAAAGAAAAAACATCATGTAACTTCTTAATTATTTTTAATTGATCTGTAAATATTTTCCAAATAATATGAAAATTATTGTAGTCTTTTTCTTTCCTTCTTTTTTGCAAGATCTTTTGTAAAAAAAATCCTTTTTTTTTAAAACGCATCTTTCTCGAACTATCTCCTATGAATCTTTAATGTTCTTAAAATCAAATTACCTAGATAGACTTGATGGTCGTAGTAGTTGGACAATAAACTTGACAATTTTCGACTTAAACATTATGCAGTTTAATTACAGTTCAACCACAAATTTCAGCAATTAACTAAACCAACTGAATCATGACTTGAAATTTAGCATGTTTGCTTTTTGAATTTGACTTTTAAAACATTAATTAGGGATAACTACTTGTACGTAAATAACCTATACTATACATGCGTCCAATTGAAATTAATTGTTATAACATTTTGTAGTCTACACTGATAATATAATATATTTGCAGTATATATGTTAAATTTCGGAATAAGTGTTTGTAATTACCGGAAACAAATTTTTGTTTAGTTATTTAGAACTGTGTTCTAGAAATTTATACTTTTGTTTATTCACAAGGGTATTTTTTTTAAATAAAATTTACTACTAAAATTTAAACACTTTAACACACCATTAGTTAATTAAAAAATTACGAAAGTCTCACTTTTAATTAATTAATTTTTTTAGCTTAAAATAAATTTTATTAAATAATTAAAAATATATATATTAAAGTATGTGTTATTAGCACCACTGAATATTAGATAAGTTAAAAAAAGAAATTGAAGAATAAGTATTGTAAACACGTAATAATTTCAATTACATTAATATGGATCTAGATTCTTTCTCATTGTAGCAGAAATTAAATGCCTAATTCTATTTTTGTTTAAATAAAAATAAACTTGCTTAAATGAAAATAGAAAAAATCACAAACTTTTTTTACAAAAAATTAATTTTAATAAATTTTACGTATTTACTTAAATAAATTTTATTTGCTTAAATGAATTTTGTAAAGAGGAGAATTGGATGTAAGAAAGAAGAGGGTAGGGGTGGAAAGAGAGGAAGGTGAAGTAGTTAGATATGGAGTAAAAAGAAAGAAGTGGGTATAGAGTGAGATAAGGTAAAGATAAAAAGAAGAAAAGAGAAATTAGATATAAGATAGAAAGAAGAGAGGAATTGAATGAGTTAATAGAAAGAGAAAAAAAGAGTGTTAGACATAGAGAAAAGAAAAAAAGAAGATTAGAAAAAAATACAAAGCGAACTTAAGGTAAAAAAAATTCACTTCAAAGTTTAAAAAAAATTGTTATTTTTTCTTAAATAAAAATGGAATGAAATGTCCAGATCCGAATCCCATTAAAATTCACTTCATTTACACCTTTCTCTCCTATACTTCAAAAGCTTCAAAAGTAAACCACCGGCTTTCGGTCTCATAAATTGTTTGCCAAAAATTTGAAGTTAGTTTTGTACCCAAAATTATATTTTTAGTGGTGACCCACACACATTCAGTTAAGTTAGAAAGCAAGAACGAATCATTGTTACATCCAATTAATAGATTTGACTTCTCTAAAATATAAAATTTATAAAGTGAGAAAGTAAAGTTTTACTTATTTTTAATTTAAAGGTTAATTATTTGGAGTAAATGTTTAAATTTAAATTAATAGTGTATATATACTCATTTTATCACTGTACAATTATCTTCACTTTAAAAAAGTAAAAAGCTAAATCCCAAAATAAGAATAAAGAGTATAACGAACAATATGTAAAGTGGATGAGAAAAAGAAACGAGAATCAAAAGAAAGCCACAATAATAATAGTGTATAATTATAACCTCGGAATCAGAGAATAAAATAGACGTAACATGTGCCTAAGGAGCCTGCAAAAAGTTATGAGGCATTTACGAGTAGAATCTGTTCAGAACTACGTGTCAGATGCCAAAAGTCTGCGCTCACTTGAAAAGGAAATTTCAGAGCCATTTACAGAATACCCTTCCCAAGAAAGATTACAGGTAAAACAAGGCAAGTGTCACGCCAAACTTCGCAAATAAAAGCTCAGCTCAGTCATTAAACAAGCCTCCATTTGTTAAAATAAATAAAAAAAGACACCAATAATTAATGTAGTAAGACTGGTTAGCTAGCATAAACGCACTTTCTCCAATTTACAGTACGATTTATGTAGATGCCTCGGTTATTGCAATATCAAATATGTCAGGTGCAGCCATTGAAGCTTCAACCACTGGAGTTGCAAACCAAGACTGCAACAGTTGGGTGTAGTGAAACTCAATTTGTAGTAGTCTATGATAAAGGGGTGTTGAAGATATGAGACCTTTCTTGGCATCAGCTTCCAATTCTCTGATAGGAATTGCAGCTAGGAAGTTTTTAATATATTCTTTGCATGCTTCCTTCCCTCTGCATATAACCTCTTCTTGCTCACTCTTGAACTGTTCTTCTTGCCCTGCAACAGAATCCACCTCCTTACCGTTTACTTGTTGGGTTTGCCCAGTAGTATTAGGCTCTAAAACTTCTGCCACAGTTTGCTGATCACTGGGTGTTTTATCATCTGATGAATTAGCAACATTCTGCATTTTGTATATTACTGTGTTGCTGTCAAATTTCAAGATATATGCCTGATTGCATCCTTCATAAAGCCTCTCCCCCAAAGTGTCAATGATGTAGTAACAATCAGATTCAACTTTGAGTACGAAAAAATGGTCATTCCAACTAACAATATAAACGTGGGGTTCACCATTGCTAGGGCACTCTTGTTCAGCACAACAACTAATCTCATCCCAAATATTATCAAAGGACATGGCACCTCGCAGAAAGTCGAATCTCCCCTCATCCATCCCTTCTGGATGAAAAAAACCAATGAAGGACTTCTCGGGAACCACAGAAAGTGGGCGTATTTTGGCCTGAATTACTGTTTCCAGATCAAAATGCTTGTCAGGGAACCGCTCCCTATAGGTTTCATTGTCACACAGGTTCCTCCATTCTGAGGAGCCTTCTCTAATTAGACTATCAAACTGCGACTTTATGGGCATAAGATCACGATTGTTTTGGAACCAGTCAGCAATTACAGCAACAAGAGCTGTACATGCACTCTCACCTGCTGCACGTTCACTCCGTTGATCAATTGAGGCAAAGAAGACTTGTGTCCGAAGCTTCATGTGACCATCACGACTCATGACTTCTTTCTGTTCCCAACTCCCCACAGCAAAACTGTCCTCCCCAAATTCAGAGACTGATGTTCGATTTGCTGACAATTCATCCTCAGTCTTGTACAACTGCCAGAAAATATAAAACATCAACATCGACAAAATATTAAGTCAGAAGTTAATGTCACTAATTCCTGGTGTATATATATGGCTTATGTAAAGCATACTTTCATTGAAAATCGGATATTTATACACTACATTTTTTTTAGTTGACAACCATTACTAGACAAATGAGAGCTGGGCTAAAACTGTCAAAAAAAGAACAAGTGTAAAGATTTTCATACAAAACATGGATTGATACTCCAATGAAGAGGAAATAAGTTTTAAGCAATAGGCTTACCCTCAAAGAAAGAGATTCATCAGAGCTAAGTTGGCGGCGATCAAAATCTATGTCATCACCGCCGTCTTCTGCATAGGCCTTCTTTAACAACGGCTCTCCCTTGTTAGATTTAGGAGATCTAAAGTTCAACTTCCTCTTCCTCCATGGTAGTAAGCTGCGCTTTGAACTTTGTAATAAATAAGGCTCGGAAGAAGAAGCAGTAGAATCCTCCATGTGCGAACATCCAACATCTGACTTGCGATGGCTGTAGTAAACCCAGTCTTCATCCTCACAATTTACCCTCATGTTGGAATGAAAATACCCTCCAGCATTTGCGTAGGCTAGCGTTCCATAACTGAACGACTTCCTAACACTGGAATCCTCCTTTCCCTCATCTGAATCTCCTTCCTCAGAATCATCAAGCGAGTCAGTGTCCAGAGGGTAATTGTATTCACCATCCTCACTCCTGGAGCACCTACCTTCACTTCCTTCTTCCTCACGGCATGCCTTCTTTGCTTTCTTGGATGATACATAGTCAGTGAAAATCTTTACTTTCCGAAGACCAGCTTTAATTGCAGATAGCTCATCTTTTTCTACAGAGGTTGTTTCTCCTGATTTGACTGAGGGCGATGGCATAGGCACTATGGACCTCTGAACTTGTTCCATGCTTTCTTGAGTGACTCTTAGCTCCACCAAGCTAATTGATATCTGCATTCAATCAAGAGCTATTATGGCAAGTACAAAGAGAATAAATGGAAGCTAGAATGTTAATAGTTATGACCCTAAATTGGACCGGCCTACATGCAGAGATGCCAATTTTTAAAAATTAAAATTTATGGGATGAGATTTTTAAAAATACTTAAAAGAAGAAGAAAAAAAACTGGGAAGTGGCTTACACAAAGTATAGGAGAAAACTCTCCAGAACCCCCAGGCTGCGTAAGTGGAATGTTCAATTCAAAATCTTTTTGATCAGTTGAAGATGCAAATTCAGCGATATTCAATGCTGCCGTTCCAATAGCAGGAACCTTGCTTTTGGGCCCTTGATTCAAACCCTGCAACAGAGAAGGAATCCAAATTCTGTTTAGATAAATAATGACGCGACGCCCTTTCAATTAACCCGTGGAACTGAAAACATCTGTTATATATTTCAAATTAGCCAATTAACCAAAGCCAAATTTAAAAAAAAAAAAAAAAACACAAAAATCACAATCACAAAAGAGTAAAGTTCTCAGTGAAAGTAAAAAACCCTTTTGGTTTTCAATAAAATCCCCAATCTTCAGCAAGAAACAAAAGTCAACAACGATGTTATCAGTAAAACAGACATAGAAATTAACCCGCAACTGTTCAGAATTATGACCAGAAAGATGGGCATGTGAAAGATAAGACAGAAGAAAATTCACAGCCCCAGACAGAGACACATGTAAATCGGTGACTCATAAATTAAAGAGGGGAAAAAAAACAGATGAAAGAGAACGACGGGGACAACCCGAGAGAAACAATCACCCCAAAAAAAAGTCTCAAGACTCCCAAACCTGAAGGCAAAAAAAAAAAAACAAGAATCCTTCGGTCTCGATCAATAGTAATTCGCCGAATATTTTTAACCGACCAATTATTTTAAAGGAGGAACAACATTTTATCAATTCAAACAGTTAATTTTATCTTTTTTTTAGTGGTGGCTTTTATAGACAATCCCAATTTAAAACAATTGGATATATTCTGGAAATAAATTCCATATACAAAAGGGAAAAGGGTGAAGAGAGAGAAACAAACATTAAAGAGAGTGAAAGCGATCTCCCAAGGGTGAAAGGCATTGTCCTTGTAAGCGTTGAGATTACAGACGGTGTGAAACTCCTCGTCCCAGTGAACGAAGGCGGCGCCACCGTGGTCGACGACGACGTCAGCCTCCTTGGTGAAATTCGTAACGACGGGGTTGCGTCGCAAAGAGCGAAGGGTCAACTTAGGAGCCTTGCAGTTCCAACGAATCTGAAGCACTAATCTTGAACCTTGGTGTAGAGCGTCCCGCAGCAGATCGCAGCCCTTAAGGGTCCTAACGACCAACCTCAGCTGGTACTTCTTGGAGAGGAGAGGTGGCCAAGGGCGCCACCTCATCATTTTCACCACCATTGTGTCTTTTGTTTCCCTCTGTCTCTCTCTCTCTAAGTGGAAATGGAAAAAAAACAAAACAGATTTAAGGTTGTCGTAGTTAATAATAAGGAAGAGAAAGAAGGGGAATCTGGGATCTTAGAAATTGGAATAATGAAAGAAAGAAGAGAGTTTGTGGATCGAAGCTTGCGGTAGGACACAGAGAATGGAAGAGACTATGGCGTTAGTTTTGGTCATAAAATGAAAACCATATAGGTAGGTGGGTCTCTTCTTCCTAACAAGTAACTTGGGTTAAAAAGCGTGTACTAAAGGGTTAAGAGTTTTAGCTTACTCGTTAGGTTTCTCAATACCACGATTGGGGGAACGTAACAACTAACAAACAGGCTCGCTCCCTCAACTCCTTTTTTCTTTTCTTTTTCTTTCACTCCTAACAAAATTATCCTTTTCCGGGATATACGACACATCGTCCATGTTGTTTTATCCTTCCCTCTGCGGGACAATCGTCAATTTCGATTCATTCTTTTCCTTTTTCAGAATTCCATTTATCATTCCGATCACACTTAATTACAAATTAAATCAAGATTCGCAATTTCATATCATATTTTCTTTTTTATAATCTCTCTTTCAAGGAATAATATCTTTAATTACATTTAATACTTTGAATTTTATTTAAATTTATGTAATAACTTTTCAAAACAATACAAATTATACTAAGATTGTTTTTAATATTATTAACTTTTCTGAATGTTATACTAATTTATCAAATTAATTTTTAAAATGTAAAGTGTATATTGTATAATTGTTTTTAAATTTAATAAATATAAAAAGCAAGCGTTTTTATTAATAATAACAAATTTTGATAATTCATTTATTATGCAATCAAGTTGATAAGATCGAATTTATGTAAGAGTTATTACTTTTGTTGTTGTTTAGTTCATTGATTAAATGAAATCAACACTTAGAAAAAAAGTTAATAAAGTTTATTTGTGAGAGTTAATAAAAATTTAATTTAAGTAATGCAAATTTATATTATTTTTAGTAAAGTTTAAAATTAAAGCTTTATGTGTTAAAAATATATATTATAGTGGTTAAATTAATTATATTATAAATATTTTAATTTATCTTTAGAACCCTTTTGAAACGCAGGAAATGACGAAAACAATCAGTACAGTATAGGAAAGATAATGCGAAATGAAAGTTAGTGTTTAATATATTCAAGTAAATAGATGAATTAGACTCTTCTTCTCATTTGATAATGGAAACTTGAAAATTAAAAATTAAAAATGAATAAGTAACACCTTACCTGCTATGATTACCACTGCGTTGACCAAAACACTTTTATTTTTATTGGTGATCTTAAGTGCATGACTTGTCCCTTTTCATGTTTTAAAAATGTTTTTAGATAGCTAAATGCAATTAAAATAATTAAATATAACTTTATCATTTTCTGTATGCAAATATACCATCATCCTTAGCAGCCACTAGACCAGCTTCACATCTTAAATACGTATTTTAAATATTTACAGAAGCACGAAGTTCACCGTATAAAATACGTCAACGGCTATGGATTTTATCCCACTACTACAAACATTTAACTGGTGCCATGAGCTTGCATAGTTCGTAGATGCACATTAGATAAAGTCAACGTTTTAAAAGATAAAAAACACAAATGCAGCAATATTTGTCTGATATCTTCTTCTCTGTTTCTTTCCTGTGGAGGAGGAAGGATTTGACTTTGTATATGTAGCTCCGTTCCACTCGTGGGCTGTGGCTATATGTGGATGCTTTTTACTTCTAAAGTTGCCTTTCAATAATGTTATTCTTTTTAACAACAAAATATAATAATGTTTATATATGTAAGTTTCAAGTAATCACTTGATAATTAATTTAAATTATATCAATCATTACATTATAATATTTACAATATCAATAATTTTATATAATTTATGATGTTTCTCCATCTAATCATTAAATTCTATTATACAATGTCTAAATTATGTCGCAAATTTAGTCATGATTAAATAATTATAAAAATAAATTTAAATCATTCCCATTTTTATATGTATTTTAAAATATTACAATATATTTATTTTGACGTACATAGATAAAGTATTTAATAATTTTAAATTAATATTTTTTTAAAAATGTATTGTATATGTGAAGATAAATTAACTTATATCAGCATGAGTTATGCTACATTTTTATTATTTATATTTTTTTATCAAATATTTTATTTTAAAACAATTGCCAATTTACAAAATTTTATCATATAAATTATTATTGTAAAAATTTAAATTAATTTAACGTATTTTAACATATCATTTATATCTATTAAAATTAATAACATGTATTTAAAATATATGAAAATAAAAATACTTTAATTATATTCTTACCATTGTTATCCATAAATTTGACACATAACAAAAAAAATGATTAACTAATAAGGGTAAAATATAATAATAAAATAATCGTCTGTTTTTAATAAAATAATCACCTTTTAAAAGTTTTTTTAGTTACGTTAAATTAGTAAAATAATCGCTTTTTAAAACTTTTTATATTTGGAAGTTAAACTATTAAGGGACTTTCATTCTATGCAAAGTTAATATTTTAATCTTCTAAGTTTTTTTATTTTTGTTCCCTTTACCCTTTTAATCAAGTTCAATTTATTTTTATTCGTCAACAATAAAACATCATCATAATTGATAAAAAGTCGCATTTTGTGCCGTAAATATTTGACATGATTAACTAAATAAAAAAAAACGAAGAAAGAGATAAAAAAAATTGAAATAAAACAATAGAAGATAAATTTTTTAATAACAATATTAATTAATTTAAATTATTATATATAAAAATAATACCATTATTTAGTCCCCAATTAAAGTGGTTGAATTAATGAATAGGAAAAGAAATGAAAGCAATGGGAAAAAACGTGACACAAAGTCAAACGAAATAAAAAACCAGCAAAGTGGAAGGGTGGACCCAAAGAAAGGCACACCCAATGAGAATGACATATTTATTATCAGCACTTAGCAACGCGTTACGTTTGGAATAGTACGAAGAGCAAGTTACTTGTATACTATGTAACACATTTTCAAAATTATAAAAAAAAATGAGAAAAATATTAATTTAAAAATAAAAAATCGTGAGATCTATCTAATTTTATAATTTTTACTAAATTTAAGTAATAACTAAAAATGTTTTAAAAAGCCACCTCCCCGTTCCATGCTTAAAATCCGGACAATTTATTTTTTTAATCGAAATTATTTAGGATGTCGTTTTTAATGTAACCATGTTCGCATATATTACGAGACACTTTCATAGAAATATTAAAAATCTTTGTTTTTTATTGGTAAACCTTTGCCAAGTGAAATGTTCGTAGTTTCGCCAATAGATATCAGCCACCTGTACAAACCACATGTCTAGATTTCCTTATTTCTTTCCATGCCTCACACATCATTTTCCACAGTTGCGTTTTGCTTCAATTAAGCGGCGGGGAAAACCTGTTTATGAATAATAAATTGTTTAATAACGTTGACTTTAGTAGAGTCAAAATAATTATAGATTCAAGGTTTAATATAAAAGAAAAGGCCAATATATTCTCTTACTTATTGTTTAACATGCCAACTAGTGAATTTCTACCCAATAAAGAGTGATAACGCGATTAAAGAACATAAATGAGAATTATAATGCTAAAAAATATTGATAATACTTTCATAAACACGATTAAGGTTATTAAACCCTAATTAGTATACCATATTATAATATTAATATGATAATCCATACTAATGTTGCGATTTTTATTTAAAAACACATTCATAAATGATACATTTTTGGTAATACACATCTACAGAAAAAAGTTATTAGTACCAATATTCATATAGTATATTTTATCATATCGTATCATTTATTGATATTTTTTCCCCTGAAGGCGTATTACATAGCATTTTCCATGAGTGACGGAAAGGAATATGAGTTGGCGACGAATCTGACGCGTCGTTGGCTCAAGGAATCATAGTATATCCGTTCATCGCGTAAAAAAAAAGCTTTATTAAGTTTGACCCACTTTTTTAATCATAAAATTTGGGAATGACTTGGTTTCTGTATTAATAATATATGTTAATATTTGTACTAATAATTCAATTATTGTTAAAAATTATATTAACAAGAGTTAATATAATGATACGGAAGAATACTTACCTCAAAGTTGAGCAATTTTATTTAATTAATTATTCAAGAAAACATGAATACTGAGTGTTTTTCTGCTTTAGATTGAACCAGTCAAATGTAACAGAAAAACTAAAGGTGAATGGGAGTTTGAAGGGTTGGATTGCACGAGGCTTGCGGCACAGATAAAGGTTAGCGTGTGATAGAGGAGTATAAGGAATGATTCACACGTCATGCATCGAGTAAAGACAGGAACATATTCTTTGTACCACATGTATTCGTACATCTTGCTACTTTATCTTCGCATATATACACACAGGAATCACAAATAAACACCGGTTGGTCATTGGTGTGTATAAACTACATAAAACTAGGAATATTCACCATAATCAAACTCAAATTTTTAATTTGGCAAAAACTCTTTTTATAAATGATAAAACTTATTTATTTTTAAACAGATTTGAGTAAACTTTTTTCAAATATTTTTAGTGTTGTTTCAATTGATGGTTATAGGGAAAGCGATAGAACTGTTTGTTAGCATTAGCGAACACAATAAATAATTATTTATTGATATAAGCTTTGTTTTTATTTAAGAAAACATATTTTAAAAATTACTTAAAATATAATTTTAAAAAAATTAAAATAGAAACAAACAAGCTCTAATTTTTTTAAGTTTTTTTCACTTCTTTATTTATTTTTATTAAAAAAATCATTATATTTTCTTTTCACCTTTTTCCTTGTATCCAAACACAACGTGAGAGACAGCTCAGGTTTGGTGGTTCACAAACTTTCAACATTTGTGTGGGCAAGTTTCATGATTGTATGTGGACTTATTTTATTATTAAAGAGATAAAGGGTTGGGGTGGCCATGGTAACTTAAAGTTGTACATGTCTATGTCAAAACCCTATCAAGGTCAAAGCTCTTAATTACACTAAACAACCATGCATTCGTTGAAGCTCAAAAGTTTGTAGTGAGTGTTAAACTCATTTTAAATGAGGAAATTTACATAATTTTAAAAAATCACTAAAAATATGTCTTTTTGGATAACCTTTTATGTTTTTAATGTAAATATATGCTCACTTCATTTTATATACTATTGTTTATAGAAAGAAGCTTTCTTGTTTTTTATGTTAACTGCCCATTAGCTTTTGTTTCGTGGAGAACGACTCATTTCATGTTTTTTTTTTCTTGCTCGCTTTTGCTTTTCTGAGGATTTAAAAGTCATTTGCTCAAACCTTTGACAATTCAGTGTGCATTGTTTTCATATTACGAATTCTCAAAATGGTGAATATGACCGCACGCCTCATTTTTTAAGGGGTCAAATTTGGAAAGAAGAGAGAGATAAAAATATAAAAAAAATATATAACAAGTGATACGATAAAAAACAAAAAACAAATAAAAAATAAAGTAAAGATATGGAAAAGTAGAGATGATTTAAAGTATATGGATATCATCATTTATTCTCAAACAGGCAAATGAAGGATTAATAATGTTTCCTTGTAAATTCATATTAGACTCTTTCCCACAGATTTCTCCACAGGTGCTTAGTGCTTGCAAAGTTGTTGATAAATATAAAACAAAAAATGTTAACAATAAATTATTTTAAATATTGTTTTTTATTATTGGTATAAATATATTTTATAAAGTCCAACTATTCATCATGTGAATTTATTAATTTTAAATCTTGACTTTTTAAAAATAATGACTAATCACAAAAAATTAGTTAAAAATTATGGCGTTAACATGCTCATTTAAGAGGGACAATTTTTTTTCAAAGATTTTCTAACTTTTAACATTAAGTTAGTTCACCTTTCAGTCTCGTCAAACACATATTTAGTTAATTTGTTTCTTTCCAAAATACATTTCTTAATCATTTTTAAAAAATATTTTAATCATATTTTAAAAAAGGTTTCTTTATCACAAAGTTTTTTTTTCTATCATTAAAAAATAAAATATTTATAATTTAATAAATCCAACAATACTTACAGTAAAATAATGTTAAATATCAAAAGCATAATAAAAAATCAAACAAATGCACCCAATATTAAATATAACTTAGCAATTCTTCAAATACTAAACAGAATAACATTCAAAATGAAGTTTTAAACAGCATAACTTCATAGTTTTCCAGATTTTCACTGTTAAGGTCCAAACAGATAATAAAATCCAACCCAAAAGCAAAAAAGAACAGTAATGGACTAGTTCAGGGAAAACATCTTTTGGGTCTGGACCAAAAACGTCATGGACTTACTAGAAGACTGAATTTCCATGTTTCTGATATAATAATAATAATAATAATAATAACAATAATAATAATAATGGTAAAATTAGTTTTTGACGTAAAATATAATAACAATAAATTAGTAACAGTAGTTGCAGTAGAGGAATGCATGCAAGAAGAAAGTAAAAAAATAATAATTGAATTTATTAACACTCTATGTCAAGCTCCAAGTAATAAATATGCTAACAAGTTACAACTCACAACATTTAAACTGTTTTAATAAATTTAAGTTGAATATTGTTACATATATATATATATATATATATATATATATATATATATATAAACTATTTCGTCCTTTGTCTGTACTTTTTACATTAATATATATTTATGAATATAATTGATCAAAAGTTTATGTTTTATGAAAATAATACTGAAATTATTGTGAATTTTTTAAAATCGTCTTAATATTTATAAAAAAATATATTATTAATTATGCTTATAATCATCGCATTGATGTGAAGAGTATTACTCTTATTTGTATCTATGTAATGCTTGTGATTAAAGAGGGGAAAATATTCATTAGCAAACAAAATAATAAAAATGGGGAAAATATTTATGAACTCATAATTTACTTATGTCTCCACTAAAATAAATGTTCCAGGTTGAGCTCCGTGATACCTGTTTCAGATGGCCAAAGGCGGTGAAAGTGATGTCCAAGATTAACTGACGATGTTTAGGTATAAAATTTGTTATTTAATATATTTGTGATTTTGAATAAAATCTGTTCTCATTAAATCTTAAAGTTTGTGACAAAAAATACTTCTATGAAAAGTTTGATTAATATTATATATTTAGTAAGTTTACTTAAAAATTTATAATTTATAGATAATAAAGTAAAATTTATTAATAGAGATTAATTTAAATGATAAGTAATTAAATATTACTTAAATAAATTCTTAGATTTTGATGAACTCATCCACCATACTTAAATACACGACTAAATAATTAAAAATTATTCAAAAGTTAAAAATAAAAATAAAAAGCTTACTTTCATTAAATTAAATATTAAATGAAGTAATTTTTAATAAAATATATTTTAAAATTATAAATTTATTTATTTTTTTATCAATTAAATTGAAATATTATTTCTTTAACAAAGAAAAAATTACAAATCACTAATTAAGCTATAAAAGTGAGTTAAAGTTCAAAATTAATATCAAATCACTAATAAATTATCATATAATTTATATTTATATCATTAAACATTTGTGACATTTAAATATATTTTATTTTTAGGTTACATATTCAATTTTTTATTCATTAAACTTTGTTAAAAATATTGTTTAGATTATGATATAGATATATTATTATTATTATTATTTATTGACTTTAAATTCTCTGATTGACAATTGGTTTATTATATAAAATAAATCAACGTTCCTTTTTTTATTTAAAATGAAATTTTTAAAAAAGCTGAGTACCATATTCCAAAAGATGGAATTAACCAAATAAAAAAAAAAAAACTCATAAAAAAAAAGTGGTCCACAACTTGAGTGGGCGATGATACACCCCTGGAATCATCCAGATACAGATGCATGCAGCAGCGTCCACACTTTATCACAACTCCCCAGACTTTCAAGGTTCAAATCTCAACGTAAATTGAACTTGATAATTTTTTAATATTTAATATAATTGTGCCTATTAATATTTAAATTTAATATCATAAAATAATTTTGAACAACTTTTTGCTAATTAATTTATATGGTTAATATTTATTTTTTTAACTTTAGTTAATATTTTTAAAGTTAATCAATTTTATTGACTCTAATTCTTAGCTCAGCGTCAGTTTTAATTAACATTTAAATATACTAAATTAGAGTATCCAAGATTAATGTTTTTATTAATATTATTTATTATATTAAAATATAATAAATTATTATTTAAAATAAAATTATTATTTTTTAAATTTAATTTTAAGAACTGAAATTTAAAAATTATTAATTGATTTACATGTATATATAAATTAAAATTGTTTATATTTTCTTTATCAAACATTAAATTCAAACCCTTAAGCAACCGAAATATAGTATTGGATTCTTTAGATTGACTAGTTAGTTTACTTATGCTTTGTCTGTATTTTAAAGATAAAGTGTTTATCAATTAAAAACCTTATGATTTTTTAAAACTGAAAAACACAAAAGACGGTTTGTATATTTTTCCAAAATTTAGAACAAAATATTCTTAAAAAATTTGAAAAAACTTTTACGAAAAAGACATTTTGTTTTTTAAGTTTTTCCAGACGTGGAATCTCTTCCGAGTTGATACATTTTAATAGCATTTAAGGATAATTTTGTAAACTTGCTGCATGATTTTTATTTTTCAAAACAATTATATTTTAAAAAGGATTAGTATAATATCTATAAATTAATCATTTTTTATTAAATCAATCAGATTTGTTTTTTTCAAATTATTATTTAAAGGGGGCTAAAAAATAAGAGTGGTGTGATTTAAAACGTGGTGTGTTTGACGGACCCAAGGAGTTAAAGAGAGGGCCATGACCCGTTTATCCGAGAAGCTCCGTTTATCTTCCTTGCTTCAGGAACCGACCCGTTTTCTCTCTCTTCTTTCTCTGTCCACTCTCAATCTCTGCAAGTCCCTCGCGCGCTTCATACTCTCCCAAACCCTACCCTTCCTCGCCATGGACAACCTCTTCTCCGATTACTTCTCCGACGACTTTGACTCCCCCTACCACCTCCGTCCCCACCGTCGATTCCTTCAAGAGGATGAACTTTATTTCGGCGACGAACGGGTCTACTTGCTTCCCTACAGGTGCCTCACTCGATCAATCACTACAGTCGTTTTTTGTTTTCTTTGTTTGCGGGGAAAGCAATGTCCGTTGTTTTGTTGCTTTCGCTTTTTGGGATTCTTTTGTGGTGCGGTTTTTCCGTAAGCTGTGTTGTTAAGTTGGGATTCTTCGTGCTTGTGTCCCAAGCAATTGGAATTCGGGGTTGATTACTTGCATTGGAATGTATTATAGTGTGTTTTTTTTTGCGAAATTGATTTTGTTTGGGTGTTTTTTGGTGGAGTGAAGGTGGTGGAGAGAAGCGGAAGTCGAAGTTGATCGTGTAGAGGGTGTTTTGTACACGGTGTCGTGCAATTCAGACTCTGACTTTGAAATTTTACTCCATCTGAGGAAGGAAGAGGACCGCCAGAAGATTAAAAATTTGGAAGTGGGGTTTTCTGGCCGTCAGTATGCCTTGGTTCCTGAAGGGATTTGGTTGCGTGCTCTCAAAAGGTGAGTCACTGGTTCCTTTTCATTCCCCCCTCTCTACATGTATATAAGTATTTTCCGTTTTATAAATACTGTGGTTGTAACTTGTAGGGACGGTTTTATTAAAATTTAGGAAAGTGTTGATGTGTTCATAGGAGTTTTGTTAACCTTTTTCTATGTTTTAGGTATGCTGTCTTTCTTTGTGATTATATTCTTATTTCTTTCTGGCATACACCTTGGCTGCCTTTCGGTGATGTGCCATGTGTGAATTCTTGAAGGCACGGTGTTTGAATGAAATGTTTTTAGAATAGTACGAATGGAGGATTTCTGTGTCATAGTTATGATATAATGTCTTGTTTCCAAATCCTTATTAAGGTGTTATAACCTTACGAGGTTATGCATATAAGGATGGTCAAGTGTAGAATTCAAATTTGAGACTATCATGGTGATTCTCTAAAGGCTATTTTAGGTGATAGGAAATCAAGCTGTTTGTTAGGACATGGGAGTAGCCTTCCAGGTTAGCATGTTCTTCTTTAAACACCATCTTGTTCCATGCATGATCAAGGAAGAGCTAAATCCTAGCCTTGGTCTTGCCAGGTCAAACTGCACCAGTTTGTCTTCCAATTGTCATGGCTGTGCCACCTCGTATTGCAATTTCAGCTCTTGGATGTAGTCCTCCAACCGTAAGGCCAAAACCTGTGTGCCTGCTACATTAAGCTTTCATTAGAGACCCTTCAAACAATGTCAGGCATATTTGACACAAGGTCAACACTTGGAGCTGAACTGATCCTTTCAGAGTTGAAGCATAAGCCAAACAGTGCACATCCTTAAGACCCTAAAATAATGAATTAGTGGAGGAGGAGAACTAAGTAAGAATCATTGTTATCAAACCCGAATAGTGGCACATAGCAGCCCACTCCCAAAACACTATAGTGGGATGATTGCTATTTTTAATATTTTTGATGTACACACATTGTATTATTATATACATAATTAAATAGATAATGCTAAAAACTTATTTGAAATTCATGACATATTCATAATTATCAATAAAAAGTAATAGGTCTTAAGCAATGCGTACAAGAAAAAACCAAGAAAAGTGGAGGAATCAAAATATCGCAGAGAGGAAAAATGGAAAGAAACAACAGAGAATAGAACAGTGGCTGCCGAACTGCAAAATTGAAAGAGGAGTCAGGTTGGGTACCAGCGGAAAACTGCTGGAGATGTGTGGCTCCACCACTTTACTTTGGTTGCACACAGGCAGAACAGAGAAGAGATGAGAAAGCATGGGAAGGAAACAAAAGTGGGGTTAGTTTCCTGAAAATGAAGAAGACAACTTTGCCCCTTAAAACCAATTAAAACATTGAAGTTTTGAGGGACAAAACAGGTTTTTCCATTCTGCTTCTCTGTTACAGAGCTATAAAGCTACAAAATGCAACTTTTGGGCCATGAAAGCGGCTGTGACTGCCACAAATATAAACCACACCTCTATTGAAGTTCTGTGGCTTCCAACTGCTGCTTTGCCATCTGTTGCCTGAAACGTGCTATTGACTACTTTGGTAAGGATTGGTTAGTGGTGCTAATTTAATGTTCCTCCAATACCTCATGGTTGATTATCTTATGATGTTGACAGAGATGGTTACAAGAAAAACCAAGTGGAGTAAATGAGTCATGGAATATTAGAGTGCCCTGTTTGGTTGGAATATCACTTGGTCTGCATGTCTTTCTTTAATAACAATGTGACTATAAATGCACCAGCCCTTATTTTCTTTTTCAGAATGGAATGCTACAGTGCTGTTATGCCCAGTTTCTTTGGCTTGCCTCCCTCATTGTTTGTGTGTAACTTCTATTATACTCTTTCCTCAATCATTCTATTCATATATTATAGAAATTTAACATTGATTTGTTGTTGCTTTCCCACTAGCATAATGATTTAAACAGCAATGAACAACATTACGAGTTTTCTGCTGGTAGAAGATCGTATACTGGATTTGTTTCCATTTCAAGTTAGAAGATATTTCTAGATGATGGTTCTTACTAGTATGTAGAACTTACAGAAATGGAAAGTTGATTCGTTATTCATCTTAATCTTCTTGTAGGTATAACGATTTTAATAATGCAGTGAAAGATTTTGGAAGCTTCTCCTATGCGGAGGACAGTTTGCCAGATTTGTTCCCCTTGCAAGTTAGGATATTTGTTTCATGGGAAACCAGTTCACTTGTAGCAAAGATAAACCACAAGGTCAAATTAATGATTTAGTGTTTTCTTTTTATGGATGGTGTCTGACCAGAGTTAATAATTTTACTTGAAAACTGCTGGACTTTAAATTTCTATTTTATTTATGGTAACTTTGTTCGATCAGTAATTAATATTTGGTGGCATGGTTTCAGGAAAATATGGCTGACTTCTTTAAGAAAGCTTGTGATATTTTCGATTCTGCATATAACGCAGTGAGTTAGCTATCTATTGATTTTTATTTTAATAGGTTGTGTCTGTTACCTTGGTTATGTGTAATTCTGTGTTACATCATGCAGGTGCATATTTGGGACTTTTCAGGGCAGACAACCCAATTCTTCTTGAATGACAAAGCTAGGTTGCCAAATGATTCTCCTGGTCAACCTGGAAAAGAGGTAGTTGTTGATTTTTCTCTTTTCTTTTGATGTAATTTTGTTACTGAAATTTCAATTTTTTGGTGGTCTAGCAAGGAAACTAAAATGCCAGACAATCGATGGAGGAATATTGAAATCTATCTTTGTACCTGATAGATTTTAATTTTTACACATCTGTTTTTAAGATCTATTGTTAGTCTTGAAGTTCAAAAACATAAATTCCAGTTATTCTGTTTTTTTATAGCATTTCTGCTGCTCCATGTCTATTCAGGTTTGTCTGGAATTACAAGTTCATGGACTTCCAGATTCTATGAGGGGTAACGAGAGCAATGAGATGATTTTAGATAGGTCTCAAGGGGAATGTTCTCGCAGTGGGTCTGTTATGATGAATGGAAGCACTGACAATGTGATTCCCTATGTAATAACAACCAACTATTTTCGAGGCAGTAGCTATAAAGCAGTTCGATCTTTGGGCCTGACAGGATTACAGAATCTTGGAAATACGTGTTTTATGAATAGTGCCATTCAGTGTTTGGCTCACACATCGAAGCTTGTTGATTTTTTCCTTGGAGATTACCGTAAAGAGATAAATTATGAAAATCCATTAGGAATGAATGTATGCTATTTATTTTCTCTGTTTTCAAAGTTATATCTTCATTTCTAAGCATATTTAATTTTTGTATTACTAATTTACTTTGTTTGTTTTTCCTTTTTTTTTTGAAATATTTTTCAGGGAGAGCTTGCTCTAGCTTTTGGAGACTTACTTAGAAAACTGTGGGTTCCTGGAGCAAGGCCCGTTGCACCAAGAATGTTCAAGATGAAACTGGCTAATTTTGCTCCTCAGTTTAGTGGTTACAGCCAGCATGACTCTCAAGTTAATACCTTCATGTTATTAGTGTTATTATATTGCAAAATATGCATTAAAACAATTGTAATTTCCATTGGCATCTCTTGTTGTTGATGAATTTTCGTTTGTTGTGACATGATGAAATAATTTTATGAAACATTGAAGTTTCTGGTATGCAGGAACTTCTTGCTTTTTTGTTAGATGGACTGCATGAAGACCTTAATAGTGTGAAACGCAAGCCATATCATGAAGTTAAGGATGCAGATGGTCGTCCTGATGAAGAAGTTGCGGACGAGTATTGGCGAAATCACCTTGCTCGAAATGACTCGATAGTAGTTGATCTGTGCCAAGTGAGTCTTATAGGATTTTTTCGTATGATGTGAGAATCTAATATTCTTAAAGCTTTTAAACATATTTTGGGTTCAGTATCCCATAGGTTTTTTGTATCAGTGATGCATAAAAGATTTTGATGGAATCAATTAAGTAGATATTCCGAAGAGAGATTTTAATGTGTTGAATATTAGAGTATGAGATTACTATTACAGAAGGGAGGTGAATTGGCTACTAGTTGCCACTGAACTCACTCTTTATTGACTGGTTGAAGACCACATTGTTTCAAAGGATTTTCTTAGTTTTTCTAAAGAAATAAAAGCAATAAACTAATTACTAATTAGGATGCAATAACAAATCTATGTTTGCTATGATTAAGCAATTCTCACTTTTAAAATTAATTTTTTTCTTTCTTCAATTATCTTGTAGGGTCAGTTTCGGTCAACATTGGTTTGCCCTATTTGCAAGAAGATTTCTATCACGTTTGACCCTTTTATGTATCTATCTCTGCCTTTACCTTCTACTACGATCCGGTCCATGACTTTGACTGTCATAAGTACTGACGGTATTGCATTACCTTCTACAATTACCGTTACAGTACCTAAATGTGGGACAGTTAAGGACCTAATTGGAGCCTTAAGTGCTTCTTGTTCACTGCAAGATGATGAAACCCTCTTGGTGGCTGAGGTATGTTGCAAAAGTTTCAAATTGAATGAATTGTTATGTTAGATGTTTTAACTACAATTTATTAGGCTAATGCAAACATTTTCATCTATGGATTCTTATTCAAAGTATGACGTTATGGAGTTATATACAGATATACAAGAATAAAATTTTCCGAGTATGCAAGGATCCATCTGATTTGTTAGATGATATTAGAGGTCTAGACAAACTTGTCGCTTACCGAATGCCGAAGTATAATGAAACTAGTCCCTTGGTTGTTTTTGTGCATGAATGTTTGGTGGAAAGGTAAGTTTCTCTATGCCCTAATTTCATTCCTTTTACAGACTGGAGTAATTTCAGTTTCTTTCCTACAATACCATTCTCTGTAATCTGTATAATTATTATGTATGCCAGGACCTGAAATACATACTCCCACAGTGAACATCATGTCATGGTAGAATATTTTTCCCTCATGTCATGACCTCAACTGTTTGAAGCACATACTCCTAAAGCACCTAATAATTACTTTTGTCACCACCCCAAGATTTTAATTAAAAAGAACTTTAGATTCTTTGTCATCATAAATTTTAGCAAACAATCTACCTAGTTGTCTAAGAATGCTAATTGGTTTATACAAGCTGGGGTTATATGCCTTTAGTGTAAAACAAGCGAATTCTTTGGGTTTCTATGATAGTTTTCCAGTTTTCCTTTCTGAACTGCTTATGTAAGCAATAAATGCCTTGATATTTGGTAAATGAATCTGTTTTTGGAATTATTATGTTGTTGGTTGTTTCTATATTTGCTTACTTTTGTGCTCTTATTTGGTGCACTAAATTTATTGGATCATGTATTTCTTGTCAGTTCTGGGAAGGAGAGGTTTGAAAACAGATTGTTTGGCATTCCACTTGTAACAAGGTTGTCCAGTCTTTCTTGTGGATATGATGTTCAAAGGGAGTTTCTGAAGTTAATCAGTCCATTTCAGATGTGTACTGAAGATATATTAGATGAGTCTGATAAGGATGACAGTGTTAATAAAAGGCTGAGTGAAGATGATGAATTGGGTGATACTACTAACTCTGCAGCAATAGGAAGTGATGTAGACTCAAATAGTGGAACAGAGGATGACATACATTTTTCGACTGATTTTGAATTCTACTTACCTTCTGGGTTAGGAATACAGAATGTCAAGATAACATTGAACAAGCCATTACCACCAATCACGATGTTGTCCAAAAGGCTGGAGATAGTTGTCTTATGGTCGGGTAAGATGCTTAAAAAGTATGATACATACCTACTTGACTCATTGCCTGAGGTTTTCAAGCCCCAGCTATGCACGAAGAGAATTGAAGAATCAGTTTCTATTTACAAGTGCCTTGAAGCCTTCTTAAAAGAGGAACCTCTTGGGCCAGATGACATGTGGTTAGTTGATATATGATATTCCAAATCTGTTATTTTATCTTTGAAGTTTTTTTTTTTTTTTTTTGGTTTCAAGAACATTATATCTTTAATACAATTTGTCATCATATTTTATATGTGATAATTGAGATAAGTGTCCTTATGTCTGAAAAAGTCAAGACATATAATACAGGGTTTCTGATGTTTGATATTGCTATTTGGTGTTCACAAGGTACTGTCCTACCTGCAAAAAACCTCAGCAAGCAACTAAAAAACTAGATCTTTGGAGATTGCCTGAAATCCTTGTTGTTCATTTGAAGAGGTTCTCATACTCCCAATTCAACAAGAACAAGCTGGAAACATTCGTTGATTTCCCAATCAATGATCTGAACTTAACAACCTTTGTAGCCCACAGCAATAGTCAGTCTTGCAACCGCTATATGTTGTATGCAATTAGTTGTCATTATGGAGGGTTAGGAGGAGGTCATTATACAGCATTTGTCCGTGTAAGTACCTCACAATTTGTAATACTCTTGCTCTGTCAAAACTTTATAACTAATTCTTCATTTTTTTTTATTTGGTGGGTACCTCACAATTATGTACTGTTTTTACTAATAATTACCTAACTGTTTTTACCATTTCTAATACAAATATTTAAAACTAGGAAACAAAGTGAAAATAGAGTTGCATTTTGGTAATTGTTATTAAAAATGGAAATTAAAATAGACAACAATTATAAAACCAAACAGGTCTTAAGTATTCCATTAGCCTTACAGATAAACCCAACTTGGGAAAACTTCTCAATAAGTACTTATAGGAATAAAATATTAAGTAGTAAAATAAATCAAACTCTTGTTATAATTTGAAATTAACTAATATTTCTCTATTTTATAAGAAACTCTCTTCTTTAACTACTGTAAATTTTGAGAGATAATTTGGGGGACAGTGACAAACAATGTTAAGACATGTGATCAGTGGAAAAGTAAGAGAGCTTTGGAGGACTATCTGAGATGGGGAATGTTTTTCTACTTCTGCTTCAGTTTCTTCAGAAGTTTGTCCCAGAGGATGTTAGAGCACACATGCATTTCATATATTTTTATGATAATCATGTAGTAGTTAAACTTCTTCAGTTCCTCACACAGCATTATAAGTTTTTATTTGACATCTTTAATCTCTGTCTTTTTTTTAATATATATATTTTAAGATGAGAAAATTCTTTTTTCTTATTTTGGTTATTTGTTGTAATTGAATCTACACCTTATTTTTTCTATGCATATTATATGCATTATAATTATGCTTATTCAACTGTTTTTATTTCCTTGCAGTATGGCCATGATAAATGGTATGATTTTGATGACAGCAGGGTTGAATATGTTAGTGAGGACATGATAAAGACTCCTGCTGCTTATGTTCTTTTCTACAGGAAAGTTTAGATGAAAATTTTAGATGCAATTGTGTAATTAGTCATAGCAACATGGAATGCTTGAGGCTTTTTATACCTTTTGCCTCTGCGGTTTTTGACTTCCTCAAAATTGCTGCTGAAGCGGTACTGGTTGGGTTTTACTTAGGCAAGTGAAGAGAAAAGCAAATATTTTAACATTGTACAGCTTTTAGACTACAGGGAAAAGAGGGTAGATCTTAAATTTTTATACCTGGTGGATAGATTACTACACATGTTGGGCGACATGTACATATGCATCCTGGAAATATTTAACCAAATTTTTTTACCAGATGTAGCTCGGGTTCTTTTTAAAACATGATTATATATGGAAAATTACACATTTTTGCCTCTTGGATTATCTCATTCTTAGATTAGGCCAATTTTTCCCGTGGTTGTAAGTTGTACGTATGACAGGACATGTTCAGTTTAATGCTATATATTTCCTGTCTTCAGTAAAAAAAATGTCGATAATTCTTAATTTTTTTTTATACTCATTTGTGTAAAAGACAACTGTTGCATTAGCAATGTCTGAAATGATTGATAAATATTTAGTGCTTTATTTTTCGGCCAATAGTGTGTGGTATGTCGAGTGTTGCAAAGTTTTTTTCCTGCTGATCCCGATGAATATGGATGTTTGTCTTTCAATTTTGTGCTGAGCTAATTGCTGCTTCATTATTGTTTTCTAACCAGTAGATTCCATAGAAACTGCCTTTTTTATTCAAGAAACTGCAAATTATATCACTCGAGGAGTAAATTCAGCAAGAATTTAGTTATTTGAATCACTAACAATTGCTATCAGATGTATTCCATACTTTTTTTATCTTTCTCTTTTTTAATTTCTTTTTAATAATTGTATTTTAAAAATACACTATAAAATATAAAGGGATGGATGCCTTGAGGTGTCTACTCTTGGAGGTTGTTTGGGTTGTGAAAATATTTTCTATTATCTTTAGGAAATAGTTTTGATTTTCAAATTTTTAACCTTTTGAAAACATGTTAGTTTTTACTTATTTTCGTTTTTCATTTTCAAAATGACCCTCTCTCCATTGATTTCATTATCTATGATCACACTATTATCCAGACGTGTTTCACGCTGTGATAATTGGGGTATACACGATGAAGCTCATTTGTAGTTTGCTGAAGTAAGCTTGCAGAATCTCTTTTAAGTGCCTCCTTTAATTCATGTGTCTTCGATCATGGATCTTGTCACGAGGACAAGGATATTTTTGGGTGGCTGTACATGGTGGGCTGTGCCATATGAAGCGTGGTTCAATGGCGGAGAAGATAGATCTACCAATGACAGCGACATGGGGGGATGTCTAGACAGCGAAGTCAACAAATTGTTTTTTGTTTTAGACTTCCAGTGGTGTAGGAATAATAATACAAACATTTGAAAATATCTTTCTAATTTCAAAAATGTTATGAATAAACATGAAAACACTCTTTTTACGATTTCTATATTTTTGGAAATAAAAACGTTGTTTTCTAAATTTGAAAATGGAAAAAGTGTCATATGTTTTCTCCGTCAATTTTCGTTTATAGTGAAAACGAAAATAAGAAATGGTAAAAGCAAACAGGCCCTTAGGTATTCAAACAATATTTTCTATGCAGCAAATAAAGTCTCGTTCATATATGATTTTTCATAAGTTTCAAAATATGACGAGGAAGTGGACTGGAGAGATCTTTTAGTAACCACATACCAGATCTACATTTGCATTGCACTAGGCTTATGGTTATGGAGAATGAAAAAGAATCATAAGTAAATAAAATAAAAAGAACGATGAGTAGATAAAAATTTACGCCAATAAATTTTATTTAGTTTGTGTTTTCTTCAAATAAAAGATTATCGACATTACATACATTCTTCGCATGTTGATTAAAGAAACAATCCAACAATGGTCACAAGAGAAGTGAATTATGATTTTAGGCAAACTTTATATCTGATATTAGGGAGTTCAGATTCTTAGGCCAGAGGACTGAATTACCACGTTGGGATTATTCAGTGTTTGGTTATAAGAAATGGAGGAAAAAAGGAAGCGAGTATACAATTTGTTATATTTATTTCAATTAACATTCCCTCCCTTTGTTAAAAAAATTATTTCCTTCCATTCCCTGATTTAAATCAAACAAAAAAATGGGCTGGGCCTGTAAGTGGGCTTGTGCTGCCCCTAGGGTGAGATAGGTGTAAACAATATATAAACAATTAAATAATATAATTATACAGTTACTGTCACAGAATCCGCTTGCACGACCTCCAAAAAAACATTCTCCTACAACGCTGCTAATCGTCTTCTCCGCGTGAGTGTTCTATCCCTCATTTTCCTCCATGCTTTCTTTATCTAATATGCATATTTGATACGCTGCTGCTTTTTTCCTGTGCCCAAAGTTGATTGAATTTAACTCAGTTACCAGTTTAGTATTGCTTTTCCTTTTAACTTCTATCCACCATCGATGCCTTTGTTATAGGTCTCCTTTCGCCTACAGACTCAATTCCGCGGTTTTATTATTTGTGATTCATGATACGTAAGGTTGAGCAAGGATTGGATTTGGACAAAACTCATCTAGATCCATTTTAAATTTAATTATATGGATTGTATTTTAAACAAATATATTTTATTTTTTTAAACTGATTTTAAAATTTAGATTTGATATAAAAGTGATTTTAAATTTAATTTTAAATTATTTATAAATTTACGTATTGAATAATTTTTTATAAAAAGTAAAGTAAACATTAATTAATTTTATAGAGATAAAATAATTTTGAAAATGTGTTTGGATAGATGTATTTTAAAAATAATATAATTAGGAAAAAGAAATAAAAATAAAAAAATAAAAAGAAATAGGCTGATTTATTAAAATATTAAAATTATATCTAATAGTAAAATTATTGTTTTATTAAAAATAATTATAAAAATATTTTTATTAAATTAATTAATTATTATTATTATTTTTAGTGTAATTTATTTTTTTATTTAAATTATTATTTTTAATATATTTTATTTATATTTATTTAAATAATATTTTGTATTAACGTAAAGAAAATAGCTTTGAAATTTGTAACTGTTATTGTGTTTAGATTTAGCTATCTTCATGAAAAATTTTAGATACATATTGCAAAACTCTCAATAATTTTTAACTATCAAACAAATTAACAAGACTTTGCTAATCGATTCATTCATAAATTAAGATAAACGATTGTTAGAGATTAGAGAGTGAGTGAGAGATATAACAGTCCAGAAATTGCAGAGAGTATGAAACGTCACACATATCAATAACAAAACCGGATTTTGATAAATTAAATCTAGGGTATCTGGTTATTTTTGTTGTCAAAAAAATAGGATTGCCGTGCTTTTAGGACTCAAAGTAACGATCCTTCTCCTGTTGGGGAATTCTTTTGAAGACAATCGCCCTTGCCTTCCCCGGTCCAACAGCGATAGTTATCTGTCATTTTATTTATTTTATTTTGGGCTATTTTTTCTAGATCGAATGGAATAGATGCCCTATCAGGATGAAAAGGAGTTGGTCTCGGCAGCCTCCTTCCTCTTTACGGATGGATAGATAGAAATACCAGAAAAACTCCCGGCCCTACCTCTTCTGGTTAACGCCTCTCTGAAGATCTGTTTAGGGTGGGCAAAGAGGGTGAAGCCACTAGCTCTGCCCGGTAGAAAAAGTGGAACTCGAACAGTTGATAAAGGAAGTAAGGAAAGGATATTAAACAAAGCTGGCCAACCTATTCCACCTAGCTCCCAAAGCGGTAAAACTGAACTAATGAAATCAAGGTGAGTTTACGAAAGGAAGTAAGACTCTGGTACTAAGGGGGAAGTCTAGCTATGGAAGAAGAAGTAGGTCACCAGTTTCTTATGGTTATAGATTGGCTCAATAAATCCAGATTTTTTGCCCACCCCATTGACAATGACACGTTTGTGTACTGTTCTGGTCAACTTATATGATGATATGAATTTGACGTCAAAATGTAATCCAATTATTTTGTATCTCATGGTCTAATTAATTGATTGATTAAATATGTGGCTTATTTTATGTTTTTATTTTTAATAAAAGAAAAAAAATGAAGTTAAAGATATTTTTTAGTTGAATTTTTAAATTATTTTCTTTAAATGCATTTGTAGAATTAGACTTAATTCTTAAAGCACGGAAACACAATGATTTTAATATTTTTTTTCTAATTTTTGAAACAGTGTTGGTATTTTTTGCAAATGTATGTCGTGTTGATTGTAAAGATAGAATAACCAATCAGGTGAAAGTGCTTAAAGTTAATGAGAAAAGATAGGGAAACGAGTTACAATCAAGTTTGAGACCGTGTTCGTACTGTCCAACAATGTTGCTTTTGAAAGTGATATGCCTAAAAATTAACGATAAAGTGCTTGCTAAAAATTCAATTAAAAATTATTTTGGCCTCTTTCTTTTGGATGCTGCGTTCAACAGCCCTGCGTTGATTTCAAGAGTTTGTTATTGCTTCTCCCCAACGTGCTCCAGAGGTCATCATCTTCTTGTTCTTTCTAGGTTTCTTATTTTTCTCTCTGCCTATCTCTGTATTTTCATTTTGTGTTGGAATGGATAATGATTGCATGGCTAGTGATTTCAGGCTATGATACCAACTAATCCTCTTTCAAGTAGTTTGAACCTAGGCAATAGTTGAAGTTGTGCCTGGACTGTCTTTTATTACTCCCACGATCTCTTATATTTCTGATTTGAAATTATACTGTTTAATCATGTGAGAAATTTAGTTGTGCAAAAGTTGTGATGATTTTCTTTGAATAGATGCAGTTAAAGGCCACAAAGATGCCTTTATTCTTCACTTATCGTAATGATGTGTAATTATCTGTATGCATTTTGGTTTTAATTATTACAAATTAAACGTTTTAACATTTTGTGTATGTGAAATTTTGGAATTTTGGTTTGGTTGAAAAGTAGATCTGCTTGAGTCTCAGTCAGAGTTCTGGATTTTTTTTTTAATTATTTCTGTTGGACTCGGAAATGGAGAGTCACGGTTTTCTCTGCTTGCTTGATTGGGATATGGTGTATAAAATTCAGACAGGCATCCATTTTTGGGAACTGAAACTGTAAGAACCGAACTTGTGATTCAACTAATCAGAGGTGCTAAATGAGGTCACTATTGGCAAGTGTGGTCAGATGATGGTCACTTATGTTTTTTTTTTTTTTATATATATATATATACAATCTGCTGTTGTATAATTTACAGATTACATTCTGGAATCAAATGTGCACGGTGTGCTTGTGTATGTACTGATCAAGTCAAGGTTCAATGTTTCCCCTTTTTGATTATCATCGAAAGCATACTTTGTTCGGCACTAGTTGAATTATACTTCAATTTTGCTTCTGCTTTGATTTACTGCCTATCGATGTATTGGTCTCTATTTGTTTATACATCTGTTTATTACACGAATCAGTATGAGATGGTTTGATGAACCAAGTCGTTCCATTTGTGATTCAGAGTTTTGGTCGGCCGTTATATTTTTATTTAGCAAAGATTACTTGTTAGATTTGATTTGATTTTTAAAACCAAATGCACCTTTGAATTTCTATATGCAATTAATTTCAGCAAAAATGCAATCCGATGCATTGCTATTGGGGGACAAACTCATACTGAGGGGATTGACATTCCATGGTTTTCATGGAGCAAAGCCTGAAGAAAGGAAGCTGGGCCAGAAGTTCTTGGTAGATATGGATGCTTGGGTGGATCTCCGTGCAGCTGGCAAATCTGATCACTTATCAGACACAGTTAGTTACACAGAAATATATCGGTGAGTGACCAATAAATTCAGCTCGTCATTGGTCAGCTTTCATCGTTGGATTGCATACACTTCTAGGGTTTCTCTTCATATTAGTAATTTACTAATTTAGTAAGTATGATCTAATTACGATACCAATAATTGGTTATGCAGTATAGCTAAGGAAACTATTGAAGGGACACCTCACAACCTTCTGGAATCAGTGGCCCAAAAAATTGCATTCACTGCTCTGAGAAATCATCAAGAGCTATCTGCTATTCGTGTGAAGGTTGGAAAGCCTCATGTGGCAGTTCGTGGCCCAGTTGATTACTTGGGCGTTGAGATTCTTAGACGCAGAAGCGATTTGACTGACTAGAACTTGCATGTTTACTGCTGCAGAATTTATATTTCTTCAGGTTCCATTGAACACAAAAGTAATTACTCTTGTTTCAGTACAGCATTCGTCTTTTGTCTTTATCTTTTATGAGCCTTACTAATAAAAATTAAAGATGAATGTCAGGCATACTATATACTATGCAATTTAGCTGAATTCTCCAAAACAAAATTTTCAGGGATAGTGAGTTGCCAGAGTACGTGAGTAAAGTTCATAACTATCGTTACTGAATGTGTTAATTTGTAATTCTGTTTCCTCAGTGATATAGTATTGAACCAAGGGATAACTTCGTTCATCTTATAAAGCCTTCACAGATAACTTCTATCAACATTTCATAGTTTTGAACCGAAGGAAATTGAAATCCATTAACTTTAATCTCTGGTCGTCTTGATATTGACAAAGATAACCAACACATAAATGTAGCTTCACTTATGTTAAGAGTTCAAATGTGCAAACAGGTTACGGTTTTCTTTATATGAAGTTAAACACAATTTAAGAAACCTGACTTATAAGATGAACAAGGCTGAGTTATAGGTTCGTCAATCACGCTGAACAGAGCTTATTCAGTGACCATTTCCTACTCACAAAAGCATCCAAACCTAGAATAACACATTCTTCCTCTTCCCTTGTCTTCCTCTTTTATTTTTCCTCTTTAATAATGTAATTGCAGCTGCCATATGTGCTGTCAGCCAATTGCCATACTCTCATTGTATATCTTGCCTCCTTTCTAAGATTCACTGGTTTGGGGTAAATTAGGCTAAAGCATTTTTTTGGTGATCAGATCCATTCTTTTCACCTCGTAAACTGAAAGCAAAGCAGTCTTCTGCATTAGGGAGAGGCTGACTGTCTACGGTAGAGTTCGTATTGTGCAGCTGAGGGTATCGGCTATACTTTCTTTTTAACCACAAGGGATGGCTTAGAATCATATTTACTTCAATACTACTTGTAGTTGTAAATAGTTGTAACTTATGCCTTAAGTCTATGTTTACTAGGGATGACTCTTTGCAAGAAATATGATACTTTTCATTCAAAATCCAATATCTCTTTGTTAAATCACATCATTCAATTCTTTTGTTCAATATATTTTAAAATTAAAATTTTAATTTTTCCAACTAACCAATTACAACTCCTTTCTTTTGTTCCTCGTTAAATCTCTTCTCGTAAGTTAAAGTTTCATTCTCTTGCATTCATATCTATCAGAATGTGTATTTTTGTCAAAGTTTACAAGAAAAAATAGATCATAAAGGTGTGAACGAGGAGTAGGAGGAAGAAAAAATAATTAAGAAAAATGAAAGAGAAAAAAAAAATTTTGAAGGGAAACGAAAAAGAAAAAAGTGTAAAAGAGTTGTTCATGATATCTTTGCTTATCATCCTCTCTTATAATCTGAAGACCCAATACTAACTGTAGAAATCTAATTAGAAAAAAAAAACAAAGAAAAAGGAAAAGAGGAAAAAAAAATGAATTTTGTCAAAGTTTATATGGAAGAAGAAGATGAACAATGACTTTTTTTTTAAGAAGAAATTAACATTTTTAATTATAAAACTATTTTATAAGTAAAAGAGTAAAACGAGAAGAAAAAAAAGTTAGAACAAAACTAAAATAAAATAGAAAATTAGAGAATAAATATATTAATTTAACTTAAATACAATGATGAAATTTATTAGAGTCAATTAAAAATAACTTATTTTAATAAATAACATTAAAAATTTATAAAAATAAATTAAAAATAACTTATAAAAATTATAAATAATTTTTTTATAAATTATTCATAAATGCTCCAAATAAACAATGAGTTCAAATAAAATTTAAATTGTAAAGCCTTGCTATAACAACTGAGTCACATTATTATGAGTCAATAGAAACTTATTGATTATTTTAAGTTTTACATGATTTCATTTAATTTTTTGTATTTAAAATTAATTATTTAAAAAATAATCTGTGCACTTAAAATGTATAAAAAAATAAATTTATTTTATTATTTTTTTGTTAACAGTTTGTGTAATATTTATTTTTAAAATAAAAACATATTCATCATTAATTTAAACTTAAAAATTTTACAAAAAAATTTAAAATGAAGAATAAATAAATTCTTTTTAATTTTACACAATTTTAATTTTAAAACAGTCAAATTCAACTTCTTTTGGGTCAACGTCTTCTGGCAACTTGAGCCAATGGTCACTGGACTTCCATAAACATTAATGTCCAAAAGATACGAATCATTTAATGATTATAAATGATTCGGGGCCATATTTTCTGTTACTCCAAAAGAGTTGGTATTCCTAATTTTTTCTTTTTTGTTAAGGATATTTTCTGAACGATAATTAAAGGCTAATATTACTATTATTTTAATTTATTATATTCAATATAAAAAATATTTGTTATTTTAAATTTTTATTTAAATTTTAAAATATTCATTCAATATATAAATGTTATTAATAAATTTACATTAAGTTTAATTAAATTTGTAATCCATCTAATTAGATTACGTAAAATTATAGTTTTTTAAATTTCTAAATCAATTAAGTTGCTCTCCTTTCAACGTTAGGCAATTTTAATTTTTTGTCTTATTCTTTTACTTAAACCTTTCATACTTTTCATGATGAAGTCATTTTAATCCTTCATTTATTCACAATTCAGTACAAAGTGATGTTTATATCGAAAATTTACCATAAATTTATAAATATATAAATATAAAAAAAATTAATATTTTAAAGTAAATTTTTAAATATTTAAGATTTTCTAATAGAAGAACTAAATTTGCTTACTTTTTTTTAAAAAATTAATAAAAAATAATTAGGACTTGTTTGTTTTTTCTTTTTAAAAATAAAAATATATAAAAACTTATTTGTTAATATAAGTTTTAAAAAAAAATTTAAAATTTTTTTATTTTCAATTTTTAAATCTGAAAAACAGAATTACTATTTGAGTGTTTTTATTTTTATTGTTCTGTTTCTCTTCCTTAAATTAATAAAAATTTGACTAAAAACAGTTTTAAAAACAAAATTATTAAACAATTTTTTTATTTTTTTCTAAAACAATTTTAAATATATAATTTTTAAAAATTAAAACTAAATCAAATAAACTTTAATTTGCAAGTATTTTTTTATCTATTTAATTTCTTTTTTCACAAATGAATAAATTATATAAATAAAAATACAATTAAGTCATTAATAAGTGTTAAAATTACTAAATCCTTACCACTAGAGATAAAAATAAGTTAGACTTTGCATAAATAGGTCTGACCTGTCTAATAATTTTAAAGTTTAAACTTGATTTATTATCTATCATAAGCTTTTTATTAAGCTTAATCTGACCTTTTTAAAAGTCTTATTTGGCCTATTAACTTTTTTAATGACCTACTTCGTATTGAGATATTTAATAAATTATTAAATTTTTTTATAAATAAACTATAAATCATCTAAATAGGTATGTTTTTTAAAAAGTGATAACGCTTATATCTAAATAAATTATTAAAAAAATAATATAATATAAATAAGTGCGCAAGATTATAAGAAGATATGAATGAGAGGAGACAAACTAGTAATAAACATAATCGAGACAACGTAATATAAATCAATATTATGCGTAAAAAATATACAAAAAAAATTCAGCAAGTAGAGCTCTCACTTAGAGAATATGTAATACAAACATTCTTTAACTTTAACAAAAAGAATTAGACTTTTTAATTTAAGATTTTATTATTTTAAAATGTAATTAATTTAATATATTATTATATTATAATTTTTATATCAAATTATTTAATATATTAATATAAATTTTATGAATTTTAAATAAGTCATTCTAAGAGGCCTAATAAATTTTTTCTTAAGTTTAAGCCTAACTTATTTAATTAATTAAACTTTTTAAGAAGCTTAAATAAAGCTTATTAATTAAATAAGTTAGCTCAGACTAAATTTTAAATAAGCTAAGTCGTAAGCTCCTTTTAGATAGCGGTTAGACTTATTTCTATCTCTACTTACCACTAAATTTTTATGTAGCACAAAAATTGAATAAAAGTAATCTAACTTTAATTTTTATCAAAATTTGTATTTTTAAAAAACTAAATTAACTTCTCATAATTTTGTATTTTTTAAAATTAATCTATAATTCTCTAATTTTTAAAAATCTAAATATAAGATAAATATTTTAGTTTTGAAATTAATTAAGTACATATAATGTGTGTTTGAAAAAAAATATTTCTATGATATCTCTAATTATCCACATAGGCAAGAAGAATGTAGCAATATCCAGTTTGGTGAAAGAGAGACAGACACGTGCATAGTTGGTTCCTTTCTAATCTTTCCCCATTCATACCCACTCATGACTTTGGCTAAGCCCTACCATAGCTCGTAACTACCAATCTAACCTTACCATTACCTTATTTATTGATTTTGAATATCATTCAACCATGAAATGATTCATACATCACTTTTCTCCTCTTTCTCCTAACTCTCTCTGTGGTTCCCACTCAAATTAACTACTGACTTTGACCCTTCAATCACTCCACACAGTTCCACAATCCCCACGTTTCCCCCTTCTCAAAGCTCTTTTTCCTTTTCGCAAAATCCCTTTTTTCTTTCTTCCATTCTATGTAATAATAATAATAACAGTTTATTTGATGTATATTTAAATATATATATATATATATAATTTATATATATATATAATTTTGAATTTAAAATGATCAAATTTAATATATTATAATATTAAACAATATACTTTATTAATAATTTTCATAATATATTCTGAAACATAGGAGTGTTGAAGAAAGCATAATAGTAATAGTAGGTTGGTTTGGTTGTTCCCATATTGATGGGGATTGTGCCTCATATGGATGCTCTCAAATCAGGTGACTCTGCCTCCTCTGTGTAAGGAAGGAATGATTTACTGATTCATGTTTCGATGGAAGTTTCAGTTTTTTTATATTAAAAAGCACAGCTCAACTGCCGAAAGTTTCATGTAAGTGACCTTTGTTTTAATAATAAATAAATTCAATTTACTGCTTAGATTGGATTTTAGTGCCTCCTTTTTAGCTATGAATTGGAAATGATGAGCATCCCTTCAATCCTGGAGTTTTCGTAAATCCTTTTATCAGAGAAATTCTTGGGTGATATAAAACACTATTTAGTTATGATTTTGATTATTATTACCTAACATGTGATTCACTTTCCAGTTCATAAAAAATCATTAAAACTTAGTCACATGTCATTTAACAATTAGCTAAGATTATAAATATATGATGGTGTTGGATCACTTAATAACTTTTTGAAATTAATTATTAAAATTATACAAATTAAATATTTTAGTGATTAAAAGATTTAAAACTCTTGATTAATCTTTATTTTTATTTTCTATTTATAAAAAATAAAAGAAAATCGAGGCTTTACTCCTGAAAATGTACTTTTAGTCACGTGGTTTCAATAAATTCTGTCACCTGTCTTTCTTGGAATATAGGTGTCGAAATTCTGTCAATGAGTGGCTGAGAAATTTCAATGTATATATGTAAGTTTTATTCGTGCAACAGAGGGGCGTAGCTCAGACTCACGGCTTCAATTGGATGTGTCAGAGTTATATACATGTAATTATGACTTTCTTTTTGTTAACATTAATTATGCTGATGGGGAGAAACTTTTTTGTGGCCATTTACGTGACAAATATGATTTGTTTTGTTGCTTCTTGCATTAACAACTCAAGCATGATGAGATGTGAAATTGAAATTTACCTGAATGAATGGCTAGCTAGTCCTTTTTTACCCACAGGGGAATTCTATGATTTTGGAGAGCATTCGAAATCTTATAAAATGGTTGTTTATGAGATGAGTTTCTGAATGAAGGTTTGGTTCTTGTTTCCCCAGAGATGGCAAAAGGAGGAAACATTGTGCAGTATAGGGAGAGGTTGGACAAAACTCTTGCCTCACCTGATCTGACAAATGACCAGATACTCAAAACCCTTGTCAAAAGTCAACTTCAACGTTCTTCAAATGTACAAACAGAAGGTAATAGCATCTGCATTCCTTAGTTTACTTTGAGATCATTGGCAAAAATGTGTTAGTATTATTTTTTGTAGCTATGTACTTAAATTTGTCTCTATCTCTTTTTTATTCTATATTTGGCATTTGCAGGGTATAAGGAGGAAGTAGTAGAAACTAGGACTACAAAGCTATGTAACTTTCTTGATATGTTGAGAAGTGCTTCTGGAGACAATGGGGAAGGTTCTACTACATCACATACTGATTGGAAAGTATGCTATATTTGGTAGCTTTTGCCAATAGCCATTTTGTGTTTTCTTGATGTTTCATTTCCCTATTTAGGTCATTGTCCGTTGATTTAAATGTTTAAACCTTCTAATTTTATATAAATAATTGATAACTACTTTTCTTAGAAATCAGGAATTTACATTGGCTGATCAACTTCTTGCTTCAGTGATTATTTATTCTGGATACTGCTTATGCTTTGAGCAGTAGTGACTTCTTCAATCAAATTCTCTAGGCATTTTTGATAATTTTACTTCTTTCAACAGTTAAAACAAGATAATGAAGAGTTCCGTGTTATGTATTGTGAAGGACCAGAGGGAACTCCCTATCATACATTGCTAGTTGAAGGCTATGTAGATGGGCCTCTTGATGTTTGTGAGTCATATTAGAGCAACCCAAAATTTTTGTGCCCTTTTAAGTCATATTAAAATGTGAAGTTTAAACGAGTTATTTCTTCATTCCAGGTTTATGCCTTTCATGGGATACCCCTCTCTACAAGAAATGGTGAGAATTATATTGTAATGTGTTTTAATTTTCTGCATATTAGTCCCTTAACAGCACTCAGCACTAGTGTCATTTTTCAGTCTTGAATTTCTGTGCAAGGTTGGAAGTTATACCAATAACCAATGAATGAAAATTAGTTACACGCCATGGTTTTTGCATCCACTTGACATTATTTTTGTCTATTTTAAATCCAAGTTCGGAGTCACTTTAAAAATCTTGGTGACACTTCTAGCTTAGACCCTTTTCACATTTTGTTTCTCAGGTGGCCTCAGTTTTCTATTCCCAGTTTTAAAGTTATAGTAGCTGACTGTTTGCAGAAGGTCCAGATTGGTGAACAAATATCACTAGTTAGGTTTGTCTTGCTAGCATCAGTTAAAAGATTTTATTTCTTAGTGTCACTCAACATGTTCATGCTAAAAGCCTTTACTCTTGAATGCTTATATTGCTCATTTTGGAAGAAAGGATGAAGATTCCATGGCCGCTGTCAACAAGGGAGGCTATAGTGCACTATTATCTGTTTGAGTACTTTCAAGATGATTTAGTAGTTGTTCTTTTGAATACGGTAGTCCCCTGGATCCTTCTTTCTTTCTTTTCAAAGAAAGTTAATTTTAAACTATATCTAAGCTTCGAGAAATGTGTATTTAATTTACTTTCAGGTCGCTGAGTCAAACACCATTGATGGTTTCAACAAGGATGCAATTCCTGAAGCGAAGGATGCCGTGAGAATTGATGTGGTAGGAGGCTATGTTATGCAAAAGGTGACATCGGAAAGAAGTTACTTTCGGTGAGTTTTAAATGAGAACTAAAAAATTAGAATTAACTTGAATGGGGTGATGAGATGAAAGGTGAAAGTCGTCACCAGTAATACACCATAAAAAACCATATAGGATCTGCTTGATCTTAAAGAAGATGCAAAAAATATTGGAAAAAGTTTTCTGTATGTAACGGCCAACTATATTCAACAATGATATATGGTTTTGTTTGTCTGTCAAACTCATGTGCAGCAAGTAATTTTTCTAATAGGTTTAGCAAATGAACTGTGTTAGCTTTAGATAATGATTCTGTATTATAGCAAAACTACGGTGAGTTTATATTGTTTTTGTGGCAGCTAGTGAGGGCAGTCTTTTCTTAAATTATAAAATTAAAAAAATGCAATTTCACTGAGATTCAATACTTCAAACTTGGCTTTGCTGATGTTTCAATGAATGGTTATTTATACCTGATTTAATTGATCCATCGGTAGCTTACCTCATTTTTCATTTCATATTGGATACTGAAAGAAATATGTAATTGAACTGTAATTTATAGACTATTTGTATGGCTTAACGTCCAACAAGTGGTGAAAAGTGAAAAAAGGATTTTGGTTAGAAACCCTTATTTTATGACGTAAGTTTTTGTCGATTTTTGTAGGATAATAGCAAATTTGGATTTAAAGCTGGATTTTGTACCTCCATCCCTCATAAATTTCATTTCAAGGCAGCTCATCGGCAGTGGTTTCAGACTTTATCAGAAGGTTGTAGATTCATTTCAAATGTATTTGTTATTAGGCATCAACCAATATTTACTGTTTTTAGTTTCTGGCATCTAACTAATAAGATCAATAAATTATTTTAAAGATAAACGAACAAGTAAATGTAAGGCACCATTAGGAATTTAGGATTACAGAGAAAGAATTACATTCATACTCAATAAGGATTCTTCAGTTGTACATGTATTTAACTCATGGATCTTGCTAATGATTGTCTTAAGGACTCTTTGTAAAGGAATATTGTTCAACACATCCTCTTAAATACTTCTAATTACTTAAAAATGCTAGTATTAAATATTTTTTAAGATTTTAATATAACGAATACTTTCCTTTTTATTAAGTACTCTATTTTTATTTCTTTAACTTGTGTCCGGAAGGGCACTCGTTAACATTCTCCTTAACTTGTATAAGAGGACTTGCCATGGATTATGAAGTTAATAGTCTTTTTTATTTGCAATGGCCAGTTAAAAGATTGATTTCAGCTTATTTACCATTTTCTGCTTGCTCTTTTTTATAAAACATTTTGTATTGTTTTCTGTCATCTTTTGACATTAACCAATCCCTGATATTGTTATAGGCTGTGGCTTCTATAATGGGCCATGATAAAGATAAAGAATTCAGCAAGGCCTTAGAGGACTCTTTGTATGTTAGAATACGCGAAGCGCTATATAATATTAGCGGATCAAAGGCTATGAATGGGAAAGAGCTTAAGCAAGATGCTAGCGTTGTTCCTGCTGAAGAACCTATTCAACAAAGTGAGCAATATGAGGCAAAATATGTATCCTGTGAGGATAGCAGCAACCAACGTGCAAATAATTACAATGGTTAGATTTTTGAGGCTGGTAGTGAAGTGGTTGTAGAAGCAGATTGTAGAGAGATTGTACAAGTTGAGGAGGATGTCAACAAGGTACTTGGCATTCCAACCGAGGAAGGAAATTCAAGGAGAGTACTGAAGGGCAAGAGGAATGGTGAAATCGAAGAGGCAGAGAATGAAAAGATTGTAGAAACAGATAGTGAAGAAATTGTTCAGATTGAGAAGGGTGTCAACAAATTGCATGACATTCCAATTGAGGAAGATGATAGAAGGAATGTACTGAATAGCATGATGAATGTATATATACGTTCGGACGTGAAAAAGGCTCTAGCAACCTTAGAGAGGGTTATTTCAATGGTTCGTGAATATAGATTTCATTCCCTCATGTCCACTCCAAACTTTGCTAATGAAGAGTCCCACTGCATTGAAAAAAGTGGTATAGTTGATTCAAATTCTGCAAAACTTGTTCAAGTATGTTTGAAAAATGAAGTTAGTGTTGAAGTATCAAGCAGTATACTTGAAGAAACTTTAGAAAAAGTTGGGACTATCCAAAACTTAAGGTGAGTAACCAAAGGAACAAAGTTCTTTTTTCCTTGGTATTTTATATTCTTAATATCTCTAAAAATTTGATTTTTCATCGAATCTAATCGTGTTTTATGTTTTATGTAGTTGACCATCTAGTGAAATAAAACTTTATTGTTATTGATTTTGTAACCTTTGATGTGGTTTGTTTGGAAATATATGTCAATTGGTACAGAATGTAGTTGATTGTGTGAATATGTATTTACTGATGCTCTTATTTTTTTTAGTTCCTTCAGGCACACAGGAGTAAATCCTAACCTAAAGGAAGTAAACTATAACAAAGTAGTACCAGCTTCAGCAGAGCAGAATCTTTCAGCACCAACTGGAGCAAGCCAAGCTGATTTATATTCTTCGAAAAATGGGACGACACTGGACCAGACAATATGTAGTAACATGCAACTAAACAGTGATACAGTCCAAGATGTGTCTTCAGATGACCTGAAAAAGTCAAGCAGGGAGATGAAGTATCGATATTGCTGTTTTCTGTATTAGCTAAAAAGAGAAAAATTTTAAGGCCAATAACAGAAAAAATAGCGTGTTTAAAGGTATTTAGTCACCTTGCAGCCCAATCTTCAACAATTTAGTACAGGTTTGGTATATATTTACTCGAATATCACTTGTATAATAGTCATATATATATATATCGGAGTAATTCTGTCCCTTGGAATTCTACGACAAATATAATATATGTAGTGTCATATTATTATTATTATTGCTGCTCAATCTATCTCTAAATTTAAGTTTATTTCGAAATGTATGATTAATTCGGTCGTAGTCTATGAAATGATTTATGAAACCAGTGAAATTGCAATTTGGAAAACACTATCAGAATTCTGAATGAATGACAACCTCTTTCTGTGTTTTTTTTTTCTTCTGACGACATCCTCTTTCTCTCAGAATAGTATGAAGTAAGATTTCTGTCAATAGGTGCATGAGGGTATCTTACAAAAACTAGCTTGTCGATTTCAATATCTTATTTCACTGTTTAATGTAAAACGTACCCATACTAACATTTTTGAAACTTCACGTTTATGTGTATTAGTGTGTATCTACTACTATCTTAGGCCTTGGGAGTTTACATTCTTTCATAAAGTTTTAAGGATTTTTATTTTCTCACACCCTATTCTTTATATATTTTTCTTACATTTTTTTATGTTTCTCTCCCTTTTTTCGTTTTTTAAATATTTTTAAAATTAACGACTTATTAGTTTAATTGTAGTTTTAATTAGGGTCAAATTGATAATGATAAAAAATATATTTTTTATTTGGAGGATGAGGGTTTACAATTTGCATAGATGTGGCACAGAAACTTTCAGTTGAAAGCAAATGAGTATTTAACATCTCAAATAGATTATTTATTCAACTTTGATCATGGACCATTTTTTAAATACAAAGGAAGGAACAAAATGTAAAAACAAGTATATCTCAAAATTTTTAAAAAGATCCCTATATTTAACTTTTATTTTTAGTAAATACTTTTTCCTTTCGATCAATCATTAAAATTTACTAGTCTTTAATATTTTTTAAGAATATATTTGTTAAATATAATTAAAGGGCATTAGCAACCGTTCAAAATATTATAATGAACTATTTTAAAAATAAATTTTATAAACTATAAAACCCATTCGAATATAATTGGAATAATAGAATAATATTATAAACAAATTAATATATAAAATGAATATAAATTAATCTAGAACGTGTGAAATTTTTTTTTAAGTACTTGTATGGTGTAAAATTATCTTAATTATACAAGAATACTTTTATTTTGGTAATTTACTTCAAAATTTATGAATAAATCTCTCGTGATAAAAATACTAGAATTTAGTTTTAATATGTATGTGTTCTACAAGAAAATAAATATTTTGATTTATATTCGATTAAAAAAATAGTGTCCTAAAAAATAAAAAGTATAATTTTCTTGGAAAAAATTATTAACACGCTTTTTTCTTTTTGAATGTATTTTATCATTGATTTTAATAAAAAAATTACTTTAGAATTCCTTTACTAATTCAGTAAAAACACTTATAAGCAAGACTCAAAATTAATATAAACATAGCTTTTTTATAACGTTCGATATGAGTAAAATTATAAATTTTTTTACATGAATAAAAATTTCTTATATACATAATTCTGTAAAGATTTATTTCGTTGTAATAAAAATCAAATCACAGTTTTAAACTAAACAAGAAGATAAATAGCAATTTTATCTCTTTTATTTTTTATATTTAATATGTATAGTAAGAAATTTTTATTTTATATTAGCTCTCTCTTTTTTCTCTAAGATATTAAAACATGAACAAAAATATAAAAATTCCTCACCTCTTTTCCTTTGTCTTTTTTTTTTTTTCCCAATTAAACTTTATGAAAGTATTATTCCTCATTGCTTTTCCGGGGCTCTTTACCATACCATTACTATTATACTCACATGACCAAACATAGAGTAATGAAAACTGGTGGCAACTGTAATTTTCTCATCTGCTTTTTACATTTTTGTCTTACAGAATATTTTATTTGTTAAAATATATCAATATATTAAATTTTATTAAATAATTATTTGAATGGTTGATTGAAAATTGCACTGTCTATGGTTAAGTCAGACTATAGGATTTTTGTCAAATAATATATTTTATCTCTAAAATATTCTTTTATAGGAATTATATTTAGGGATGGGAAAAAATCTGGATATACTATATAACCTAAGTTAAATTGAATTAAAAAATATAAATTTTAAAAAAAGTGAAATATTCAATTTACTTTATTTTTGTCCAGATATAATTTAGATTTTATTTTATAAAACTTAATTTGCTTTTACTAAAATAAGCACTTGAGAATAATTGAAGATCCATATATGTTGATTTTGAGTTAACCATACTAATTTGAAAGTTTTTTTTTAAATTTTTTTCCTCAAATATTGACCGTACATTTATCGTATGAGGAAACGAGTATTTTAGATAAAATTATAAATTTAAAATATTATAATATATTATAAAAATTAAAGATACAGAAACTTATAAGATTATCATAAAATTAATCAAATATAATATACTAAAAAAATTAAATAAATTAAAATAAATATTTTAATAAAAATATAATTTACATATATAATATCATATAAATGATAAATAAATATTATAAATTACATACAAAACAAAATTATATATATATGTGCATTTTAATTTATTATAAGTTAAAAATAATAATAAATATTTTATAAATTTCTATAAAATATAATATAATTAATAAATATTACTAAAATATTTTTAAAATACACTAATTTAATGCAATGATTTGTTCAATAAATTAATTTTATCTTAAAAAATAAATTTACAAATGTATTGAAAATTAGTTTTGTCTTAAAACTGGATTTAAAACTAATTTAATATAAAACTAAATTTAAAACTAGTTTCAGTAAAAATTAAATTTAAAATTAATTTTAAACTAAATTTAAATTTTAAAACTACTTTTAAATTGATTTAAAAAAATAAAATAAAATATCTTAAAATTTAATATGTATAATTAGTTTATATGGTAGAGAGATATAAAAATTAGAATATATACAAATATATACTAATTTAATACAATATAAAAATTTAAAAAATTATATTATTAATAGATTAAAATATATGCAAATATAATTTTATATTAGTTATTATAAAATTTAAATATTTTTAAATATAATAATTTAATAATAATATAAAAAATATTTATAGTATATTTTTATCTGATTTAAAATTAATTTTAAACTAAATTTAAATTTTAAAACCAAATTTAAATTAATTTTTTAAATATTAAAATAAATTTGTTCAAAATTCAATATATATAATTAAATTTTAAATAGATCTAAATTAATTTTTAGAAAATCCAATATATTCACACCCCTAATTATATCTAAAATATTTTGAGGGTCAAAACATAGAAATATTTTAAAATCAGCTTGCATGTATTTTTATTTAGGAGATTATATATCTATGAGCTGAGTTCTGGAGAAAAAAAGGAAGAAGATACATTTTTTATTTTAATAGGTATTTTTAATTTAGTAAAAACAATAAATTAACAAATTTAATGTGTTAATCTTTATGTCTTTTTATGAACATATATAAATGTCTTTAAAATATCTTCTTATAATTTTATATATTTTTAATTTACTTCTTATATATTTTTTTTTTATCTTTAAGCTCTTTCTATTATTTTATGTATTAAACTTTATTTCCCTTTATTTTTATTCAATGTAATGCCGTGTTATGTTATTAATCACAGTTTTAACAATAGTTATTATATTTTAAATTTAACCAAAACTTTTAGGGAGCTATTTTGTGATAAAAGAAAAGAAGTTTAAAAGAATTAGTTTAAAAAGTGTAAACCACGGAATATACTGTAATTTTTTAATTAAATTAAAATTTTTAATTTAATAAAAATCTTCGAAAGTATGTTCTATTAATTAATATCCAAAATTTTCAATCAATATCAACATTTACAAATATTATTGAAACAATATTATATTAATTATGAGAATAAAATATTTTTATTGATCAAACTAATTTTTAAAATAGTTATATTTTTTTACTTATATTGAAAATAATCGGTTCTTTATAGCCAGAAAAATATTTATATGTATGTGCGAGAAGTCTCGAATTGTAAGGAAAGGAAAGGAAATCTTGGGGAGGAAGTTCCGAGCGCAAAAATGGGGTGGGTTTGGAGCGAAGACAATAGCGACAATCTCCAACTCGGTGATTCGGAACGATGCTCCACAACGAAGGTCGTGAAATCGCAGTGTAGAACAGAGGAGGTTCAATCTGGAAAGTTCGTTAGAAAATGCGAGAAAACGGAAGAGCTTCTCAGGAATTGCGTCGGAAGGTTATTCTTCTCGTTTAACTTGTTTTCTGGACAATACTGTCAAATGATTCATTGATTAGGTATTAATTAGGAAGTAGGAAGCAGTTTGCTTTGAATTCTATAGGTTGTGTCTGCCGATTCTTTTTTGCGTAATTATTAACTAAATTGATGATTATTTTAATCAAAATCTTGATTGGATATTGGAACAGAGTAGGAAACGGCTGCATTGACGTCTTTGTTACGCTTAAGAATTAGGGCAGAGACTGGAGGTATAGATTTTCAAAGGAAAAGTATAGTAAAAAACTGTTATTTCGTTTGATGAAAACTGTAAATCTGGAAAAACGTTATTATAGAGCTAGCTATGTATGGTTATGGCATATCCTTTTCTAAAAGAGTGAGATAAGAGATAACTCACGAGGTGTGAGGTGCAGGTACCTGAGGCTTAAAATTGCTTTGTAGATAATCTATAAAACATGAGCTCTTTTGAAGCTATCTCAGTGATATGTATCTAAGGCCTTGTATGTGAATCCTGTTCTTCTATTGATGCGGAACAGAAGTGCAAATGTATAATTAATATTATCATAAAAATCAAATCGATACAAATAATAATGTTGGCTCTCCCTTGTCCTCCATCATTTATTCAATTCTTTTTTTCCTTGTGCTTATTTCTTTCCATCTATCTGTATCCATGAAAAACCAGATGAAAAATAGCTTTGTTTAATATGACTGTGGTAAATTGGTTGAAAGTGGGTAAGACATAATATGCATGGATTGGATTAGGCTTAAAATCTAGTTTGTTTAAGATAATATTTGTGTGATTAGTTTTTATCATGGTAGACAAACTAGGTAATTAAATGGCTTTGTAATATTGTAGAAGTATGGATAATTGCTTGTTAGGTTGTTAGGAGTCAAATTATTTTCTTATTCTGACACTCACATATAGAGGACATATAACTATATTAGAAGTAGTAGATGCAATTGATTTTTTATTGTCTGTTGGTTCAAGTGAAAATCAAATTGCTATATTGTTCAGTTTGGCAGCATGGAGGAAAAGGGAATGCTTCTAAACACACACACACACACCAAACGCACACAGTATTCTTGCATTTGGGTTTTTCATCAGTTTATTGGTCCATACTCCATAGTTGATATTTGATGGCCAAGCTGCTTGAGTTTAAAAACCTCTGCCTACTTATTTGGTTTAGGTTTGGTTAGATGCTCTGCCTGCTTATTTGGTTTAGGTTTGGTTAGATGCTCATGCTCTAAGGGTTTGATTCCTGAGATGCATGGAAATGATGACGCACCAATATTTCAGATGTTCCATTCAAATTTATGACATGGACACAGCTATATTGGCGTGTGTGTGCACACGCACACATGCTTCAGCTTTCAGGCATTAGGTTCTGCACAGCCTTTTTGAGGTGCTCCATTGAAGCATTTTGATATGGACACAGCTTTTTTACAGACTCTGTGCTTTATAGGTTGATTTTAGTGTTTTGGCATTAGTTTATTGGGAATAATGGCTGCACTACCCAGTTACCCTCTCTCTGTAGCAGTTGCATTTCTCTCATGCCCTTTTAAATGAAAATAAAATTTTAATCAGTTTACCTTTCCCCCTTTTCAGGCCTGTTGAGGTGTTGCAATCAAACAAAGAGTATACTGAAGAGGATATCACACATGAGGTACTTAGAGGAGGATCTATTCCATTTAGCTCATCCAACAGCTCATCAGACCATGGTGTGTTTGACTTCCCTGGGCTCCGAAGTGATATTGAAACCTTGGAACGGAATCTGTTTGGTGGTATCTATCGTTTCTTTGAAGCAGCTGACGAAATGAAGAATGGATTTTTTGATGTGTTTGCAAACCCTCCAGGCATTAATGCAGAGTCATCTTCACCCTCTATGAGGCGAGGGATACCTATTGAAGAAAATCGTCCGCCAGAAGCTCATCCTAGATCCAAGGAGAAGGAATCAGCAGATACTGATTTCAGTGCAATGGCTAAAGATGTTTAAATATGCCTTAGATATACAATAATCTTTTCTTAATTTGTATTAGAATATGGACATCCGGAGTACAAACAAGTCCTCTAATAATGTGTTTCTCTACATCTTTGGCAGCTGTATAACACTTTTTAAAGATGTGGCTGTGTGGCCAAGTTTTTATCTTTTACCTACCACTCAGTTATAGGCATTATGAATGATTAAGCGATTCACTATTAAGCGATCCTTATTCTACCTGATGATTGGATTAGTTACTTTCGCTGCACAATAACATTCTTGTCCCAAATATTTGGGGGGTAATTTGGTTAATTGAGCCTGTAAAGTGAAATCTAAGTTTAGATGTAGGCCAACGAATATCTTAAGTCACCGCTGATGCAGAAAATGATAAAGCAAGCTTATTTTATAAGAAATATTTATTTAGAAAAAGATAAAATTAAATGATGTTTTCTAAATTATTATATAATAATTTTGAAAAAATAAAGTAAAAATTTGGTGTTAGTTAACTTCAAGGTTGTGCTTGATTTGACGTTCACGAAAATAAATCGCGTGCAGATAGTGCATTTTGTCTCGTGTTTTATTCCAGAAAGTTGAAAATTAGGTTTTAATTCTATTAATGAGAAAGTAACATTTAATTTTTTTTTGAAATAGTAAAATTTTGTTTGTATAAGCATGGACAAAAGTATCCTTTTAACTTATTATATTGTCAATTCAAGAGAATTCATTTTTTTGGTATATATTTAAAATAAGTATTTTTAGGATAATAATTACTAAATAAAAATATTTTTTTATCATGACTTTTAATATGCTTTTAACATTATTTTAAAATCAATTTATTATTTTTAAATAGTGTCCTTATAACATTAATTGGTTAATAATATTTTATAAATTGAATTTAACACTTTTAATAGCAATTAATAACGTGATTAAATAAGACTTGTAATGTATTAATGTTTTATATTACATGCTTTTTAAAATTATTTTATATAATAGAAAATTTTATAATACTTTTAATAAAAATAAAATAATTAAATATACTTTTTAATTCGTGTCATTGTCTCAAATGAATATCTTTTAGAGAGAAAAAAATATTATTATTTAAATAATATTTATTATATTAAAATTACTCTTTAAATTAAATATTTTCAAACATGAGTTAATTTATTGAAATATATTTTGAACTAAAATTAATTTTACAAAAACATGTAAAATTAATTCAAACAAACACTATTTTGGATTAGGGAAACACGGTTAAATGTTTGCAATTTCCTGCAGCACAATCTCGTCAACTCGTAGTGGCTTTGCGTTTCATGCTTTCATCACATCATTGACGCCATTTTGCTGCCTTGAAGACTGCAAGTCCTCCATCTCCATCTCCATGGAGCATCACATAATTGTGAATCAATTGCTTTGTTCCCCCAAGAACGCACGTTAAGAACGTTGCGTTGCTAATGGAAGTTAGTGCGGCACCACTTATCTGCATTCCTCGTAAAGAAAAATCCCTCCTCCTTTCCCTCTTTTTCTGTTCATGAAAATTTTGATTCTAAGGGTTTCATTATGATTCGTTGATAATATAAAAACATTTCCATTTGGTAATGCGTTGTTAAATTATCAAAAAGTTATCAAGTACTCTCATCACTGTACTGTTCATTATCTTTTAACCAAAATGTTTTTGACTCCGATTCTCTGTTTTTTCTGCACTTGAAAGCCATTTTTTATACTTTTGTTTAAGTAAAATTTTTTCGCTTAAATAAAAATATGAAAATATACTAATTCCAGGCTGCAGCGCAGGAATCTAGATCCAAAAGTTATTCAGTAGCACAGTAAATTATTTGAACTCGCTTTATTAAATGCTTAATTAAATTTAACTGTTTGATTAAATAAATAAACTTAAATTCAAAACTAAACTCAATTATTTAAATAAGTTATAAATTTAACATCAATATCTCACTAATAGCTTAGATATATAAACATAATTTATTATTATCGTTTGAGTGTCGTATTTATTTTATTTTTTAAAAGATATTTTAAATGAGAAACTATAATTTTTTTAAAATTATACTATTTTCATATTATTTTTTAAAATTTTAAACTTAAGTCATTTTTATTAAATAAAAAGATATTTTATTATTATATCACTTTATTTTTAAGCATAAAAATTTATGAAAATATTCAAAACTTATAAAAAATATAAAAAAAACTAATAAGTTAAGTTGAAACTTTAAAATTATTAATCTAACACTTTAAATTTAACTTGTTTAAAATAGAAACAAAAAAAAAAAAAAACTTGTTTAAATAAATGAGTTAATTTTTTTTTACAAACCAAATTTATACTCATTTACACCCCTTTACCTTCTTAATATTGAACAGGTCATTAATGCATAGCAAAAAATAGGTCTAGATGAATCAACAACCTTTATGTTGATAATATATTTGATTTGATCAACTTGAATATCGAGGACCGAGTAAACTTCTACCTTTCTTTATTAATAACTATTAATTAATACACATTGTAAATATAAAAATATATAATATTTTAAATTAATTTAATTAAAAAATATTGTTTTATTAGTAATAAAAACGTTAAAAATAGGTATTTAATTTTTTTATAAATAATTAAAATTAATTTATTTAACATAATTTATTTAACAGTAACTTATAAATATCTCATCAGTTTTAGTGTTGTTACAAGAAAATTGAGGATTAATCAATAAAAAAAAAAGAAGTAAAAATATTTTTCAACTGATTAACTAATTGAAGAAAAATATTATTTTATCTTTCTATAGATGTTTTTTTAGATAAAAAAGAAAAATTACTAAAATATGATGTTTTGAAAAGAATGTAAAAATATAAAAACAAATTCTAAAATTGTCAATGACATATTTTCATACTTTAAAATTGTTTACTAATTTTAAAAAAAAATTATTATTGACAATTTTTAATGCTTTATAACTTTTTTTCGTTTCATTTTTTAATTTCTGTCCTGAAAATATTTGAATCTCATATTTTTGTAATTTTTCAAAAATATCATATTTTTATATATATTATTTTAAAATACCATACATAAAAAAATATTTCTGATTAGAAGTTTAAACAAACGTGTGGCACAAAAAAATAAAAACTTTGCATGAAAAGGAGAGTACATAAAGATGTTATCCTATTTTTAAAATTGAGATATATAAGTGTGATTATAATTTGAATTTTTTCCCCATGAAATGTGTCATTACTTTGAAAGAAAATTATTTATTAATTATTTGTAAGATTTTCCTTAGTACTAAAACATGAAAAAAATTGTTACTTTTTTTATTGCAAATAATATTTATTATTTTTGTATTTAATGTAATAAATAAAATTTTAATCAAAATATTTAAATTTTTGGTACTTAAAATTAATTACAAAGTCTGATTTTAAGGAAATATTTTTTTACTCCCTCTTAGAATAGGGTGGGAAATAACTAAGTACAGAAGAAAAGTTTTTTTTTTTTTTTAAAATATTAGGTTGATTATCATTATAAACATATTTGTGAAATTAGTGTTTTGAGATTGTGTTGGATTTGAACTTAGTAAGGTTCACCAAAAGTTTGAGTCCATTTTTATTATACTAATAACGACTATTAAGTCGTGGAGTTGTTTTTTACTAAAAAGTATTACATGTGTGCACTTTTTTAATGTTATCCACAAAACTTTAAAAACAATGATGAATTGACTGAGAATAAAATACACCGCATATGTATAATTTTTAAATAACTTCATTTATGAAAAAAGCAAAATTATACCGGCGACTGCCGGCGCTTAGCGTATTCCGGTGAAGCATCCTTCACAGGTCACACAAGAGTAACCCTTTCATGCAAACTACGATATCCCTCGATTCAAGAATAACGTTAAATTCTTCTATTTTATATGATTAAATAATTTTTTAGATAATAATATACACACTTTTTTTATAAAATATAATTATTTAATTATTTATTGGACCGGAGTTAATACTTACTTTAAGAAAATTCGTTGAATAAAACAAAGAAATCTTGAACGTCCACCTTCAGTGGCGATGGATTTGGCTGCACGCACGCGTTTTCTGAAAAATTGGAAACATTCTCCAATCTCCATTAACTGTTAACTGTCTTTCACACGCTCGTCGTCCTTCCCTCCTATTTCCTTCTTCGTTTTTTCTTGCTACAATCAACAAGAGAATATAATACACACTACATTTCCCATCTATATAACATCATCATTTTCTCTTCTCTTTTGTCCTTCTTCACGTTTAATTATTCTCACTCGGACTCTGTCTCAATGGGTCATTTTCTCCTTAGTTTACACCGTCCATTCATTTGAAAGTTTCCACTTTTATGCCTTCAAAATCTTCCCTTTACACGGTTTTCTTCGTCCCCATATTTATTTCCATAATGGGTTTCAATATGATTCATTAATGCTAATCAATTTCCTCCTTCTTCACATATTCAGAGACTCTTCTTTCCATCTACTTGCTCTCCTCTTTCAGTTGCCAAAAGACTAAAATTCTTGTTCATCGTCCATTACGGTATTCCATGTCCTATTGACATATTAGGGTACATAAACTTCGTTTCTACATTCATTCTCACTATAATAGTGGGGTTGATGCAGAAAATCGAATGTAATTGATTTCAGCCTTTCAGTGCTTCATTTGCTTCTTATTTCTTACATATATGCTTAGTCATCATACAAAGGCAGTGACTGGTGTAAGATGGGAAACAATTGTGTTAGTTCGAAAATCGATGTTCTTCCAAGTTCATTCTGGTGGTTTCAGCAAATGGGGGGAATAGAAATTTCGGAGGCTACTTCGTCTGTGAGTACAAATCCAAACACAAAAGCATTGGAGACTGTTCAAGAAAAACCTCCAGAAGTTGTGAAAATTGACAAGAAGGAAACGAAGCCAGTTCTATCCAATCAAGAGAACAATAATAACAAGACTTCAGATGAACAAATAAGGCGCATGGAACCTGCAATGAGACAAAGTGAAGCAGTTAGAGCAATAGAGCCTGCAAAGCCAAAAATGCCTTATTATGTTAAGAGGGTAGCAATAGCAGCTGCCGGGCTTCAAGCAGAGTCAATTTTGCTGAGAAAAAGTGGTCATTTGAAGGAGTACTATAATTTGGGACCAGAGCTTGGGAAAGGACAATATGGAACAACTTTTCTTTGCACAGAGAAAGCTACTGGAAAAAAATATGCTTGCAAGTCCATCCCAAAGGTGAAATTGGTGGGAAATGATGACGTGGAGGATGTGAGGAGGGAGATTCAGATAATGCATCACTTGGCTGGGTGTTCCAATGTGATTTCAATTAAAGGGGCTTATGAGGACGGTGTTGCTGTTCATGTTGTCATGGAAATGTGTGCAGGTGGGGAGCTGTTTGATAGGATTGTGGAAAGAGGGCATTACACAGAAAGAAAGGCAGCTAAACTTGCAAGGACCATAGTTAGTGTCATAGAGGCTTGCCACTCCCGTGGAGTAATGCATCGTGATCTTAAGCCTGAGAATTTTCTTTTCGTTGATGGCCATGAAGACTCCACCCTTAAGGCAATAGATTTTGGAATGTCAGTTTTCTTCAAACCAGGTTAGGAAAAAAAAGTTTTCTTTTCGCCTTGTGCAATCAACTTCTATCTCTAATTGTTTTCTTTCCAGTCTTTTATTTTGATATTCATGATTTAAATTATAGAATTTGTTAAGCTTCTTCGACAAAGTAATTGGCCTTTCTTACTCTAATTACACTTGCTTCTGATGCATTGATTGTATGAAATTTCCTGTAATAGGCAAAACGGTAGTGTGTTTATATCGCTCAATGGGGATTATTCATGTTTCTGTCAGGGGTGGTTATTCAGCTACAGTTTACTGCCTTTATTTGTGTGTCAATTTTTTTATCTTAGTGATGTGAGACGTTTGTTGCTGTAGCTATTAAGATATGATTAATTTTCTATAGTGTTGAAATCAAATGATCAAAGAGAACATGTAAAGATGCAAGGCTTTAATTTCCTGAAGAATTAAATTCTTGCCAGTGATTCATAAATATAATTAGTTTGACTATAGTAAAATTTTCTGAATTGTTCTACTTACATGATTGGTACGAGGGTTAGTCACTAAAAATATTCATTTGCAGGAGACATTTTCAGGGACGTGGTTGGAAGTCCTTACTATATCGCACCTGAAGTTCTATGTAGGCGCTATGGCCCAGAAGCTGATGTGTGGAGTGCAGGTGTGATCATATACATTCTCTTATGTGGAACCCCTCCATTTTGGGGTGGTAAGAGTTCTTAACATATCTAGTCCTTGAATGGTCCAACCATTTTTTTTTAATTTGTATTTCCTAATAGATTTCTCTTGGTTCAAAAAATTGAGATTTTTTATCTTCCTTGGTAACAGAATCGGAGCAAGATATATTTGAGGAGGTTTTGCATGGTGATCTTGATTTCTCTTCAGATCCTTGGCCAAATATCTCTGAAAGTGCCAAAGACTTGGTTAGGAAAATGCTTGTTAGAGATCCTAGAAAACGGATAACAGCACATGAAGTTCTTCGTAAGTTTCTACACTCATATTCCATAGAGATGCCAATGAAACACATTTTAATAACAATTGTCATGTCATTGAACATGTCATATTTTCTTTAGCATAGCCTTATTTATTCTTTTAGTTGATGTTAGTTTCCTTTGACACCTTCAACACTTACAATGAAAATCCTTTAAGAAATCACATTTTTAGTGCTAATTTTTAGAAGATTTTGGACAAAATATCAGGCATTTTACTCAGACTTTCTAACTTGAGTAGTAATTGTCCGTCACAATATCACAGAAGTTTTGTTTCCGTCTTGTAAATGATCATGTTCCGGTTCTTTGCAGGTCACCCTTGGATTCAGGTTGATGGAGTTGCCCCAGACAAGCCTCTTGATTCAGCAGTTTTGGGTCGCTTGAAGCAGTTTTCTGCAATGAACAAGCTCAAGAAAATGGCTCTAAGAGTAGGTTATTTTTCTATTACAAAACTGTGTCTCATACAGTATGTGTTTTCGTCTCTTTTGGGAATGGTAACCACTAGAGTGTTATATATTCACTTTGTTTACAAAGTTTAATATGTAAACATCTTAATTTCAACTTGGAACTGAAATCACACTTGTAATATTTTTCATATTGTTCTCTGCAGGTTATTGCAGAGAATCTCTCTGAAGAAGAAATTTCTGGATTGAAAGAAACGTTTAAGATGATAGACACAGACAACAGTGGTCAAATCACTTTTGAAAAACTCAAGGTTGGACTGAAAACATTTGGTGCTAATCTCAGTGAATCTGAAATGGTCGACCTAATGCAAGCTGTAAGTACTAGCTAGTTCAGAATTATCTTCAAATTCCTTAACATCACAAACTAAACCTACATTGTCTCTCTCTTTTCTGGTTTGACCTGTTTCACGTCCATTCCTTGACTCATGTTGCTAGGGAAAGCTCTTTGAGTATCATTCAGTGAAACAATCTTATGCAAAATAGAGAAAAGTAAAATAGTTAATAATAACCAAAATAATTAAGGTAGTGTTGGACATTTTTGGTAGCACACTGTTATAATCCATTGTCGTAATTTTGTTTGTAATTGCAGGCAGATGTTGATAACAGTGGCGCAATTGACTATGGAGAATTCATAGCTGCGACATTGCATATAAACAAAATTGACAGGGATGATCATTTAGTTGCAGCTTTCTCGTATTTTGATAAAAAAGGAAGTGGCTACATCACTCAAGATGAGCTTCAACAAGCTTGTGAAGAATTTGGCATGGAGAATGTCTGCTTGGAGGAAATGATCAGAGAAGCTGATCAGAATAATGTAAGTACATTTTATTGTAACGTAATTTAATGCTTGGTACCTGATTTATGAAACTGTAACACTTAGAATTAGAAGTAACCAACCAAAAGAAAAAAAAATAAAACGAACAGCATAGGTTGGCATTGTTGTATGTGTTGGTGACTTGTGTTCTTCCCTGATCAAATTGAAACTTAATTATGTTTTTCTAACAAAGAAATGAAAAGTGACGTGACATTCCAAGCAATGCTTTCTTTGCTGTTTTGATTTTAATTTTCATATAACGTGCTGGGTCATAAATGGTCCTCATAATTTTCAGTTATGTTAAACTAAATTTATGCTGTACAAATATTCCAAATTCCATTATTCTTTTTTATGATGTTGTTATGTTCATGTTTTAACCTTTCAGGATGGCCGAATCGACTACAATGAATTCGTGGCTATGATGCAGAGAGGCAATGCAGATTTAGATAAGAGCGGTCTAAAGGGTAACTCTAGTTTTAGCATTGGATTTCGGGAGGCAGTATCAGTATGTTAAGAAAAAAAGTTAGATATTTTCCATGCTTTTGTTAACTAAGCATTCCCCACGGTGTAACGAATTTAATTTCTCTTGAAAAGCTTTGTAGGGGCTATTATTTTGTAAAAAGGTTGATAGGTTTCCTTCGTGGGTTTTGCCATGTTATGTACATTATAGAGCAAAACATTATCTTGGGAATTTTCTTGAGTTACTTGGTGACATCTAAATTTCGGCCACACCAGCATTTATTCAAGAGTATTGGATTTATGGAGTAGGACAATTTATATCAACAAGTTTAACATGAACCAATGAAAAAGTGACTTGATTGTGGAGTTGGTAAAGGGGGCTTTTCCACTGGTGCTTGTCATGCTTAACACTTGGTCTTGGGGTTCAACGGATTATAATGACTTGCCTAATGTCAGAAATATCACTATCTGGACTTTATTTCTGTCTCGCCTCTGAATGTTATAAATTATAATGTAAAGCAACTTATCCATAACATGGGGAAAAATCATTTCAATTCTGAATTCTCTGCAATTTAGCATTTTAAGAATAAAACCAAAGGTCAACATTTGGTTATTAAGATTAAGAAGTCCAAGTAAAAGGTTTAAAAATGGAAACTTTGCAAGTCCGCTTATTCAAACACAACCTTAAATGATCAATGTGAGTGTATATAGTTGATGCTACATGTCAAATTTTATATTTACACTAAATCCAATTCATCTATTCTACTTTACTCTAAAGGTCAAGGTTTTATCATTAAACTAGTCTCACTTGTTTCACCTCTTCTCTCTCTTGAATTCAATATCAAAAGCTTGTATTTCTCTATATTTTTCATGCCTTCGTTGAGCATACTGATTTACAAGACAGATTCTCACCATAAACAATCTTAGCCTCTTACTAGCAATTCACAAACAAACTGAAAAATATTACACGAAAAAGCACAAAATTATGGAATAGGAAACTGAACGGAATAAGAAATGGAAGGCAAAATTCACCGATGATTGTATGTTGTCCTTCGAGAAAACCAAAGTGAAGAATTTGGGAAAAATGCTGTAAACTCCAAAAGAGAGAAAAAAAAATGCATGAAAATAATAGTGAATAATAACACACTCTTTGATGCATTCTTAATTATTAACTAAAATTTATATTAAAAAAATACAAAAAATGTAAATTAACGTTTCTCTCATATTTTAATAATTGTCAATAAATTTTAATTAAATATTAACATTGTATTAAAAAGAGTGTGTTGTTGATTTTTTAAAAAATAAAAAATCAATAATTATAAATAATGAAATTAATAAATAGTAAAAACACCTATCTTTTGAAGTAACTTTTAATTTTAACTACATTTATATATAAATGTTTCAATTTTTAAGAATGAGAAATTTTCTTATCATATGTCCCAGTATGTTTGTGCATATATATATATATACTTGTAGCTAGGTCGATCATGAAGAAGAAAAATATATGATCAAACTGGAACAGAAATCGTTCTTTCATAATGTTGATTCATATTATTAGTGAGAACAATGGAAGATACACGAACTACGGCTATTGCCTTCAACTTGGGCCCTCAATTGGTAGGTGTGCATAAAGTTATATTTTCCAAATTATCATTGCCACTTGCCTTCTTGCTTTCTTTTTAGCCTTCTGATTTTGGAAAATCATTTGGACAACATCAAAATGGCAGTGATTTCCATTATATTTATATAATCAAAGAAATACAGTGGACATACACCGTTTAACAAAGGTTGAGTGATGGTGCATATCTCCTTTCACATTCAGAGATTGGCTTTAGTGTAATTGTCAATGGGTCATTAGCTGTCTAATTAATGATGAAATTCTTATGGCGATCATTAATCCAATTACGATTAATATTTTTATGTAAAAACTAGGCCTTAATTTTGTCTTGAAATATTTAATGGATTTGGTGACTGTTGTCTATCACTTGGTCAAATCCCAACTTCATATTCAAATCACATTTAACAAAAGTGATGTCATCACACTTGTTACTTTCATGGTTAGCTATCAAAGTTAAGTTCACCTAATGAGCTCCTACGCTTTATTTTTCTCCTCCAAATCTACTCTTTTCTTTTTATTTTTTTGTATATTTTTTTCTTCGCATTTCACGTTTTATTAGAATTAAATAAAAAAGTTAAATTAAGTAAGGTTTATTTTGAATAAGCTTACTCTATTTTCTAAATGCCAAATTAAAATTTTGAATATGATTTATTTACTTTTTTTTAAGTTTCACTCTAAAATTTTATATAAAAGCCTATTTGTAATTAAAAAAAAACTATATGTGTAAGACTTTTTATTTAAATATCCCAATGGACTTAAATTTTTATGTAAATTAACAAATATAAATATTTTAAACACACCGATAAGCATACAAATTTAGAATTATTTATGCAAACACACACAGCGCAATCTCAAATAAAGACCCAACACTGAGTTTATCACAGGCAGCATATAATATATTTCTTCCGTTTTTTCTTAGTTATCGTTTAAAAATGTACAGATTAACAAGTAATTAATCTAATTATATTACAATTATTTGTAATTTGCAATTTTTTATTTAATACCTTAATATTTTATATATTATTGCTTCTCCCTTTATTAATAAGGATATGACTGAGTTTAGGCTTGACATGTTTGGTACATGAGCCTCGCCTCTTGAACTTGATGTCTCTCAAAATATATTTTTATAGTTGAATCCCAATCAAATTCATCTTTTATTTTTTTTAATCTTATTTTCCATATTTTAAAACCCCCCTTTTTGTAATGTATATATTCATGGGCTTATGTTAAAAATGATTAAATATATTTCATTTAATGTTTCTAATATTATCTAAGAGAACGCACATTGAAAAACACTTTAACTTGACATTTGAAGTATACTCTGCAGGCTAAATGATGTTTTCTTTGCTATGATAGCTATCTTGAAGAAAAGAAAAGTTACCTATAAATGGGGTCATCTAAATACACTAACATCTAAGCATCATCCTCCTATCACGTTTTCTCTTCAATTTCACGTCAGTTCACTTATATATATGGACTGTGGTTAAATATTTATATTATTTAATAATATTTATATAATATTAAATTAATTAATTTACGTTAAAACGAGTCAAGATGAATTTTGTTACAGAACAATTCAAATGAATTAAACTAAAAAAATGTGATATTAACTTAAATTTAAAATGAAAATCGTGTATTTATTGAATTAGAAAAATCCGTTATTACAATATTTATGAAATAATAGATGATTCCAGAGCATCACGTAACCAAAGGATGTGATGACCCATGCAAACATAGTTCTGTGTTCGCGCGTGGAACTTACGCCCTGCCCACCCAAATACCACACAATGTACTAAACAGAATACAAATACAACCATTCAAGTCCTTTTTTCATGTTGTCAAGAAAAGAAAAAGTCCCTTTTTCACTGCTTTTACTCACTTTGAGATATCAATTTTATATAACCTTTTTTATAAAATTAAAAAAATAAATATACAAAATAATAAGGTAGATAAAAAATTATCCTGTTTCATTTAAATTAAAAATTTATCTTAATTGTTTGTGATTATAATATTTATATACGCTAGTTACAAACATATAAATTCAAAAATATATTCTTATATAAATAAATATCAAGTAAAATGGCATAATTATTTGCATGTACATAGACATAAACTAAAACTGTATGTTTATTTATAGGAGACACAAACTTAAATATAATACCCTTTTATGTAAGATATTAAATGGAATGATATGATTATTCATTAAATAGATATTACTTGAAATTAACATTGACTTTTTATGGGATACATTAATTAAATTATTGTGATTTATTAGGAATAGATATAAAGTGAGTATTTAAGGTGAGGGGAATAAGGCAAACAGTATTTCTTGTAATTGTGGATTCTTACACAAAGTAAAATTATAATGCAATAACTACATATTTCTCCTATAGTATTATTATGTTTTCAATGAAAATGAATAATAATTCAAAGCCCCTTATTGCATTAACTGATCATGTGGAAAATATTATGATGAGGATATGAAAGAAAGGCAATGCCTCTCTCATCTCATGTGAACAACACCTTACATGATGGTTCATGATGGTGATGGTGTTTTTGGTGCAACACTATAGGGGATATATTTACAAAAATATTTTGAGGCTGAAACAAGGTATTTGGTAATGTGAGGAAGGGAATAATTATAAGTGTTTACTTCAGTGATCCACAATGCATAGATACCTAACAGTGGTAGTAAGAGTTATCAAAGTGATCCTAGAAGTGGTGATGCATTGCTATGGTTGGTCAAGTCTTTGCTGGAGACAACTTGGTAAAACTACCTATCTCCATTGTTTTTTAAGGCTACGTCCAATACTACTGTTGGACCTGGGCCTTGTGTAGCTATAGGCATGTAATTTTAAACAAAGGCTTTCCAAGTAGAGAAATTAACCAATAAATAAATTGGAAGCTTAATTACTTATATAAATGTTTGAACTTTTTTATTGCGATTCTCAAAAAACAAATACTTTTATGCAATATTAATTACTTATAATCAATGGTAAATTCTTTAAATAATAGTATAAAAATAATAATAAATTTCTTACCATAAAAAAATCACGTATTTTTCTTGTAATATTTCTTCTAAAACATTATTAATTAATAAATTAAATATTAATTATTTAAATTTAACTATTGTACTGGTTAAAAAAATAAAAAAATCAAAATAATGAATTTTTCGTAATTTATAATAATTTTAACACAATATTTAATAAAAAATACAGATTAATACAGGAAGTCAGGAAACCCACAGAACGCTAATGAATTAAATGAGAGGAATTTTTTTAAAAAAATTATTTTAAATTAAAAAATTTATATTATTTATAGTCATAAATAAAATAATAAATTAATTTATAATTTAAAAAATGAGTAAATTAAAATAAAATGAGAAGAATATAATGAAAGAGAAGCGTGGGATGATGGAAGGCGGCACGTTCTGACAGCTCACGCGCGGTTGGTGGGAGGTGGGGTACTTGTCAAGGTTGGCCTAACGTGCGACCAATCATGTTGCTTGCTCCTGCCATGTCATCCCATAAGAGACACCCACACTCACTACTCCCCATTCCCATGTTCTCACACAGTGTCTTTCCAAATATTCAATCCCTTCCCTTATTCTCAATTTACTTTTCTGCCCTTTCCATACGTTCTAGTATTCTACCCCTTTTCTTCTTGTTACCATAAACTTCTTTTTACATGGATATGCATTTCTCTGTTTAATTCATTGTTTCTCAGCATTTTATAGACAACCATCTTTCTCTGTGCCAAATTCTCCAAATTAAAATATTGCAAACAAATCTTTCTTTCTAACATAATATATTAAAAAAAATTGCTGGCATTGGCCGAGTCGTCTCTTGGTAGAACTTGGTTTCAGGAATGTATAATAATAATAATGGAAAAAGCTCATATGACTAAAACGATTGATTAATTTAAATTTGAGTGATTAGATGATTGATTAGCCAAATATTTAAGAGATTAAAATAAAAAGGAAGGAACAGAGTGAATGTGACGCGTTGTTTCCGAAATTTGATTCACCGATGTAGTTTCACCTGAAAATGGTTGCAGTGACAGTTAAACAAGAAAAGAAAACTAAGTTAGCGTCTAGTGACAGGTACGGATGTAGGGAGTGGTAGAAAAGTCATTGTGGCAGTTCCTATTAATCTATCTATCCCCTTCGTTGAAAGCTCGTCCCACTTCAGTTCTCTCTCTCTCTCGTATCTCTGAGGACAACCTCAGTGTCACCAACTACACCTTTCAGTTTCAACTATCACACTTCAAATCATGCTCTTGTTCTGCTTCTAATCCAAACCACCATCCATCGTAACATTCTCCTCTCTTCTTTTTTCTACACTGCCCAACTCAATCTTCGTTTCACCCCGTGTTCACGTAAATCTTGTTAATAAATCAAGTCCACTACTCAAGTTTTGGAGGTAACCATATGTTCTACATTTCTTGTAGTCGACAGTTCTTAATTTTCACATTCATGTTTGTTTTCCTTCCGTAATCCATTCTGATTTGATTGAATTCTGTATACTATAGATTTAGATCAAGTGAATCTTATCTGGGTCGGTTGTATTAAGTAATTTGCGTCTTTGCTAAGAGTGGACAGGGAATGAAGATTCGTTTCATTATTTGTTCTTTGTCTTATTGCAATGCAGGAACTAATCTTACACTGAGTCACTGACGCATCACGGTGCAGTCCAAATTTAGGTAAATACATCATTATATATTACAGCAATGAATATAAACTACTAAATTTTATTTGAATTATTAAGATTAAAAAATAAATGCACATTATATTTTTAAATAATTATGTGCTAATTAATTACTTTTTAATCTTGACATTATATAAATAGTTATATAGTCTAAGTTTACTGTTCCCATATACTTCAAATAAAATTTATTTTTCGTTGTGTATGTTCATGGATATAAGTCATATTAAATTTACTATGAAAATATATCTATAAAGTAAACTTGTCTTATGTACTTTACATATTACTTTATTTTAAAAAATGATCATTTCACACTTATGAAAAGTGTATATATTTATAAGAAGAAAAGGATAAAAAATAATATAGACGAAACAGATCAAGTGATTAAAAAAAAAGAGAGATGAAAATAGAAATTAAAATAAAAATAGAAAAAGAGTATAAAGTGATGGTAAAATTAAATTAGTGAGTAAAAATAAGATTAATTCATTTTAGAGGGTGAGGGAAGTGCAAGGGCGATCGAGTTCTTTCCTCTCTCCTCAATTATCCCTTTTAAGTGTATAAAAATCTTAATTTCTTATTAAAAAAATAAAGTTTATTACTTTTGTCTTCTTGTAAATTTTCTAGATCCGACCCTATTTATAACATTTTTATGCCATCATCGAAGTCGCCATTTCTTGCATGACTCATGAGTAATAGAAATTATACTTGGCCCAGTACACTTTGTTTAAAATTGTTAACTTCAACTTTTGAATTATTTAAAAATAATTAAAAACGATAATTTTTTATTAAAAGTGTTTATTTGATCAAGAATATAAAAATTTATTAATAAATTTTTTTTAGATATTTAAAATTAGTTTCAAGGTTGAGGGTATATTTTAATAGAATTGCCATTTTAGGCATTCCCAACTCCCAAGCATGCTCAATGTCATAGGTCGTGCTTTCTTGATTTCAGGTCTCACTAAGCTTACGTGCATGGCCTGTTCTATTCCTTAATTTTCATCAATAAGGCAATTTGGTTAATTTAATCACCCTTTGGCCAAAATTACACAGAAATGTGCATTTTATTTAGTATTTTCTTTTCATGGTCACAGCATTCAGCTATGTTCAAGAAAGACTCAGAAAAATATTTGTCATTCTTTTTACCGGTGATCATCCTTCAACTTGACTTGACTTTTTGTAACTGTTTATCAGCACAATGGAATCTGAAAATGGCGTTGCTGTGGAGGAAGAGAAACGTGTTATTGGGGTAACAACAAAGGAGAATGTAAAGGAAGAAGTTTCAAACGATGTTGCAGAAATTCAAAGCAAGAATGAGGTATCTAAACCCACAGTAGAGGCTGAAGGCCCCATTTCTGCTGGTGAAACTGTTGCAATTGAAGCATCAAAGACTACTTCAGCAAGTAAAAATTCCAAAAGTTGTAAGGTACCATACAAAATGTATCTGAATTATTTGCTTAAACTAAACTACTTGTCGTGATAATTATTTTCAGTTTCAATTTACAACACACAATACACCGTAGGCAACTCTTACTAATTACAATGATTGGTTTTTGAACAACCTTCGGAAACAACTAAAAGTTGTTCCATTTACTTTCAAGATGTGTATATATAGAAATATTATATATAATGTCATATATAGCATGAATTTTCAGTTGTTTAAATAACAGAACTACACTAATTATGTTAATGTGGTTAGGGAGGCGGTGGTAAAGCAATTGTCGCTGCCAAGAACAATAAATCTGCCAAAGAGAAACCAATTTTGAAGGGTCTTACTTCAATGTCTGAAAAACAGAAACCAACCCTTTCTCAAAGCCTTTCTTTCCCAGCCAAATCAGTTGGTGAAGATGCTTTGCAGAAAAGCATTGATGGGTATCTTGTGAAGACAAAAGCTAAACATTTTCAAGGTAATGGGATTAGAGGTGAAGCCCCCATTCGTCATTCAAGAAAGTCCACAAACTCTGAAGTGAACTCACAGGCAAAAACCAACACTTGCATGCCTGGTTTGAAACGCTCTGTGGTAGAGATTTTTTATTCCTCAATGCCTTTCTATGTGTAGCTTCATTGCCTCTTATCAATGGTTTCTATGTTGATGACACTAGTTTTGTCTGCCAGTTTGGAAGGTCTACTCCAGTTACTGCAACCACCAAGAACATTACTTCTGAGCCATCGGCGTAAGTCACAACCTCCCTAGAGTTATTGAATCCTTCTTTAAAGTTTGTTTCAGTCTTAATATATGTAGTGGTTGGAAAATACGTGTTCAGGAGATTGTTCTGCCAGTTTCTGCTGAATGAAATCATGGTTATCCCTCATGGTTTTTTGTTATTTTACATTATTGCAGACCCGTTGATCAGATGTCAAACCCAGCGAAAACTGCAAAACCAAATAAGGAGGATGAAGATTCTCATTCCACAACTTCGTATGATTTATACCCTATTATTCTGAGGACATCTTTTCATCCTTGCTTGTGTATTTCTTATAGGATTGGCATTGACATTTCTGAATAAAATATCTTCCTTTTTCCTTTTTCTTTAGCTAAAATGTTCATGAAAACTTTCTTATATATATGTTATTAGAAGTGCTACTCCTCGTCAGAGAAACAATGGTTCTGGATTTTCCTTCAGATTGGAAGAAAGAGCTGAAAAGCGGAAGGAGGTTGTTGCTGGAACCTTACACACCTTGATGTTATTTGCAAATGCCAGAACAACATATTAATTCTGTTTTATCCCTTTTTACTCAGTTTTTCTCAAAGTTGGAGGAAAAAATTCTAGCCAAGGAAGCAGAGAAAACTAACCAACAAGCGAAATCAAAAGTAAATCATCAAAACAACTCAATAAATTTCTCTTCGTGTTGTGGTTTGAGTTTTTGCAAACAGCTTGTTTGCTGCTTTTAGGTTATTATCTCCATGTTTTGTTATGAATTTCCTGCAGGAAAACCAAGAGGCAGAGATTAAGCTGTTGAGGAAAAGCATGACATTCAAAGCCACTCCAATGCCTAGTTTCTATAAGGAACCACCACCAAAAGTGGAGCTGAAGAAGGTAATTAATGGGATCATGAAATGCCTGTCTACGTGCTACATTCATGATCAATGATCTATCTTCTTTTTTTCTTAAATTATATAAAGTTAATTTAAATAAACTTATACATAAATATCTGTAGAATAAGAAAATACAATGATAGAAGAAATAAATTCTTTTTCTTGCTCTTGCATGAAACTTGCTCTTATGATATTATTCTTTTTCTTCTATAAATAAATAAATATATATATATATATAAATAAATAAATAAAAATATATATATATATATATATATATATATATATATATATATATATTGATGTATTTTATGTACCAATTAGATACCAACAACCCGTGCAATATCCCCAAAGCTTGGAAGGCACAAAGGATCTGCTATGAACAACAATTCAGGAGAGGATAAGTCTTGCTCAAGTCCACATGGGAAACAACAACAGAATGACTCAACCAAGGCAAAGGGTCATAAAGATGTGATTTCAAAGAAACCAATCAGAAAAAGCCAAGCCAAGCTGAAGTCTCAGGAAAATGTAATCACAGGAAGCAAAGAAGAATGCGAAGATTCTCATGTTGAAAATTCTGAATGCAAAAATGAGATGGAATTACAATCTGAGACAGGTCATCCTATTCCTCCAAATAGTTCATTGCTCCTAAATTCAACTACACCTGAGCTTGTATCATATGAGGTTACTGTTGGAGTGTAGATTTATATCATTGGACTTGATAATTATGTATGTAAGAATTAAGATTAGGGCTCTATTTTATCAATTATTTCATTATTGTTGTGAATATAGATGTTGGTTCTTGTTCATCATCATAAACGCGTATTGCAAATAATATATATATATATAGAACCGTTGCCCTCTAATGTACATTAAAATGCCTTATCAATTCATTATTTAGCAGGTCATTCATGTATTTGACAGATTGAAATTATCTTTTATTTATTATTATCTTGCTAACACGATAGAACATAGATTAAAAAATCAATAAATATTTTTTATTTAAAAATATTATTTTTATAAAAATACAATAAGAGTACAGTAATTTGTTTATTTAACCAACAATTAAATAATTCTTAACATGTATTTTTTAATTAAAATATTGATACTAAAAGGGAAAAAAAAAACTCTTCAGAATACCTAAGTTAAGTAATTTTGAACTATTATATCACTTTTTTTAAAAGATCAAATATTTTTCAAAAAAATTAAATTAGTGTAATAACTCAAAAAAAATAATAAAAATAGTATAATACTTAAAATAAATTTTTAGAATCATTTAAAAGGAGGAGTTTCATTTAAGTAATTGAAATTAAAATTTAATAAATTATAAGCTTAATTTTTGAAAAAAATATTTAAGTTTAATTTCAGTGTTTTGATTTTTACATTGTCAACCAATTAGAATATATCATGAATATAATTTTTATATAAATTATTATAAAAATTAATGATTCTTGCATGAAAAAAATTTGATGATAATATAAATTTTTTATATTTTCAATATATTTAAACTAAATTCAAATATTATAAGTGAAAGAGATAAAATCTACACTTTTATTTTGGTCAAATAAAATTATAAATTAGTAAAATAAGTTAGAAGCTGTATTAAATAACTAGTCAAACAAATTTTTAAAATAATAAAGTTTAATTTTGATACATTATTGTATAAAGATTTTTAAATTACCAACTAATTAAATAATAAATTTAAGTTATATACATAAATAATGTAAAAAAAATTGTATTCTCACTTAACTGTTAATTTTTCATCTGTAATAATTAATATAAAAATCATAACTATGTATTTTTTTCTGTTAGTTGACAATATAAAAAATTTACATTTATTTGCACAAAAATTAAACTTTTCATAAATGTACTTTTAAAGCAATTATTACAAAAACTAATAATTTTTAAAATACAATAATCCAAAATTGGTTTAGAAAAAAAAAAAGGCTTGGTAAAGTGCTCTAATTTTCTTCTCTTTATAAATTAGTCATGAAACAAACATGGAAAATGAGAAAAAAAATTGTGAGAATTATAAACCCAAATTTTAGCTGCAATTTACTTCATTTGCGAATTGTGCAGAAAATAAGAGGGGCTTTTGTGTTGGGGAAATTAATTGAGACTGAAACAAACGAGCATTGAGCAGGAATAGGATTGCTTTGTGCCTCTGTTTTTGAGAGGAAAGTAGCGATCATCAAATTATTTCCATTATTCACAAATTTCACTCTTTGTCTTTAGAACTTATACCTGTCAGAGTGTATAATATAGTAATTTAATAGGGTGTTCTTTTTTTGCACGATGAATTATTTGTTTTCAAAACTTAGTCCAATTTTGTGTGAATGATGTTATTTCAAACTGGGAACTATCCCTCCTTCAAGATCCAAAATGAATACCTGATATTTGAAATCAAGAAGTGACTATAAAGATCTTGTAATTGAATGAACCATTGCAGAGGAGGGATAGCTCCAACCTACACCTCCCATCCCATCTCCACTCATATTCAACGACATTCATCTAATTACCTGAAAATTTTTGCTAATAAGTTTCAGTTTCTTTTAAATTCTTGGCTAAGTTTGAATTTGATGTGAATCACAAATCTTGTCATTAGCATACGAGACAAAATTTTAAATCATAATCCGTATAAACCCCATAAATGATGGTGTAACGTTGTAAAGAAGCTAGTTTTGTGGGGAAATATATTGTGTTGGATATTTAGCAATCAACGGAAGAAAATGAAATATAATAAAATAAAATAATGTGAAATAAAGTTGAATGGACCAAATATATTGTTCCGTTGTTTAGATACTTTATAAAATAATATCAATTTCATTACGTAGCTCTTAAAATTGAGAAATAACAAATAGGATAAAATGGGATTATATCAATTGTAATAATTACCATTGCATTAACATTTTAACAATCTAAATAATAGAATCTGATAAAAAAAAAAAAACCACTCAACTCCACCCCATTTCACTATTTACCAAACATTAACCGACGGTGGTGTTGTACACAAAGATTTACAAAATCTTTATGATCAACAACTTTGTATTTGTTATGTTTTATTTGACGATTCCTTCACTTTTTAGTTCTTTTTGGTTGCTGTTTTCATGTCAGAAGTGGACATTTTGCAGCATCTTATTTTTTCAACGTTGGGCTGGCTGGCGTTTGTCCTGTTGTTAAGTTCTACGAATTTTCCTTCCCTTGAGAAAAATATGTAAAGAAAAGAATGTAGGGATGTGGAGAATAATTTGTTGGGTAATCAAGGAATAATCATACAGTTGGGGCCAACTTTAATAGTAATGTGTTCCTACAAAAGCACAACGTGACAATACATCAAGAGGCTTTTATTTTCTATTATTTATTTCTTTGTCCATTTAGAGGATTTTATTGAATATATTATAATAGAATGACCGACACCTATGGAGGGAGGCCCAGCAATGCAAGACCATTAGCAGCTGCTGTCTTCAATCCCCCAACTACTTTCTTTCCTTCCACTGCCACAGTACCACTGCCACCATTAGTCTAGCTTTCCATGAAATAACACCTCAACCACAGCTTCACTTCGCACGAAAACCAAGTGACGCACACACATGCTTCAAAACCAAGCGCAGGTCCATTTCTTAGTATTTTTTTCTCCTTTCTTAATAGAAGAAAAAATTCAGCTGAGAGGTCCCCTTCATTAGTTCATTTTAAAAAATTTCTTCCGCTGAAAGGTCTATTTCATGGTCAATTTTTTATTATTTTAAAAAAAGTGCTAAAGAAAACGAGATGGAATTTGGAAGGCATAATAATAATAAAGTAGATTATGTATGAACTTGGTTCACATACATACAAGCAGGAAAATAAAAGTAAAAACAAAAAAATAAAAAACAACCAAGAAGGGGCGTCGTATTCCAAGGTTATTTACGCATAGAGACAGTGAATCAACATGAGATAAAAATTTAATAAAAAAATGGTATGTAATTACAGTATGAAACAAAATGACAGAAAATTTGTTATCTTCTGTGTAATGGCGCTCGGATTATAGATTCACGGTGCATCCTTTGTATGGAAATGATTACTCTACAACTGCATAATGCAAGCGAAAAAATGAGGGGATCAGATCACAGCGTGATCCAAAGAAACGAATTAGTAATGGTGGGTAAACTTACCATTCATGGAGTTTACGTACATTCACTCTTTATTATTTTTGTGATTAGTTTAGAAAGCGATTCATTGGCAGACTCCGAGCATGCTACAGGCCAGCTCCATCAACTTCCCTGCCAAATGCATTTGGGCAAAATAAAATGTCAAGTCAACTAATACCATGGCCATTCCACTACATTGTCACATTACATATTCAAAGGGTGATTACTGATTGAAATCAATGAATTTTAAATGCGTATCAAACAAATTTAATTGCAGAAAAAGGGTATAAAAATAATGTGCCAGTTGACTAAAATTATAATAAAGTGTGAATAAACAATAGGAAACAACAAAATAATGGGTGTAGGTGTATATAATAGTGAGATAGATAGGGACAGAGAGGTTGAGCAGCTAGGTTGGGCTGAGTGAGAAGGTAGAATATGGCATACAGCTTGGCACATATATCGTTCATTTAATTATTAATCAGATGTAAATGTAAACGATATTACCCTTTTATTCTCTAATAGTTGGCAAGTTCCTCACGGCCTCTCCAATTAGAGATCTCTCCCCAAAAGCTCTCATTGATGCATACATACATATGATTCCAAGCAATAGGATGCAACAAAACTAGCATGCCTTATGAGTATCTATTTAAGGCCATTTCCATAAACAACATAAAAATAAATCAAATCCATCCCTAACAAATAATGATAATGACTATAATAAAACAGAGTGATATAAACTTAATTAAGCGGCAATAGTATTAATGAGAAAAAGAAAAAATATACCTCTCCTTGGCTTAGCGGCGACTTTAACGAGTGGAGTGGTCCTGCGAGAGCGGGGAGTGGCGTCTTCTTGCTCCTCCGGAGGGAAGAGAACGCCGTCAACTCCCTGAACGGAAATCCTGCCGTCGGTGTAAATATCGGGATCGAAGAGGTAGGCAGAGGAATCGCCGTGACCGAATTTAACGGAGCCGTCGGATTCCTGAGCGAGAACCTTATGCGGCAAGCGCAAGGTATCGTAACGGACTTTACCGAACCTGCGAACGGCATTGTACATACTCTCCTCGGTTTGGTACTCGGGAATGATGTGGTAGTACATGATCTGTTCAGGTGCACCAGGTTCGCTCAACTGGTCCGTCGTAAGCTTCGCCATCGCTTCGTCGTTTGGAGCCAAAACGGTGAGAACATAACCTTCCGAAACTAACCTTCCCATTTCGGTCGCTAACGATGTTAAGTTTACTAAGATATCGGCCATTTCGTTGTATCCTCCGTAATGCAACAGAGTGTGGATGAAGTCCTTCACCTGACGCTCGCCGTTGAAGTGGTGACGCGGTCCTCCCGGTCCTGGTGCCGGCGCCGGAGCAATCGATGGTCCCGGTGCCATTGCGTCGTAGATTGGAAGCACCGGCGGGGCGCCAGCGGGGACTGGTGCGGGTTTCTTCAGGCGGTGGGTTCGGGGATCGACCTCTGGCGCCCCCTCGGGTAGGACGGCGGAGATAGCGGCGAGGTTTCTGCGGCGGTTGAAATCTTCCTGCACGGATCGGGGGACGATGAGGCGCTCGATGCCGTGGATGACGCCGTCGGGGCGGACGACGTCGTCGGCGCGGAGGATCTCGGCGGAGTCGACGGTTTTTTCGCCGGAGGGCTTGGAGGTCAAATGGAGGTGGTGGTCGGAGAGGGTGGGGTGGCGGAGGTCGGCGGCGGGCCAGTGGCGAGAGGCGATTCGCGTGGGGAGAATGTGGGACATCAAGAGTGTCTGGAGTGACCTGAGATTGCGAGGTTCGAGGAGGAAGCGTTTGAATTCGGGGTCAAGGTCGCGTTCGAGGGCTTGGTTTCTGGGGGCGAAGATGGTGATGTTGTGGTTGCCGACGGCGTCTTCGAGTTTCTGAAGAAGAAGGGCTTTCTCGACGAGCTCGGCGAGTTCGGTGTAATGGGAATCGAGAAGCGCGACGAGGATTGAGTTGGAATTGATCTGAGAGGAAGTGGAAGAGGAAGAGGTGTTGTGGGGGAATGCAGAATGTGAATGGATTGGTAGAAGGGAGAAGAGAAGGAGGGTGAGGAAGAAGAAGAGGGAGTTAGAGACACCATAGATGGAAGAGGAATCCATGGTGCTCATTGGTGAAGGTGAAGAAGAGAAAGAGAAATGGGTTTTGTGGTTTTGGAGGGGAAACAAAGAAATGATAGTGAGAAGATGGAGATGAGAGGGGTAAAGTGCAGTGAGAAGAAGGGGGGGTTGTGGGTGTGGGGTATAGTTGGTGAGTCTCTGTCTGAAAGTCTCAGGTTTCAATGGGCTTTGGCATTGCCTTTGCTTGGCTTAGTGGTTGAGGTTGAGAAGGATGTGAAGTGAAATTAGAATAGAATAGAGGAGATAGCACAATAGCATATGCATAAGCACACTATTCTTTGACAGGCTGTAAAAGGGGACCACACAGGAACAGCTGTGCTGTTATTATACTCACACACACACACAGATTCCTACATGTGTTTCTTTTCAAGCCTTCAAGCCTTCAAGCCACGCCACCAAACTAATTTATTATTAGTATTCCATAATCAACACATTGAGGTTAACTAATGATTAATGGAAGCGATTTGGAAAAGTGTTTAAGCTGAAAATGGAGTTTATATTTAATAAAAGGAGCCGAGCGGAAACGTGAAAGCTGTGGAGGCTTGATAAAAGGGGCAGTCTGGCCAAGTGTCGGTGTCGGAGACAAAGGGTCATTTAATTTTCTTTCAATTTCAACCAGTGACCCGTGATCTGTTCCATCCTCTACCATTTTTCACTCTCTCAACCAATCTATACATACATACATACATACATATAATTTGTTCACCCTTCCCTGCAACACAGACCGCGACCTCCCCTCCTCCGGTGGTTCTTCTGTCAATTCTCATCTTTCACTTCACATTCACAGTTTAGCGTCCAAGTTTCTCTTTCGCTTGCACTTCAATTACCATTTTAGCTTCTCATTTCACTCGCCTTAAACCACCACATCTTATAACTATCTTCTATTAAAAATTCACTAAATATCTTTGTACATGCGTCCTGATCTGATTACATGATAATCACTAATGAAATTATCTGTCAATTTTACATTACTATTTTGCGTGGTTTCATTCTCGTTGCAAGGATCACCCGTGTTTATAGGGCGAAAATTTTATTTTATCTAGATTTTCAATTTTTAACGCCTGATATTAAGATTATTTACGCATCTGTACTCCTTGACCTACCGCTTCGACACAGTATCAACCCATTTGTTTAGACTTTTCTTCACTGCCACTGCAAGTAACCGAACACGTGGAAAAGAAAAGGCGTAAACAAAGTTGGAATGTTGCCAAAAATGCATGTAAACTAGTTGCCACCTTTGTCTATAAATATTAAGTTCCGTTGAATTTCGACAGATTTTTTTCCCATGAGTACATTGGTGTCCAGAGTACATGCCAATGCCAGTTCAAGAACCCGTCCACCTTTGGATACGGACAACTCTTCACTGTCCCCGGCATAATATATATGCACAGAAATAATCATTTTTAGCCATAAGCACAGCTGTTTTTTGGATCCTAATTTTATTGCAAACCGCAACATATAACTGCCATGACTATTTCCAAAGCATCTGCTCCTCAGCATGTCATGTCTGGAGAAAAGGTTACCTGAGGGGAAGTAAAACACAGATGAGACCAAATATGAAACATGCACCGAAAAGTTTTGTCAAATGAACAACTCACACATACACTTCACTCCCAACATTATGCTTACTCTGATAAATGTATTTTATTTTTACAGCGTGACAAAGCAGTTAAAATCGAGCTCCACTCAAATATCACGCCAAATTATGATAGCTTCATATTTTGATCTTCAGAAAATTTAGGAGAAAAAAAAAGCCTACAATTTGTGACTTATGCTACCAATTCAACTTCAAAATAAAGTTAAGAAAAATTAGATCATGCTCTCTACTTAATATCATAAAGAGTACAGTGTATCAAAATGACGAAATGCAGGGCACTACCAGCAGTTTTGGTTATTGACGACACTTAAAGACAGAATGAAAAGACGAAATGAGTAAAAAATAACATCAAACCCTCACTACCTTATAGGAATGAGATAATTAATTGGGTATAGAAATATGTTGGCCTTTTCTTAAAAACCATAGCATACAAAAGATGTTCAATTAAAATAACATGTCTAAATAAACTAATAATTTATTCGTACCACTAAACACACTTTACTCTCCCCTCCCCCCCCCCCCCCCCCCAACCACCACCACCTCGTCCCGGTTATTACCTCACAGTTATCTTAATTTTTAATTATATAAGATTTTGTTTGGAATTTTAGAAGAAGAGAGAAAAAAAGGGTTTGAATGATAAGAGAGGAGAGGACAAGGGAGGAAGAAGGTTAATAAGAAATCCTCCAAATTAAAGGAATTTAAAAACATGAGTTTAGTAGGGTTTATAAAACCTCTCATTCTCATCTAAAAACTTCAAACAATGGTTATCATTAAATAAGTCTTTCTCTTCCCTCGCTTTCTTTCTAAAAATTAACTTCCAAGCAAAGTTTAAAGAAACAAATTGAAGTTATATCCACCTCATCAGTAATACTGAGCACGTTCCAATTCCTAGTGAGACTTGCACCAGCCGCGCTCAATCCTACTGATGTACAAACGTATTCTTGAGTAATTGGCGGCGTTTATCATAAGAACCATAATAGCCAGTTAGTTTATGAATGGAAGGTAGGATCAGTTAATTCTGTTCTGAAGGTTTAGACAAAGATCAAGGCTCACCTTCAAATATGAGATGCTGAGGAAAGATGCATTAACAGAAACAAAAAAGAGCTCAGTTTGAATTTGAGCTAGCAGAACAAGCAGCCGAAGTATTGTTGTCATGTGATGAGTTTTCCCCACTAGCATCAACATTGTTCCGGGTGCACACCCCTCCTATGGAACAATCCTCCAGATGATTTGACAAAGAAGTACCCGCGGCTCTATTGTTTTCATTAGTTTCAAGGGATTCAATCAAGCGGGATACACTAGCAATTCCAGCATTCATATCTCTCCTAGTTTCTGAATCAAGATCAGACATAGAAGAACTACGACAGAACAGCCTCTCCTTCCATCCCCTTGCACCCTTTGAGATTGACTCTTTGTATCTAGTAACAAGATAGGTTAATATCAGATGAGTTGATTATACAAACACAGAGTTCAGTTGCACATCCACTATTTAAAAAAAAAAAAAATCATACCTCATGGACACCGCATTAAGTCTGGACCGCAGAGAATCTGAAAATGACTGGAATTCTGATGGCCCTCCTCTATCATGGTTTGCTGGTGAAGAAAGATCAGCAGAGCTTCTGCGAGCAAACAAATGCACTGCATATAATTTCACTAATCCACACAACCAACCAATAATGATCAATAAGAAGATAAATAAGCAAATTGCTCCACCCCTCTTGTATTTTATGTTTATTGTGCATACCTCCTCTCATACAACTTAATTCTATTTACGGAAAAACATTAGAATTAACTCCAGAATACTGTTCGAAGCTTAGAGCTAACAAATTTATTAACTGAGTTCATGAAGTAACAGTTCAGAATTCAGATTACAAATTCATTGGGCATGAAAACATTTTGGATTTAGTTGTTGCATTTAACATAATACAAAGAAACTTTTAGTAGCTTTTCATGATATAAAGGAGGTGTACCTAGCAAACACATGATATAGAGAAGAGAAAAATTTGTGCAAATAAATAATATGGCCATAACTACCTACCTGTCATTAGAGTAAATTGCTTGGCGATTTCTTGCCATGACAGTAGATCTAGATGCAGAAGAAGAGTTTTGAATTAGAAGATGCTGGATCTGCTGTGATGGTTCATCTCCATCAGATCTTATTAGGGTAGATGAACTTCCATTAGGAGCTGCAGCTGGTTCATTTTCCCCTCCAGCAACTGAATCAGTACCTGATGAAGCTGAAATAGGCTGAGTTGAGAAAACTAAGTACTGTGGATGACCATGAGCTGATGAACGACTTCTCTGCACTTCCCTCCGACCCAGGTGGCGCGCTCTCCCCATTGCTGCAGCAGCAGCTAAACGTTGAATAATCCTCTCTTCAAAATCAGCATCATTTACACTCATGCGTAACTGCAAAATGAGAAAAAAGTAATAACATAAACAAAAGGTAGAATTAGAATGGGCTCGAGGCAATAAAATTAACACTCAAGAGACTGATAACTGACGTGCTGCAATCCAAAATCACCGAAAGCAGGGTGATGAAAAATAGCAGCATTTCCTGATGAGGTAACCCTCAAGTTCCTCTCCTGCTCTACTCCCTCAAACAATTCCTGACTGTCATCAAATGCATAGAAATTTAATAACATAATCAACAAAAGAATGATAACATAGATCCTGAAAGTAAAATCATAACCAACCTGGTGGGATCCTTCAAGCTAATAGGTTGCCAACACATAGGACATTGGGAGCTTCTCTGACACCTAGAAACAAGAGCCTGTAACAATTTCTAGAGTATATCCTTCTCTTTTCAAATTAGTTTATAAGAACAAAACTTTTGAATGTATTGAGATATCTGGAAACTTTTGAATGTACAGAGGCCAGTTGACTGATTTTATAACCAAAACAGTCAGGAGAACTAAACCATAGGACAGCATTCCAAATTACAGTATTGAAGAAGTCAATGCCATTATGATGTCAAATCAAGAATTTCATCATTATAAGGTACCAGAGATTATATTTTATGCAGGAGCCAAAATTCACATGTATCTTGCATCCACACTGGTAGGATTTTGCTACCAATTTTTTTTTCTTCAATGGGGGACCAAGACCTAGATGTTTTGGCAAAGGCAAATTTGAAGGTTCTAGGATATGTTTTACAATAAGCTAATAGTGAATATGATAGAAAAAGTACGAAAAAATGGATTTTATGCCCAAGAGGAATTGAAGGAAATTATTACATGGCACATTGATGATGGAAGTCAAACCTATGTTAGATGTGATTTAATTCTCCTCCTATGAAAAGGCTTCTAACAATTAATTACATTGTCGGGAAAAGGAACCGAGATAAGGGTGTCAAGTGGTTATGGCTTCCCACCGTTATAATGGGACCCACATCAATGCTGGCCAAGCTATTTATCCCTTCCTCAGTCCAAATTTTGCTATTCCCCACCCTCAATCTTCTCCCCCCAAATGTGATACAAGAAAGAAATATCATACAACTATACTAATATATTCAGCCTTCTGAGTTCTGATTTTAATGATAGTAAGAGTGGTGGGGGTATTTGACAATGCTGAAAGCCAGAAACCAATTTAGTTGTTTGCAAAATCTTTAGAGAGCAAAATCATTATTGGCAAGGACTAAACTGATACTGAGAAAAATCTAAAGTGACCAAATCAATAAACATAACGCATAATCCTTTGAAAATAAAACGGGAAAAATATATACAAATAAAAGTCTGAATTTTGAGAGAGCCTCGTATTAAAATGTACCATTCGAGAATGCACTGCAGGTGATACTCGTGCTTGCAGGTAGTGACCTAGAAAAAGCAAGAGAAAGAAAAGAAGTAAGCAAATGTTCTTCAAATGAACCTTAGTTGCTTATCAATATATTTAAGAAACAAAAAATGTGACATAAAAGTGAATATTACCGTAGAAGGATCACTTTCACAAAACTCCTCAAGGCAAATGCTGCAAGAATCATCGTAGGATTCTTGAATCCCACCTTCAACAAAGGCCACAGCTGATGTCATGTGACTTCCAGTTTTGCCTTCCATCTCAGGAACCTTCTACATATCAGCCCACAACCTCTGAGTCAGATGCAATATTTTGCTTATGCATGTGATACTCGAATGCACAATATTGTGAACAAACACAAAAGGAAATGCATTTAGAATCATTATCCAAAATTTATTTCAATAAGTAAACACGAAATCCAGATTCTACATGAAATCACCAAGTGTACCGGGAAGCAGAAATGCATGACATTACTAGGTCAATTTCATTTTGCCACTCCCAACAAGTTTGAGCTAAGTATATAACCTCACCCTTTCAATTATTTACTCCAACAACAATCCTCAGCACAAATGATAGAGTTAAGAAGAGGGACCATGTAAAAGAAAGTTCACCAGACAATCCAGAACAACAGATGTTAAAAGTAAAACAAAACAAACAAACCCAACATCAATGAACCCAAATAATAACAAAAAATATGCAGCATTATTCTTATATACACATTAATAAGCTATATGAATATTTCACGGAAGGCTTCTACAGGTCGAGAACATAATTTCCTACAGTCAGAATTTATTTGATAAATTTTTCTCAAAAATATAAAAAAGGAATCCCCGTTTCGGATGAGTGGCTCAAACATTTGATCGTTCGTAAACAAAACAATTGTGTGTCCATAAGCTACAAGATGGAAAATTTGGGTGGCGAAAAACCGTGGTTATCGGTTCATTGTATATAAACATTTGGTTGCAATAGGATGGATCATTGTAAAGTAGCAATGGGATAAATTAAAAATGTTAAAAAAAAAAAAGTTTGGAATAGAAAGGATGAGAAAACGATACGTGAAGAGGGTCAGAAGGCGGAGGAGAGAGCCATGAAGAGGAGGAACGTCGAGTGCTACTGATAGAGATCCATTGCAATTTGCAGAGAAAGGGGAAAAGGGAAGAATGAATTGAGTTATGATGATAATTATAAAAAAAAAATGGGAGAAATTAAAGGGAATGACACGTGTGCTTCTCCCTCCCCTGTCCCCACCGCATCGGAGGTGGAACACACGACTATCTTCTCCTTCCCATATATATAGCCTCAGCCTGCATTCTTTTTTTGTGTCATCCTTCTATCACTCATTTTCCACCCCCAACATTCATTTCTTCCATTATTTTAATCACTTTACATGAGTTTAATTTTAACACAAAAAAATTATCAATAAAAGATAATATACATTAAATAAAAGATAATTTCATACTCCATTGTGTTTATTTTATAATCTACATTTTTTTAATATATTATATCTTAGCTTCAAAAAGTTGGACATCATTGAGTGCCTTCCACGAGTGTTATAAGAAAATGTTCAAAATATATATATATTTTTGGCTCATTTATAGTCAAAGATTGTTGATTATAATGTCTTTTAAATTTTTAATTTATTGTTACATTTATTTTGACATCATTGATTATATCAATATATTTTTTATTTTTTTATTTACCTGCCGCTTGAAAAATTTTAATTGTTTTTTGGAAAAATTAAATAAATAACAACAAAATAAATATTTTGTGTTATGTGTTGACTAGGCCATACTGTTCAGTCCCCAAACTTGTATGAGCCATTATCTCGTCCATTGTAGCTCTTTTGAGGTGTGGTCCTTGTAAAAATTGCCCATTGGCCCAAAATATATTTATTGGACTGGTCTAAAATGAGGCCTACTATCGCATCAAACCTTGTTGGGCCCAAAGTAGCCTCAGTCCAGTTGATTATCTGTCAATCAAAGAAAAAAGAAAAACATCATCGAGAAACCAAAATATTAATCATAATAGAAGAAAAGGTATAATTAAACTTAACATTTTTGTATACTTAGAAGTTATAATTTTTTTGCACTTATCATTGTTTTTTAAGCCATCATTTTATTTTCTTGAAGCACCCTCTCTATTGCTTATGTTTGGAGTTGGTTAATCGTATTTTCGTTTTATTTTAGATATTTTAACCAACAGATATATCCAAGTATAATTTTATATAAAATCGGGATGGTTGCAGTCTGATTTAGTTCATTTTCTATATAAAAATTCATTCAAATCAAAAATAAAAATAATATGTAATTTGATTTAATTTGGTTTGAATATAATATTGAAAGTGAATCAGATCAAGCTGAATTTTTGTATTTTCATTTGAATTGGTTGTTTTGATTAAAAAAACGAGTGACTCAATACAATTTAAATATGTTTTTAATTTAAAGTCTACGATATAAAAAAATTAGCGCTAATATCAGCTATGTCAGGCGTGTTTGAGAAGTTGTTTTAGTTAATTTAAAGTTTTTTTCATTGGTTTATCAATTTTTCTGACTAAAATTGAAATATTTGATAAATGAAATTATCTCAGTTATTTATAGCATTTTTAACAGTAAAGTTACAAACTTTATACTTTGTTACCTTTTTCATTTTTGTTTCTAATATTCTAAAAGGTACGTCTTTATCATGAGGCCTAGACGTTAGAGTCATTTAATTGTTATAATATTCATATCATTTATTTATTGATCGCCGAAAAAAATTTGTGTAGAAAATAAAAGTTATATTAAATAACGTATAAGTGTGTTTTATATATAAATTGATTTTTTAACTATCCAGTTTGTTCACATTTCTTTGTTTTTTTATTTTTCAGAAAGAAAAATGAGCAGCCATATGTAAGTGATAACGGGGACAGTGACAAGCTTACACGACTGATTCTTTGGGCAATGAAAACATGGTTTTGTTTATGAATAACGAATATAAAATAGAATCAGCGCACAGAAAAAGGTGAAAGAGAATGCAAGGGTAATAGCCGAAAGTGCCAAAAGTTAAAAACATGGATGAGGGTTTTGGGATTCTCTTCTTTATGTTTTTGGGATTGTGGGAATCTAACACAGGTCAGCGCATGATTACAAGAGTAAAAGATACCACTCTCTCAATATCTTATTTTATAATGTTTCGTGAAAATAACCGACCAAATCATTGGGAAAAGGAAAACCTATGCCTATTCATTCTCTCAGCTCAACTCAAGCAACTCAAGAGTATGTTTATTTTAGATCATTTTAATTTTACAAAATTACCAAAGTCATCACTGGGTCAGTGGTTTTGATAATCGTCCCTTCTAGAATTAGCATGGTACAGCTGTTGCATGATATCAAATGATAGAGAAGCAAAAAAATCTCGTGAAAGTTTTAGTTTCCGTAAAGACTTTATTTTTTTATTAAATATGTGGTAAGAAATAGTCAGGCTTCAGAATTCATATATAAAATTGAATCTATCACATTCTCATTTGTTGATTATATCTGTGCCAGATAATACCATCCACTCATCTGTACATCTTTTTTTAACAAATTTTAAATATCAATTTCAATTGCATCACCAGCTGTAAACTTTCTATTCGTAAAACCATCGACCACAAGCTTGTGATCGATTTAAAACACATTTCATTTAAATTTTAACAAGTAGACGTCTGATTAATTAATACCTTCAAAGAAATTTCGTCTAACTAATTAAGCTATCTATTTTTAAGGACTATGACTTTTTGCATACTTTACTGTATAGTTCTTTAAACTATTTTTAATTAATTTTATCAACTAAATTCTTATTTTTAAAGTATGAAACTGATAATTATACTTTCCATTATTTAAAGTTATCTCTTTGTCCTTTTTCACTGAAAACGAAGAATTGTCTTGTTGACACACTGTATCTTCCCTTGAAACCCACTCCTTATGTCAGGTTATGTGAGTCCTATTTAATATCATCAGGGGCACATTTGGACGACTTTATTGAAAATATAATTTAGAATTTGATTTCAATCTTTTAACTCTTTCAAAATTAAAAATTATTTTAAGTTTTTTTTTATAGTTGAGTTATCAAATGAATTAGAGTCAGTGTAAAATTAAAATTCAAAGTTCAATTCGATTTTATATAATGTAGTTGTTAAAAAACACTGTAGTGGGAAATCAGAGAGGAGAAGTAGTGAAGAAATTTGGCCCCAACCTGATATACTATATTGGCGAGACCATGATGACCACCTGGCGAAATACCTGATGATAATTTGAAAGTTTTGAATTATTTCCGAGACCTGCTAAAGACACTGGTTCTAGTGCCATTGGCAGATAGCTTACTTTTCTTCTTCGCATTTCTTCTGTTGAATTCTCTGATTTCTGAAGTCGATGAAACACTGGTCACATTTAATGTTTAGTGTTTAGACATACAGTGGACCACTGTACTCGGCATCTCTCTACCATTATGAAGTAGGATCCACCAAATATCCAAGTACTTCTATTCCAACATTTCCACAAGATCTTCCTTTATTCTTAACATTATTATTTATCCCAGGACATTTGCCTTAAATGCTACTGCCCATCCTAGAATAGTGTTACATGTCCGATTTTCTTTAAGTAAAATTTTAGCTACAAGTAATGCACATATAAAAAAAAGTTGTCATGAACATAATTAACTTGAATACATTATAAATGTTTTAAAATTCTTATGAAAGACATTTGTGACATAAAAAGAAAAAAGGGAAACAATGTGTGAGAACAATTAAGGAGATAAAAGGCATGGTGGTATCCATGTCTGGAGACAAGTTAGAAGGGGCCAGGGCCATGTCACAGGGTACAAATGTTGTAACGTGGACGTTTAGCACGCCCGGGCCGCCCCAACTGGTGGCTGTTGAGATCTGAAGCACCTGGACCCTGTACTAACTAAAGGGTAGCTTGGATTTCAAAAGCTAAAAGAAAAGCTACTTTTAGAAAAACGAGCTTAAGAAAGAATAATAAGATGCTCGTGATCTCTCCCAAAATTGCTCTTCAATAACGAAACTGACACTTTGTTCACAAGTTACAATATCTATTATTCTCTCGTGTCTTACGCCCTCTATAATCAAAACCCCTCCCTTCGATGTAGGTAAAAGGGCACGTAGCTTTGTGAAATAAAACCACAAGACCCACAAAAATAAAATCACTTATTCTTGAGGCATAAATAATAATGAAACTAAAATTCGTATTCTAGTTTCGTATATTCAACTATAACGCTTCAATCAATCAAGCTGGCGTCTTCTCTTTTCCACTTCTAAAGGAAATAATTAATGGCAGAAATTAATTTTAGCATTAGATAAGTTTGACCGGCGGTTACACAAGTATTTATAGAAAAAATAAATATTTTTTTAATAATTTAATTTATATTTATAAAAGATTCTTAATGAGGTATATAAATTAATTTTAACTGATCTAGTCAAATGATAATACTCTGATCGATTAAAATTCCAAACCAAATATTCCAATGATATTCAAAGGTGACAACAATGGAGGCTAAATCTTCCTGGCACACAATATGACACAACCTGATTGAAAAGCGCAAATCAAACAAAAGTCAAGATGCAGAGTCGTCCTCAATAATGAAACGAAAAACCCAATTTATAAACAAGTTGAGTATGAAGAATGAACAAGGGAAAAACAAGAGCGAAAGAGAACAAACCACAGGAGTTTCATTGCCAATAGAAAAAATTTACTCAATAAGCACACAGATAGCGAAGACCCTCCATTGAACAGCTTCAATTAAATTCAATTCAAGGAGAGAACAGTGGTTGAGGAGTGGAAGAGAGAGATTGAGAAGATTCCTTTCTAGAAGAACTTCTCCAGAAGCCAGTGCCGTAAAACTTATCCCACATCTCCCTCTCAAGAGCCATAGTTTCATCATCAGGCTCCGCCGCATAAAGCCGCGTGATATCAGACGCGTCGTTCGCGCACATGGGGTATATCCTGTGCCCGTTAACGTCGTCGCAGCAACCGCACGAGCAGTGGCGGCGCTTCGGCTGCAACAACCCTTCCTTAATCATTCTGCGTCGCCGCCTTTTCTTCAGCATTTGCCGGCATAATCCCGCCGGAACCTTGTAAAGTGCGAGGAGCAAGAAATTCGCGACGCCGCAGGGGAAGCAGCAGCACACCGCCACGCACTCCGCCGCCGTGCCGCCGACAACCTCGCCCACCGTTGACCCCATACTGGATGACTTATTCTGCAGCAGCGGCTGCCGGCGGTTCGACCCCGCGGCCGCCGCACGGAGGACTATCCTGTTCGACATCGATCGATCACGACGTCGAGGAAAAAGATCGAAACTTTGGGCAAAACGAAGGATTCGTGATGTGGGTTTTGGTTGTTTGGGCGAGTTGCGTCTGTGGGAACGAGCTGGGCAGGTTCTTGAAGTTGTCGGAAACAGAGGGAAAAGGGGGGTGAGGAATGTGTTTGAATGTTGAGAGTGATATAAAGATGGAAGAAAGGGAGGTCCTAGAAATGGGGCGGGGGGGTTAACAGCGTAAGGTTGAAGATGGTAAACAGATTGTGAGTGAAGAGAGAGATGGTCTGTAATTGGTTGAATGAGTGGAAAATAGTTGTGATGTGAGGGGCATTACTCAGAGTGACGTATATTTTGGTTTTTGGGAACCTAAAATGGAGTTTTGAGAGAGAAGGAAGCGATACACACGTGCCCTTCAACGGACCCCCCAAATAATCACGTCCTTTTCACTTCCACCTCATCCACGCGTCCGCATCGGAGCCCCATATCATTTCAATGCTTTTAATCTTTTCTGTTTTCATCATTTTTCAGTTTTCATCCTATTTTTTAGTTATTTGAATATTTCATCTATTTTGTTAATTATCTCACTTCTTTTTTTATTAAATAAATTTTAATTATTCATTATTTTATAAAAATAGTAAAAAATAACAAAACAAACTTATTAATGGGTCAAAGCAAAATAAAAATAGAAGGAATAGAAATCAAAATAAATTAATTTTTTAAAGTACTAGTTAAAATTTATGAAGAAAAAATTTTAAGATAATAACTAGTTAGCAATTTAAAATATTTCAAATATATAAGAATACTAAATAGTGATAAATCTGCATTTATTATTATTATTATTATTAATGTATAATAATTAGTACATTTGTTTAAAAAATTAATAAAAAATATGTTAAAATAGATTGAGTATTAACATTATTTTTAAGAAATTATATTCTATCTTTTTAACTATTATTCTTAAAATACATATTAATATTTATTTAATATTATTTCTAATCTTGTTTATAAAAAATTAATAAATAATTTAAAAAAACTAACAATAAGAAGTTATATGTCATAAACTTGAATTTTATTTTATAAATAGTTATAATATTAAATTGTTGTGCTATATATTAAATGAATAAATGTATCGTCTTTTATAAATAGAAGGTGGATATTTGATTAGCATAAATCATATAATAAAAAATTAAAGAAATAATGTATATAAAAGATAATTTTTATTTTTATATTTAAGAAAACAATATTAATGGTTAATTTATAAATAAACTGAAAGTAATAATATATTATTTTACTTAAGAAACATAACAAAAAAATTCAACCATGAATTGGGTAGTTATTGCTTTCCATAGAGGCACTATAATTTATAAACACCCAAAAAGAAAGGAGAATGTAGTCATGAGACTCTGGAGAGCGGACCATAATAGCGTAGGGGATTGATTCGGCATTTCTATTTTAGCAGTCACGCCAATCAAAAATATTAGGCAACAATTGTTTGAAACGTAAGGTTAACAAATATTTAAACAGAATGGATGCATGTCACGTCTCATTAAAAGGTGGGGCCTTTTTAATTTAGTGGTCAAACATACCTAATTATAAATCATCTCATCTAATGCATACCTAATTACCTATTCTATTACACTGGAACACACCCTATTTTGTCCTAAAATCCCAGTCTAAAAAAACCCACTAAGAATCAGATTGTGGATTGTCGCTTTCTATTTAAACTTGTTATTATTTTTTAACATTCTAGTTAGTGAGTCTTTGAGGCTAAAGCAAAGCTGATTGCTGAGTTGGATTTTATTTTACACCGAAAGATAGTGAAGATATTTTTTATGGTCTTGAAAAGATGTTAACTATTGATGATAAGTTTAAGCATGTGCTGTTCTTTTGTGAAATGTTTCTTTTTCACCTTTTGACGATTTTTTAAAAAGCTTTTCTTAAAATATATTCCAAAAATGGATTAAATAACTAACAAAATATTTTATACATTTTTTAAAAATCCTAATAAACTCAAACACGCGGAAATCTATCGCTAAAAGAGCAAGACATGCTCTTTTATTTTCTTCCCCGCTTTGTTGGCTCTCTGTTTTATTTTATGCTGTGATCAATGATTTCTCAATTAGCTTGTGCATTTTAGTTCGCTTAACTGATAATGTTTCTCGTATATATAGTAATTGCAAAAACTTACGACCAAATTCACACACTAGTTATCCACTAGATTTCGTTCCTAAATATTCCAACACTGGTTTTGTTAAGTACAAGCTTACTTGTTGATGCATTTTATCATAGTGGAAAGCTTTGACGATAGATTAAACTCACAAGAGAATGATAAAAAATAAAATAAAATTCTTAAATAATTTTGACACATTCACAGTGCATAGTTTGATTGAATGGCACAAAGATATATGCGATCAGAGTACTTGGAGGGATCAAAATGATGCACAAGGTGAACAAAAGGATGCTGACAAAAAGACGCTTGGAAGAGTGCAGACAACTCAGATGGGTCACCACTACGGCTAAGTGCTTGGAGCATTGGTGGAGATCACAATGTTCCTGTTCCTGTTAACATATTACATGAAGAAACCTAATTATGAAATTTTGTTCATCAATACAATTCCACAACATCAATAAGTAACAGTTATGACATGTAATGTCTTTTCGTAATAAAGTATAAATTTTATTTAGTAAAATATTTAAAACTTCAAATTAAATCATAATTAGTATGATCAAAATGTGAAAATGCATGAACCTACACAGGTAATGGCTAAGCTACAAGAACAATAATATTCCAATGTTGCTCTATGTACTGCTCTGACACATACTACCTGCAGTTTGACTGGTTATTACTCTGAGATTGTCTTCCCACGTGTGAGGCCTGTCACCATCCTAATGGTAGACCCTCTTCTTCTAAGTTCTAGTACTCTGTTCTGTTTCGCACCCATCATTGTTCTTCTTCTGCATCCAAATGCTAGACCCTCTACTTCTATGTTCTAGGACTCTCTGTTTTGTTTTGCATTATCACTGTTCTTCTTGCATTGTAACGAATGCTCCGTATGCTTCAATTTAGATTACATGGCACGTAATATACCATGAATGACATTATCATGTGTGAGTGAAAAGATATGGGTTGAGTGATTCAGTCCAAAGGTGTATAGTAATTATATGCTAATTTTAAAAATCAAGTGAGAATATGATTAGGGACGCTAAAGAATTTACCCCAATCATTTTATTTCGATAAATTAGTATGAAATAACTAAAAACTAAATAAAAATATAATTTTTATATGATTTTTATATTCAAAAATAAATAAACCAAATCAAATTATAAAGATATTAAATTCATATATTAACTTGTAATGCATTTTATTAAATGTGTTTATTTTTTTATAAAAATTTAAGGTAACGTTGACTAAAGATTTATAATTTAGGATAATTATAATTTTTTTATAAAGTTTAATATTTTTCACAATACCCTTTTTACAGATCAAGTCACAAATTTAATTATTCTATTTAAGGTGTTTTAAAATTTTGTAATTAGGTCATTATATTCAACAGGATCTTAACAAAAATGTAGTCAATGACTTGATAAAAATAATTTTTAACTCCATATATTTAATTTATTAATTAAAAACTTTTAAAATTAGAGATTTATCATCATAATTTTTCAAAAAGTTTGTAAACATGCGAAGTAATTTAAAAAAAAATTGATAATATTTTAAATTGATCCAAGTTGAATAAAATATATTTTTTTACTGTAAAATCGATCCAAATTAAATTATAAACAGCACTAATGCTAGCGATTCTCGTCTGTGAGTACGAGCTACATGACAACCTTGCTAATCAACTGTTACTTCAATGTCGCATGTAAAGGAGTGTTCTGTTTTTTACTGCCATGGTCACTTTTTATACGAGTAATAAAATATTATTTAAAAATTTATTTATCGTATTAAAACATAATAAAAATAATTTAATAAAATTTTATTATCACTAATTGTTTTAACTCAATTTTAGTGACCAAAGATGTTTTTTAATTCCAAGTTAACTATGTATACGGATCCTAAATTGATTAAAAAAACTTTAAATATGAGAGTGAGTATTTGCAATAAGCTTCAATCCGTTAAGTACATTTCAATTAGTTTAATAGAAACAGTAAATGCTTTCTATTGGCAGTTTTTCAGCATTTTTAATGATAAAAAATAACATTGACTTACAAAAAAGTTTAGATAACTATGGATTAAAAATTCGAGAATACGGATATTACACTGTCAATTTCATATTATTAAAATAATAGTAACAGTAAAGTACCGTTTGACAATAATTGAAGTTTTGACTGCTAAAACCTATTCTTTTCGGATGGAAGATACTTCCAGAAGAATAATATTATAATCATTTGTGGATTATCATTCGATGTATATAATAATAAAAATAATAAATTGTTCAAAAACTATAGTTGTTTCTAGATAGACGGCCAACTTGATTCTTTCATTCCTTTTAAATAAAAAATAGTTCTGTCAATACACTTTAAATGGTGTAAACAATTTCAAATCTACGTAGTAATATTTTACATTGCATCTCTGCATAATTAAAAATTTAATAATTAAGATAATTATATACAGCCACTTATTCAGTTACAACAAGGAAATTAAACAAATGCCGACTTTTAAATAAAAATTTAGTAAAATAATAATGACTAAATTTAAATATATTCTTATTTATACTTTTTAATATTTTACATACCTATTATAAATTATAAATGAGAGAAATAACAGTAAAAGTTATACTACATTCTGTTTTACTTATAATAAACAAATATCTAATTTATTAAGATGAATAAAAAGTAATTATATGTTATATTCATCTCTATTTCAAAAATATTCACAATATTAAACATTTAAATTAATATAATTTATATTAAGTAAATGAATATATCCATTTTTATAAATAAACAATATGTATATCGTTAAAAAAATCTTAATTGTTTTTCTTATTTTTAAGACCAAAAAATATTTATAATTATTTTTTATGAATAAGAAACATATAATATTACAAAATTAGATTTAATTCTCTTGTAATGAAAAAATGTTTAAGATAAAAGGATACAATTTATTTATTATTAATTTAAATTTAATTATGTTTATAAAATATTTAAATTAAAATAACTGAAAATTTTACTTTACATTTTTCTTATTTGTAAAAAGCTAAGTGTCTGATTGTTTAAATAAAAAAATAATTTCCAGGAACCACAATCACGTTAGAAACTCAGATCAATGGCATCTATTTATTTTGGCTTTCATGTAAAAGAGTGTAGATCTCCATCGCAAGAGCAACTCCATTGAATTTCGCAGAACTTTTTTATTATCATTTTCATTTAAAAACATTATTTTAGAATTCCCAAAATGAATTACAATCACACTACGCTATTACACAATGTGGCCTAAATTACTCAGACGCAACCCTTTGTTAAAAAATTGAAATCAACTTCGAAAAACTACTTTGTTTACAATATACCAAAAAGAAGAAGAAAATAACTACAATCTACACTGCGAAGCATTGACGACATAACATCATGAAAGGAACCATAACTAGCGAACTTGGCTTTTACTAAGAAGAAAAAGAAACTAAAAACGAAGTCTCCCATTGAGATTCCTATTCCTATATTTCATAATTCCCCTATATAGAACTGCCCTATTAGGAGGCATCATGTCCTCTAATTTCGGAACACGTCTCCATTTGTGAGTGTTCTCAATGACCCAAATTTCCTCAGCCTTGACGCGTCGTACCCTAGTCACGTTTCTACGACAACTCTTGTTCTCTAGTGGATTTTCCAAAGCTTGTTTTGCAAACCGCACCTTCTTCTTTGCTTGATGTTTTCCTGAGCATTGCAAAAGCAAATGATAACTCTTATGTTATTTGATTTTTTCATGCACGTATGAATTTAGAATCATGTAAAAATATAAAATGTTAATTAAATAAAGTTGAAAGGAATGGATATGATACCACCCATTTCACACTCAAATTTCTCCATGAAGTTAGATAATAGACGCTTATGGACTTGATGAACCAAGAAGACCATGCTTCCGGATACAGCAAACACAGCCATCAATCCAAATCTCATGGAGTTGTCCATCTTTCTTTTCTCTTTGTTATTGGACAGTCAAACTTTGGCTTGTATTATATGGATATAAATGTAGACATTATGTATCATCCAAGAAAAAGCATGTAAGCTGGTAGGTAAAAGAGAATCATTTTGTAGAGGTAAAAGAATGATTATGAGGGAGAAAAAGGAAATGAAGGATACGTAGAGATCGTTGGTTTTGGTGCTTATATATGGAAGATGTGGGAAGGATGATGGAAGAGAAATGGACGATCTTCACAACACAAAATCTTTTTTGCTTATCTATATTAATCACGAAAATCCAACAATGTACTTACACCAAGTTAGGAAAAACCTTAAATAGTGAAAGTGAAGAGTGTTCCATTTATAATTTGTTAATTTTGGGCCCATGCATAGAGTGTCGGCTTGATTTATCTTTGGTTTTTCTATATTGAATCAATCGATTCTATCCATAAAGTGTTTCCCAATATATTCGTCTTTCGGATAGATTTTTATTTGTAAGATGGGTAAATTTAGACAATAAATAAGTAATGTTTTAAATAGTATTTACACTATTCTTTCCTATTCTCAAATAATCGGAAACGATTATGGTTTTTTACTTAAAATTATCTTATAGATCTTATAGTCAATCAAGATAAATCGTTGCATGATAGCAATCGTATCTTTGTATTTTTAACATGTCGATATCAAGAACAATGTAAACACAGAATCCTTTTAAAATCTCTATTGGATCGACTTGTGTGAAATAATTGAACTATAAGTTCACTATTTCAAATTAGTTCAATCACGATTTAATCACATATTTAACCGCTTAAACTAATTGAATCTCAATCCAAAGATGTCACCATTTCAATTTCCGGGTGATATTTTAGAACATCGGTTAGATGGATTTGCTTTAAACTTAGGATTAAAAATTGTATATGAAATAAATTCTCTACTTTAACTTTTAACTTTTAACTTTATTTTTCTGTATGCTCATAAAAAAATTAATATTTATTACATTATCTGTAGCTTGAGAGGGTTGTACTCTTTTATTTAATGGTTATAATTTTTTAAATATTTTAAAGATTATAAAGTATTAGTATTTTTTTTTAACTAAATTATTAATTTTATTATTTATTAATATATAATTAACATGGACGATTGTTTTAAGAGAGAATACCAATCTCTCGTAGAAGGTACAATAGATTTTATTTAAAAAATTAAAAATCTTTTTTTTTACTAAAAAAACTGCATAAATGTTGTGATTGACTATTTTTTAGAGAAAATAATATTTAAAATATAAGATATATTATATTGTAATTAAAATTACAGTATATATATATATATATATATATATATATATAAGATAAGATACAATTATTTAGACAATTTAAAATATTTTTAAGCATATTATGTTGGATTTTTTATTTATTTATTTTCACAAATTTGTTAGCCTCAACTCATAATTGAAACAAATTTTTAGTATTTAACATGGTAATTTTATTAAAAATTATTTTTATCAATTCGTACATGATGCAGAAAAGAAAACAACTGCACATATACAAACACGTGTTATCTGCTGTGAGGTCTCCCATACATGTATATATAATTATATATGCATTAAATATTTTTCAACTAATTTTATAAATGTTAACTTCTTAAGAAATCTCCAGCACTTGTATAGATATGCAATTAGTATTTTCTACTGATTTTCTCAAGATCAACAAAATGATACAACAGTCATTTCAGACATATATTTATACACTGAAATGGTAAAATCTTGTGCAAAGACACCTCTATGCGATCTGAGAGCTCAAGTAGCTCTGCCAGTAAACTGTGAAAGGAGGTTATAATTTCAGGTTTTGATGTTCATTCATGTAGACACTTTAATGAACTGTCAGTGTAAAATAAATATATCGATCTATCATTCTATCAAACATTTTTTTAAAGTAGCCCAAGAAAGCAACCGCTGCAAGCAAAGAGAGAGCAGAAAGTACAGGTACACTGAGTCACTGACTACAAGTTCTACCAGCCTTTTAATCTACACAACGCATGCAATTCTGTAACATAGATGCAAAGAAAAGGATCAGAAGAATATTTCTTTTTTGCATTCCCATGCACCCAAAACAAAAGGACGCACTAAAGTAAGGACAAAAATTGGACAAAAGAACGAATTGAAAGGATCTACCTCAAGTTAAAAACCTGCCAAAATTTGATTCTCAACGAATTGAAAGGATACTTTATAAGGATAGTTTTTATTAAATTTAAATGCAGAAAATAGTTTTTCATCATCGGATTGCATTTATTGCAAGTGGGATTACAAGACCACAAGAACCAGCTAACTAAGCAAGCATCTTTCCTGATTGTTTCAACTACGTCCGATGCTCATGCACCCAAGTGAAACACTCGGAATCTTGAACCTCAAATTTCATTCTTGACTATAGGACAAGAAAGAATGCATACTTAAAAGGACTAATTGGACCATTAGTAAGTGTTTGATTAGCACCAATATAAATTTTCAATTATTATTGTATCCTAAAGTACCGGTTAACAAAATAAAAATATAATTAATGTACTTTTATCGTAATTATAAACACTCCATAAATATGATTTGTAATAGTTTGCTTTTATTTGTTGAACGGTGGTCAGTAAGATCGTTTAAGTTTTTAGCTATTAAATTACTCAGAAGTCTTTGAAAACAAACAATAATTAATTCCAATATCGTTGAACAAAAGAATTAACAGGAAAAGGGTTATCATATATCGTATTATACCTGCGCTTTTCCAAGTTCTTAGAAAGAGCATCGATAACGCGCTGGGCATCGTCTTTATTCACGTAAAAGCTAACTTTGTGCTATCGCAGTTCAGTCTCTGCCTGCATCACCAGAAACGAAAAAAGAAAATTAAGAAAGGAATCATCGCCGGGCCCCCGCAGGAGGCCCACACGACGGCTATTAGTTCAGTGGCAGAGCCCACCCTGATAATTGCGTCATTGTGCTTGGACTGGGAGGGAATCATCGGCGCCTGACCCTAAGATATGGATCATCCAAAGTACATTATTATGGCGTATTTCTCCTGTTTGAACACCGATGTTTGAAACCAAATCCAAATTTTTCTTCAAGAGGATAGATGAGGTTATTAAGGTGAGATCTAATGTAGATCCAATTTTCTCTTCACTTGTGGAATTCTATCCTATTCTATCCTGTAAGTTCTGAGCTAACATAAGAATAGAAGAATATATAATTGCAATTTTTTTTCAGCATTTTTTATCTCTTAATTTTAATTATTTATGTTGTTTTTTAATTTTTTAAATACTTAAATTATTTTTTTCTTTTAAAATTGTATTTAATACTACTTCTAGTTTTGTTAAGAAGAAACAAAATAGAATATTTTTTAGTCTTTATTATAAAAAATAAATGATACATTCAATATATATTAATTACTAAATTTTTTTTATATCTTTCTTTTTTCAGTACCATTAAATATATAAATTATTAATTACACTATTTAATAGAATGGGTATCTTGAAATAAAATTTATATTTATTAAAAATATAACTGGTTTAATTGCTTTCTTTTAATATGATGATTTAGTCTTTTATTTTTTATAAAAAGAATCAAAAGTAATCATTAATAAAAATATAATAAAAGTACGATAATTTATTAATTTATCTATAAATAAAGAGTATATATATAAAATGTTTAAATAAAAATATAAAATATAATAAAAGTTTTAATTTTTAGTAACGACTTAACTTAAACATTTGAATAATTAAAAAGATTAAATATAAATAATTAAAAATAGAAAAACCAAAATTACAAATATATATGTTGAAATATAAAGATAAAAAAAAATACAATCAAACATTGTTTTTAAAGTACACTTATTAAAGATTTTTAAAAAAATGGTTATAAAAATCATGTTTGAATTAATTTAAATTAGGTAAATATCTTATATAATATTAACTAAAATTAATTATATTTTTATTTTTTATAAAATTAGTACAATTTGTGATTAGTTTTTTTAAATATTAAAATTTAATTCTTCACTTATTTAAAATATTAAGATTTAATTTGGTTAACTCCTTTTTATGAAAGGATGAACTGAAGAACATAGATTTAGTTTATTATTTACACATTACTATTACACCATTTGTTTTTTTTTTATATTTTTTTATTTAAAATTAATATTTATAAATAAATCTTTAAAAATATTTTAAGAAAGTTTTCTATAGAGATTAAATAACATTTTGAAAAAGTTATGTACTGAATCTAAAAAAAAAATCAAAAACTAATCACAAATGATACTTTATTATAGGAATAAAAATACAATTAAATCTATTAAATATAGGTAGTTGTAGAGATAAAAATTTAAAAGTTGTCAGATTATAATTCTTAAACATTATTGTTTATCAAAACTAATTTTAGAAAATGAACAATCAATCCTAACTTGTAGAAAGTAAGTTTAATATCGATTATTTAAATTACTCCATATACATGCTATAGGCACGAAGTCAGGATTTGCATTTCTCTTTTCATATCTTATAAAACGATACTACTAGCATATTCTCAGGAAGTTTGGCAAAAAAATATACATTTTAAAAAAATAATTAGTAATCTTCCTGAGGAATCTGTTGCAATAAATTTTGCTTTTAGGGACAAATTTTTTACTTGAACCAACTTCTATATCTAGCATTTCTTTCACTCTCTTTATTTTATTTCCTGATCTTTTTGAGTTTCAAAATTATTGAGATAAATCCTAACTATCATGCAATTTTGAAAGTCAAATGTTAACGACACTGTTAAAGAATGAAAAATATAAAATTTTATGGAAACAATATTATTAATATAATCTCTCTATAATTGTCAATGTAGATGGAGAAAATGAGTAGTCTAGCATTAAATTTAAATTGACTACACCGGTAAAAGTAGATTTAGTTCATATTTATGCATGAAGCTTGAGTAGTAGGCACACAAAAGTAATAATGTGCATATACAAATGTCTGAATGGCACAAATACATCTTAAGCTGTGAATGTAGGGCCTCTCAAAATCATAAAAAGAGAAAGAAAGATCAGATCAACAATAAAGTGAAAATTTCCAATAATAAACATTCATTTCATGTAAGTTATGATTTCTTTCTATACACAGACAACTTTGCCCACTATACAAATGTATGTATGTTTCTATATTTGTCAGAATATATGTACAAAAAAAATGGTCAAGGCAATATTAAAAAATAAATTATTTTTTATTTTAATACAAATACAAAATCTGGCAATATATTCAACGAATACGGTTCACATGAGCAAAGGGCTCAATTTTATACTTGGGCGCTGGTTTGGTAGCTTCTGGGGTTCCAAAGACATTCCAAAATCGCAGGGTCTCGTCCCCTGCCGCGGAGGCCACAGTACACCCATCTGGACTCTGAGCCATGAACAGCACCCTGGAGGTATGACCCTTGAGCTCTGCCATCTTCACCATTGAAGGGTATTTCCAAAGAGTGAGCTGATTCTGTGTGAAACCATGCGAGCTAAGCAACTCACGCTCATTCTTGTTCCACAGTAGAGCGCACACTTGTGAGCCTGTGTTAACAGTGTTTAAGCATGCACCGGTATGGGTATTCCAGAACTTAATGCACTGATCACCCTCGCCTCCACCAGAAGCTAGTAGATTTGCCTGGAATGGACACCAAGACAGTGCCTTTACAGCAGCTCTGTGCTCCTCAAACTTATGAAGCCACCGGGTCAGCGAATTCGACTTGGACATAGACCTGTCCCATATGTGAATAACATTATCATTGCCCCCACTCGCTAATTGTTGTCCCGAGGGAGACCACTTGAGCCCACACACCTCCTGGTGATGACCCCTATAGCTTTCAACAATATGAAATCTTACTCTAACATCATTGTTGACAATTCTACCCTCCATTCCTCCAGTTGTGAGGATATGATTGTTCCAAGCCATGGAACCCACCCGTGCTTGGTGTCCATCTTTCAGTGTTCTTAGCTGCAGTCACCAAAACAAACCCCAACATCAAAATGCATGCAAACTTTAACCCTTACAAGAACACAAAAAATGGTACATAAATAAATAAAGTATAATTTATATTACCAGTCTAGCAGAATCAGAATCCCACAGCTGGACATGAGAATTGTTCAAACCAATGGCTAAATGACGCCCATCAGGAGCCCAACTAACACTTGTCACAGGACCATCTTCTTCATCCACAGTAACAAGTTCTGCAGTAGAACTATCAGATGCATTCCATAGATACACAGTATTCCCAAGTGCAATACTAAGAACATTGCTGCTGCTCCAATCCAATAAATTCAAATAAAAGTCATCTAGTATATCAGGAGCATCCAACGTCCTCTCAGAACTCTAAGAATAATTTTTACAAACAGTTAGAACACAATTTAAAGTGTCTAACTAGTCAATGCATAATTTTGATTTGAACATATTATAACATATACCTGCGGAATGTAACGTTTGGGCTTAGAGGCTTTATATTGAGGAGAGGAAAGGATAGCCTTGGGAATGAGTTCAACGGGAGTTGGAGGCATGTTCTTGAAGGCCAAGATTCGAGTGCGGTTCATATTGAAGGCCTCAGCGAGTTGCTTCTGGTAGGCTGCTCGGGATGGTGACGTCATCATAGGGTTTTCTTTGCCCTTCCTGTTACCCTCAGTGAGCATGTAGTGAGCGTAATCGAAGTCCATGGCTGACCTATTCGGAATGAACCTGTCCAACTGCGAGGAACAAATTCTCAATGGAGTTTTTAATTTTACAATTGTGTTTGGTTGCCGAGAAAATCAAGAAGCGAGGGCTTACGTTTTCTTGAGAACTTCTTCTGCGGTGGAAATGATCTTGGAAGGGGGATCGGGATTTGATCTTGGTGGAAGAACTCCACGCTCCCGCGTCCATGGTTGAAGAAGATTAAAAACGAAACCCTGAAAAAGAGAAATGAATTAACGGAATGAAAGAACAATGGAAATAGAGAAAACAGAGAGAGAATAATGTGAATGGTGGTGCGCGTTGATGGTTGATTGGGAGTCTCAGTCTCAGAGCTTGAAATCAGAGCATGAAGAGAGAGAGCGAGAGAGAGAGAGAGAATGAGATTGAGAAGAAGAAAACGAAGAATGTGTTATATGACAAGAAAATCAGGAGTTCGTTTTATATGGAAGTAGCCGTTGAGTGGTGATATGACGAAATTACCCTTAAATCACTCTGTCACGTCCGTTTGCAATGAGACCACGACACCACAGGCCCATATCAATAAAGAATTTTCCATTCCTACTTTACTTTTATATAATTATTTTACAATTAAGAAAAAGATAAAAAATATAAAATTAAATACTTCCTATGATAAAAAAAAATATATTTATACATATAAGGAAAAAATTAAGACTTTTTAGTGTATTATAAGTGTTACAATATATATGCACTTGTAATGACTCATGTTCATATTGAATTAATTGTTTTTAATTAATAAGACCTCAGTTTAATTTTTATATATTATTAATGTAAAAAATTACATTAATAATTAATTAAAAATATAAAAAATTAGACGTTAATTAATGATTAACTGACGATAAAAAAATATTTAAATTGTTAATGTATTTTAATTAAATTTGTATAACATTAATTTTGTTTGTACTGATGTTAAAAAATTATAATATATATTTAAAAATATAGAAATTATTCTTAAGAGATAACGGGAAAACATGGAAATTATTCTTAAAATATAGTAATAAAATATAAAAATTAATCTGAAGAGATATTTTAATGCACTATAAAATATTCTAAGATTTAATCAATATATTATTATTATTATTATTTTCTTACACTTTAACATCTTTTTTCCTTTTCAGATTTTTGTTAATAAATAATTTTAAAAGTACATCAGTAAGTGTGTGTTTATTTTAATTTTATTTTTAAAATAAATTTTTGAAAAATTTCTTAAATAAATAAAATATTTTTAAATTAACTTATTTCATACAGTATTAAATATATTCATGCTTAATTTACTCATGTAGATTAAAATTGCGATATATTTTTAATTAAATTATCAATAATTACTCTTTTTACTTGTTCACTTTATACCAAAAAATACATATAATGCTTTCTAGAAACGACATATGCAATGGGCATTGGGGAATATGTTTAAATCAATTTTGTTTTGAGGGAGACAAAATTTGTATTTGAAGCCAACGCTAAAAGCATTATTATGATCAATTTTAATTACATTAAAGTAATCGATTCTCCACAGGATTAACATTTTATTTAGTCTAAAAAATATCCTAAGCGCCATGCAATTGTACAAAAGGAGAAAAGCAAAATCACTATTCATATGTTGGTTTGCTTAACAGTAGTGGAACAGCATCAAATTCAAAATGATCACAGAGATAAAAGTAGATTTAGTTCATACAAATTCTTGAAACTTGACTAATAGAGTAGGTGTCAACTCTTAATTCTTACAAGTACGTTGATTCTAACTACCAGAGTTACGACAAGCTTGAGTTAATGAAACACATCTAATAAGAAGGGCTTCTTCCTAAGAGTTAAAGAATTTCAAAAAGCATCGCATCTCTGAACTCTTCTTCACATGTTGATGTGCTTGACATGGCATTCAGCGTGCATTTGTTGCTCGATCATGCCAAATGAAATACGTTACAAATAAGATTAGACAAACTATATGGCTATATCAAATCAATGCTTGGCACTTTACTAGGTAGTTCTCCTTATATATGTTATAATTATGAGCCTTCATTCAATATCACTCTTCCTAGAAGAAAGGAAGGGCATCTCCAACTCATACATATGCTTGGATGAAGAATAGTCTTAAGTTCCAGCTTGAAGTTTCATCCACCGCAAAGAAAGATATGCCAACAAACGGTAACCAAAAACCATGGCTATAAGAGCTGCAACCTCTGTGAATCCACTGTCAATTCTGATCCCATTTATGGTAGGTGTTATGTGTTTTTCATATTGTACCTTTAGCAAAAGTTTGTACGTGTGGTAGTTGAAAGATATGTAGCGAATCCATGATATAAATTTGGGGACTTCCTGTCAAATTTTGAAGCACGTGTCACTTACATTTACCATTAACAAAACTTAACTAGATGAAAAATTATTTATGTTGTACAGGAAAAAACTGTTTTTCAATTATAATTAGAATTTTATCTCTATGATTATTTTAATATCGACTTTTATTATATATATATATATATTACCAAGGTGGAATTCTACAGTTGATTGAAGAGCAGCACTAACAATACTTGCACTACTGCGTTTAATCTTTTTCCATTCGTATATCAAATAGTAACATTTTTTTTCCTTATGCCAAATAGCATCTGTTGTTTAAGAATATGTTATTAAATTATAGGATATCACGTATCATTATTTGATTCGTGATATTGATATTGATATAAAGAATTTGACATACTTTGACCGAAGGAAATCCTCAGTAACATTACTTGAAGTTGATAAATCAATTAAATTTACCTTGACAAAAAAACCACCAGCCAGCATGAAAGTCATCACAGTTACTGAAGCCAAAGTTGTTGCCCTTTTCAAGTCCATCAGTGTAGCCCCAATAGCAAGTCCAAGCCCCTGGTTAATTAGAAGTTAGAACTATAGGCCATTTCGGTGTATGTTATTTTCTTATTATGAAATACAGTGCATACCTGAGCTGCCACGATGCAGAGAAAAACTGTAAGAATGCTGAGGAAAAAAGGGCCTGCACTCAGTCTCAAACCGGCCATGAAATAAACAACGAGGAGGAAAAGCACTGGTAATACCAGGTCTAGTGGAAGATCACTTGTAGTTCTTGCCACAAAGTATGCACTTAGCCTGTACATATCCGTTGCTCGTTCCTTAGTTAGCATGGCTCTCTCTTGAGGAAATGTGAATATTGCAGTGAAGACAGGAAAGAATCCCCAAAACACAGCAATAAAGAAAAGCAGTCCTGCCTGCATTGAAGAATGAAGATGTTAGCTTACAATATGTTTATGCTTAGAACCATAGCATATACATTCAAATATGACAAATTTCTAAAATATTAGGATAATATTTATGTATGTATGTTGCATACTTTATGATAAATTTGATCAAATTTAGTAAATTAACAATTTTATTACAAAAATATTTCTTAAAACTAAGGAAATATTCCAATAAATTTTATAAAACATAAAAAATTATTACTAATAATAAAATAAAAGCAGGATATGTCCAGAATATAGATGCAACTGTATTATATATGTATTCATATCTGACATGAATATGACACGCTTGCGACAAATGTTTTTTTGTATATATGTGGATCAGAGCTTAGAACAAAACATATATATAACTATGTATGTACTCTTTTAAGGTTAGGGACTATGCATTTGTGCACTTGGCAGAAATTGGTTACCTGATCTTGGAGACCTTTTGGGTTGTTAGCATCTGATTGCCACCATAGTAGTCCTAAGATGACTGCAGTTGAAAGAACTTGGGTGATTCTCAACCAGCTAAAATAGTCATGCCTCCGTTCTTTGAATCCTCTAGAAAATAATATGGAAAATTGCTCAAACCAACTTGCTCCCCACTGTCTTCTGCAAGAACAAACCTTAGACTTCACTTCTTCATCAAGGGGGATAGGAATCATTAACTTTGTCTTCTCCGTTTTGGCAACTTGAGTCTCATATGCCTCCACCAGATACTGCTTAATTTCAAATGTAATCAGATTGGAAAATTTTGCTCGAGTGCGTGTTTAGTTCAGTTTATTTTGAAGAAATTATCGCTTATTTTTGCCAGCTTCATGGGACAGCATTTGAAAAATAAATTAGTCTCCAATTTAAGTGTTTTCAAGCATGCACTAAATAATGTCAAAATTAATAATGAGAAATTACCTCTTGTACAGCTGCAGCTGATGGTTTCCCGTTTCGTGTTTCAGCTTCAGCATTTTCCATCTGCACTTCATCATTTAACTCTGATGGGACAGAAATATCATTTATGTTTCCATTTGCAAGGTCTAATAAAAACTCTGCTGGGTTCATAGCAATAAGAGGTGTGCACCCTATAAACTGGAAGTAGTCCATTGCTTCAGATGCTTTTCCAAAGTAAAGCAAGTTCCCTTTTCCTAGAAGGGTCAACTTATCAAATTTATGAAAGAGTCTGCTTGATGGTTGATGGATTGTTGTCACCACGGTTTTACCAGCCTGATATAAGACTAGAAAGTTAGTGATAAAGGTTTGAATGATCATGAAAATATCTAGCTGGTTATTATCAAAGCATGCATACAAGTAAATATGCCACACTTAAGGCCTAAAGGTGTAAAATTTAGCAAGTTTAGAGATATTGAAATGTGATATAATTTTTTTTTTCTTGCATTGAATGTGATGTTTTTAACAGAAACTTTGACATTTGTTTAAATTGGGGAGGTAGGATTATATATAGTTTTCAATCTCATTGAACTGAAGGGGGAGAAAGAGAACAAGTACCCCTGCTATGTCTTGTAGCATCTGAACTATCCTCAAGGCTGTTGTAGAATCCAAACCAGAAGTTGGTTCATCAAGAAGCAGAAGAGAAGGGTTGATTATGATCTCATTGCCAATACAAACTCTCTTCCTCTCTCCACCAGATACTCCTCGAACAAAGGAACCTCCTATCATAGTGTCTTGGCACCTATTTTCATAAACCCAAATTATACTGTGTGGCTTTTATAATTAATATGTATAAAATTTATCACTCACAAGGGTTCACAAAACCCATATTCAATTGATCCTTAAGCTATGGATTATGACTTTTATGCTCATAATAACTGTGATGCTAATTGTCATAGATGGAAGCATTTACCTCTCCAATCCCAGCTCTTCGATGACATCTAAAGCTCGTTTTTCCTTTTGCTCTTTAGTTAATGTATGTGGCAACTTTAGGCGGGCTGCATAAGTCAATGTTTCTCTTACAGTAAGGTGAGGAAACAGAACATCATCTTGTGTCACAAATCCAATCCTGCCAAATGCATGCTTTGTGTAAGTCTCTGATTCACACATACTTAAATTGGCAACGTATTCATGTCGTATCTAAATCGGATTTTCAATATATGTATCATACAAACTGTCTTGGTTTCAAGAGTTGATTGCATTATCTTTAAATCTTTTAATATACATTTTTTCTCAGATAATTAATAAAGAGATTAATAGCATAGTTTAAATATAATATTTTTATTTAAATTTAATCATAATTAAATTTTTCAAAAGATTAAAAAGATAATGATGGCAAACTAATAATACAATAAAAATAACAAATAAAATATAATGAATTTATTAAAAATATACTTTACTCCTATTTTGCCACAAGAGAGGGTAAATATATTTTACTTAATTTATTTTTACCATATTCGTATCGTGGTTTTTTTTTTAAAATTAATGTATTTACATATATCGCAACGTAATCGATGTTCATATCCGTATGTGTGATGTAAGTATGGTATGAACTGATCAGATAACTTTTCACATAGTCTGAGATAAATATAAGGACCATCAGAGGTAATAATAATAATAATATCAGACGAAGCTACTGATTTAGTTTTTCAAAACTGTGGGGCTACCACACCATTACCACAGCTTCCATCTCACTGATTCTTGATTGAAAAAACAACTTTAAACATACAAAACTCAGCAAGCTTTCCTGATACATTTATAATCTTCGACTTGTTAATAATTCAATCTGTGCGTTTTAAGTGGCTTCTCAAGTTCCAATGCTGATTTCGTTGTTGTGGATTGACTTGGAAAAAGGGTACTATAAGCTAGTCAATCGTTGGAATTTTACCTGCTCTTTAGAAACTTGGAATAAGGTTGGTCATTGTAAGTGATAGAGCCACCAATCATGGGCTGGCTTAACCTTCCTCCAAGCAGATTTAACAAAGATGTCTTTCCACTTCCCGAGGGACCCATCAATGCCAAAACTTCTCCTGGATTTACAGAACCAGTGATCCCCTTCAAGATATTCTTCTCCTCAGTTGTGGTCATGCCTTTGATCACTACCTTGTAGTTCACATCTTTGAACTGCAGATTCCACAATAAGAATTTATCTCATTTAGTGGGATCCATCACAAACACATATATAGTAAAGCTTAAAATAAATCACAAAAGTAAGCTCAATTAATGCACAAAGGCATTTTTTTCTTTGAAAATTGTGTCTAACTATTTATACTCCATACCCTTCTTTCTCAGCAAAACCATGTTATAAAGCCTCACATATAGCTAAAGCCTCAAAGCCAGATGGGTTCCAAGCTTGAAGCTATGTCTTTCAAGCGTATGAGAAATAAAACTAATGTGCTGATGCCCTGTTGGAGGCATCAAAAAGCAATTTTAGTACCCAGTTAGGCATATGCTGTATCTAATGTACTACTAATAATTTATCTGGCTAACTGGAAAGAAGGGGTAGTCTTGTACACATGGAATGAAACTTTGTACAAGACTGAACCTGACCATGCTAAATTGCTAGCCATGTTATATTGGTGGCGTTGATCGCTAAATGAAGCTTCACCGTTGCCTGCCCAAATACATAGCACTAAATCAAACTCATACTATATTGAAGGTTTGAACAGTACCGGTAGTGGTAGGTGCAGGCCATGAATGAAGAGTAACATAATTTTTGAGATATAAAATGAATATTATTACCTTCAGATATATCGGTGGAGTAGGTTCCGTTTGAAACTTTGGCTTATGAGTTCCGGCTTCAATATCCTCCGCTGCAATATACATGTTAACCCTTTTTATATAACTCACAAGGTGGGAAAAAGAAGCTCCTTCATGCAGAAGCACCAGACAGTTAGTACGTATCTTCACTTAGTGCAATTATGTACTATAAATTAAAGTGCATGTTATCATGTCTATGTGATCCTTAAACAAACACGCCGTAGTGTTTGCTTAATTAGCAGGACACATATCTAAATGTAATTGATGTTTTCTTAAAACCTAGCTGCACATAGATGGATTTTTAAGCTACAGAAGGATCATGACATTTGGACTTGTTGATTTCTTAATTTAAAGGTATACAGAACAAGTCACGAAAGTCCAAGTGATAAAACATTGATCATTACATTTGACAAAGTAAGTCAAGCTAATTCCACAAGCTGTGAATAAAAGTCAAGCTAACTTTAATGTAAGGGCCCGAGAATGAAATAATGTGTTTCTTCCACAGGGGAAAGGAAGATTGGATCCAAGCGGGACTCGGGAATAGTCTACAAAATGGGTCACCCCCTCCTCTCCCCCTTCGATGGCAATGTGGGATGTCAGATAGTTAACCATTTTTGAAGAATATACATCAAGTGAATCTAAGCCAATAAAATAGTTATGTATTAATATGCATAATTAATATTTGTTTAATACAAAATTGATTAAATATTAGCAATTTATCGGCATAGTTCCCTGAGTAAAAAAACATTGGTGCAAGGGTTTAACATATCATTGATTATTATTGAACAACTGTTATGTGTTTTTTTTATATATTACAGGATCTGAAGTGATGAAGTCATACTCAAGCAAATAAAACAGTACCATGAATCGCACGTTAGGGACCGAGCATGCATGGTGCCATATAATTAATTGGAACGATGTTACTAAATAGGTGTTTGGCTACGGGGGACCATATATACATAGACTTAGGTATACGAGGGGGACCAACTGTGAGTGATCACTTATTTTTTGGACCGTTAATCACGGGTTTGTAGTTAGAGGTTGTTCGTTGGATTGGACCTGACTAGGACACCCGCACGTAACTGAATGCAGATGACCCTAAGACTTCCATACAATCATACAAAGAATCAACCTACGAGAGTGACATTTAATTAATGATATTTTAACTAAAGTTTTGAATTTTCCACACCTATTTTGTTTACATCATTCTCACATTAATATGGGTGTGTTTTTTTTTCTTACATTATTCGTTATGTTTATTACTTTTTTTTCTTTCTTTTTAGTTTTTATAATATATACACCATCTTAAATGTGAAATGATCATTTTTCTTTTAAGTACTGTGAGAAGCATAAGATAGAAAGAGATGAAAGAAAATAAAGGTTTCATGGGTGTTTAAACTGTATAACATGGACTATTATTATTATTATTATAAAATTTCAAATAACATAACTCAATGTTTTATAACAACGTTTATCATCAAATATACGCATATATAGACACACACATTCTATATCAGCGTCAATTTTGCATTACAGCTTTTAAACACATTTAATTATTTCATGTTGCTGGAGGTTAATTTTTAGTTTAATTGATCAAATCTCTTGGGCATTATACATAAGGAAAACAAAAATATTTGAGATAAAACGTGTTCTGATCTGGGTTTGGCTGAATAAAAATTTAAGTTGAAATGTGAAGTTAATATTGTGTTGCGTCTTTGAGACGAAAGAAAACGCTCTTTCAATCATTGGGATGGACCAATTGGCTTCACATCACCAATGTCCTGCCAAATTATATGAATCATTCATACGTAGCTCGAGTATGGGTACTTTCCTGTGTCTGTTTAATGAATTTAATTAAGTTCAACGTCTTGGTACTTGACCGTATAAAAAAATTATATTCATATTCAGTGATATTATTGCCATGTTTTTAATAACTCACATATAAATAACGATAAAAAATAATTTACACTTGTCTTTTGTGAATTTAGTATTTCATGTAATTATTATTAAAATTAATATCATAATTATTGACGTGGTCAAACCAATTATATGTTAATAAAGAATCAAAATTAAACTCTTGATCATTTATTTGTTTAAAACAGTGTAAGCTTATGTTTGAAAAAAAAAGTATAAGATATGACTCAAATTGAAAAGCAATGTTACTTCATTTGTTTAGTCCTCACACGAAGGTTACTCTTCGGTATGCATTAATTTGTGTTATGATTTGTTGAAAAGAAAAACAAATAATCACCCACATATTGAATGTTATCATCAACATGTATACTAGAGCAAGCCTTATTCCCAACATATTTTGTGGTTACCTAATGACACACGAGAGACAGTTTCTAAAGCATTCCTAACCGTTTTTTTGTTCTTGAAAGGACTGAAATTAATCTCAAACAACTCGTACCGTATCAAACTCGTGAACATCTTAGAAAGGGTATGATAGCCTTTCACCTATTGGGCAAAACTTCCTCTTTCATCTTCTCTTTCTAGGAAAAAGAAATACAATAATCCTAATTTGACTGCACCTCACATTGAAAATCCACTAATGTTTTCACAAAAGTGGATGTCGCTAGTTATTAGATTATATTATAATAAATGAACAGATTTTAGTTTAAAGGAGTGAGCTATTAACAACTACATACTTGTGGCATGAGATTATTGACATACATAAAAAAAAATGTGTATCTTTGAAATTACAGAAGAATTAATTAACTTACGGATATCTTCATCACTGAAGGGTTTGGTGTCAGCTATTTCATCAGGAGGCACAGTGAAGCCAGTGAAGGAGAATGAGAGGCCCAAGCTGGCACTGGAAGCTCGGCTAAGAGCCGCGCCGCTGCTCACCTCATCCAGCTCAAGCTTCAACTGAGCGCTCCTAGCCTTTCTTATGTGCGTGTTTTTGCCACCGCAGCGACTCGGTGACGCCGCCATCATCCTCCGGCTTGATTTCCTTGATAGGGTTCCACCACCCTCCGCCACTCCTATTGATTCACTAGATGGCGGCGACTTTAAAGCCGCCGCCATCGACTCCACCAGTTGATCCGATTTCGTTCTCGCTAAGCTAGATGTAGTTGCATTCTCCATGCTCACGATCACCCACTGGCCATTTTATCCGTTAATTAAAAAACGAATAAAATTAACACTTCACATAATTTAATTTAATGAAAAAATAACAGAATTTATTAGTCATAACATAAAGTAATTGTATCACCAGCATACTTATTATTAATATACTGCATCTTTATGTTCATTGATACTACAAATTTAAAGCATATTTAGCTAAGTAGTAGAGTGGAAGAGATCATAGACTCTTCATTTTGTACTCCAAATAAATTAAAGAACTAAACTAAATGAATCATATAAAAAGTTATAATAGGAATTTAGCGTAACTGAAGATTGTGATAAGATGATTGAGTTTACTTACCGTTTTTCTAGAAAAGGAATAACGACCAAAGCAGAATCAGAAGACAATAGCGTGAGAAGAAATTCGCGGGACATAGGTTTTCATGTGGAGCACTCACCCTTTTATAAAGGCCAGTAACTAAGAGGCGTAACGAAATTACCAAGCTACCCTTCTACTTCCTGGCTAATTAATATGAGTTGCTCATATAATTGCATCTGTTTGACAACTTAAGCACTGCATTTGTGACATATGTAATATATGTTTATCGCATAAGATATCCTTGACCTTGCATCAATTAATGCATGGCGAGCCCGGGGCATCTCAGCCGTACACGTATTAGAATATTTTCTCGTTTTCTTTGAATTTATTCGGAGAGTTTGGACACATTGAGAGTGTCTCTCAACTGGTTGGAGTCTTGACGTCATGCATGTCTGCGAGAAAGCTTTTGGTATTAATGAAGGTTTAACCTTATACGGGGATGGCTTTTCATTGCTGACGTGTCTTGGGATATGTAAGACCTGATTCAATCCTTTAATTCGAATAAATTGTGACAAAAAATGACAATCTTAATTGAATTGACGATCTTAATTTAAAATTCTACTCTTATTTTAACTAATTAATAAAATTTTATTTGTTTATTGAAAAAACATATTAACAAAAATAAAAACTAAAATAATCAATCCAACCTAAATTAGAAAATATCATGTTGAATTAATTTGAATTTAATATTATTTTTAGATCATTTCAAATCATGCTATTTAATATGCATGTACGCTAATGATCAGTGTACTTAATACAGACTATTGCCATGTAGACTGATAAAGTTATGTTGAGTTTGGAGAGGCCTCTGCATGTGTACAAGGTTAAGGTCTTGCTCGAGATTACCTGCTCAAGAGGAAAGTTAGAATTTTGGAACTTTGCATATCAAAAAAGGTGTACGTTTTTTTGTTCTAAGTTTGAGAATATTCATCTTTTTTGTAAGTTAATTATCTGTGAGAATTGTTTTAATTTCATTATTCAGAATAGTACAGCTATTTATGGACGAAATGATAAATGAGAGAAGCTGTCATGAATTAATCGTCGTCCTTTTCCATCCCTTGCATATTTTCCACAACTTAAGTTGCAATTTAATTTGTGAATATTGTGCTTGGTTTCTCGAAATTTCTTTGAAACTAGCTTAGATACATTGGTATATAATTTGCACAACTTAAAAATTGTTGCTATATCTTCATGAAAATTATTCGTTAACCATCTCAAAAATTTTAACTGTGCAATAAAGGAAGGCAAATGACTTTGTTACCTCTTTTAACACATTAGTTTACTCGATCCCAGTTTCGTTACATCTCTCAACAGGTCATTTCACGGGGGAAAAAAAAAGCCTTTTGATTTTGAAGTTATAAATTCAGTTATATTTGTTTGAACTCAATTTCTTTTTTAAAAAGATCGACAATGATCCAATTTTAGGCTACTTGAATACAGACTTTAAATATTATCTCATGAACAATTTCGAAAGTTGGAGTTTTTGAATGACAAAAATCCTCGCATTCACGGACAATTCATGAGGATTAACCACTACTGATGAATGGTTATTTCATAAAGGAATGTGGGGGCGCATTCGTTGACATTTCATGCATTCTGAAAAGAGATAAAAAAAATTACTTTTTTTAGTTTTTCATAATAAATTATTTCTTTTAGTGAGTTAAAAATAATGATAAAAATCATCAAACACATGGATCAGGAGCAGTTTAATTTTCGTAATAGATTTGTTTATTAAAAGCTAAAAAAAATGTTTGACTGCATTTATCGTACAGTGGCTTTCGATCGTTATCTGTGGTTTGGAATTTGGTGAAGAGAACACGGTTTCTGCGTTGTATAAAACGGGTCCTTCTCATGCAGTAATAGTTAGGACGATAGAGGGATTTGTGGCGAGGATAAGTGGTCACAGTAGTGAATAGCTGTGCAGAGAAAGGTGTGGACAAAAAGAGTGTCCCAAAAGGACTTGTTTGGTGGTTCCTAACGATAAGGAGCTGTCCATATCTTTTTCTGGTGGATCGTTGGTCGCTCTCCTTTCTTCACAACTCGCCACGTAATTACTGCACTTGTGCATTTCATTAATCCCACTATTTTTTCTTTTTCTTTTTCTATCAGATTATAATTAGTATCTGCTTACTTGAATGGATAACAACCATCTTTCAATCCAGTATTCTATTAATGCACTGTGTACACACTCATTCCAAATAGTGTTCCAAATTCCAATTGGCAAACTTGCACGTGACATCAACATGCCTTTCTCTTCTCAGCAATTAATTTTTGAGGATGCAAAGATTAAATTATATGTTTCAAATACAAAGATACTGTAAACTACATATGTGCTTCATAAATGCTCGAGTTGAATTGTTTTGATGTGATGCGCGAAATATGACCAGCAAAACCTTTCAGAACTTTAATTGAAATCATTCATTATTATTATAATTAAATTGTGAATTATTAGTTTTTTTTCGTATATCCTACGTATAAAATTAAATTTATTGATAACTATAACATATCCATGCTAATAATCTTTGACCATAATTTATACATGGAATTGATACACGATACATTCTTTCTTTCTTTTTTCTTATAAACCTAGCACAAGCATGGTTCTATTAGTTTATTTGCATCTCTTTCTTGGATTGGGATCCTCTCCAACAAAACAAATATTAATATTTGCTGTGTCTAATAACGATCCAAATAAACAAAACATTAGAATGTAAAATCCAAAATAGATGTGAGCCCTTACAGTACCCACCTCCCAACCTCTGCGTTGCCCGTTGTCATCTTCGCACCTTGAAGCATGTTAATGGCACCTACTGACGTTAAATGTGATACCATTACTCATGTTTTAAGAGCATTTTAGCAGTTCTTAATCTGTATAGATTATTAAAATTGGTAAATACTAAGTGGAGTATGAAAATGGCATAAAGACAATTGGTTGTTGGTAGGTTTTGCTCTTGTCAATAACCTAGTTCCAAATATGTAGATTTTGATTTTAATCTCTCATTCAATAGATTTATCCAACAGTCATCATTTAATAAACCAACAATTTTTGTTTGCAGCTATAAAACTGTTGTGTAGCTTTAGGATATGTATTATCAGTATAAACTTATAAAACATATATTAATAAAATTTAATACTAGATAGATAAAAATTAAGGTCATATGTACTTTCAATGAAGAGACTAACTAGTTATAAAAAGTATCATAAGATGATGCCTTTATCTCAGTGTCATTTATTTGCTTGAAATGACATTCATCCCAGATTTATTTTTTGGATCAACATTTAAGTGATGGCAAATATAGAATAAAAAATAAAATAAAAAAGCAGAATAAACACTCCCTTTATATAGCCACACAGTTGATAAAACTTTAAAGCGAAAGGGGCGGTGCCCTAAGCGGGAGGGAAACTCAGGCGACAAGGACGTGATGATGACTTGGACAGTGTGTGTGAATAAGGTCCACTTACTCAGTGGACTTAATTATTTAAATACAAAATTAATATTTTTATAATCATAATTACGTCAAAGCAAAAATGCTGAGTAGAGCCGTCATCTCTCGCCGCGTGTGTTGCCGATGAGAGCCACACAGCAAATGTCAATGACACATGGCGTTTGAAGGGCCTTTGGTTCATCATTTTTGTTCCACGTGGATCACCTCCTATCACGTTTTTGATTCAATATCTTTATTCTTTTCAATCATTTTAGCCACTCTTATGTTGACACCCAGGATATGTAAATCAAAAGATTGTTATTCCTAGTCATCACCAGACATCACTGTCGTACTCAAGAAAAGAGAAGAAAGAGGAATATGCTTCACAATAAATTATTTACAAAAATATCAATTCATTTATTTTGTGACAGATAAACTATGATGAATTTCATTTCTTAAATTCATTAAGTTTGATTCAAAAAGAATAAACTTTAACATGGATTGTCAAATTCAAAATAAGCTAAATTGATCTATATTTCAACTTTAAAAATATTTCATACAAATAAATAGCATTATTTGTAAGATACAATGCAAACCATTTTTCACATACTACTCAAGACCATAACACAAAATTTTATAACAGTAATATGACAGTTTTTATATTTTTAAAAATTTTAATATATACACTGTTTAAATTTATATATTTGTTTAAATATTAATACTCTAATTTTAAAATAATTATATTTAGATTTAGACATGACAATTAATTTTAAATTAATAAAAAATATTCTAAAAATAAATACATTACCTTTATTTTAAAAAATATATATTAATCAATAAAAATACAAAATTATTTTAATAAATATCATTTTCATACATTTTTAAATTTATAACAAGAATATCATTTTTAATTTTTAAAATCTTCAATTTATGAAAAATTTAAAATGTTTGTCTCTAAAAACAAGTATATTTATTATATCTATGAATATCATATTACATTTTTTTTTATCTTCAATTTATGAATTTTTCATTTTTCTCAAATTAGAGGGAAAAAAGGTAAGCATAAGTAATTAAATGAGTTATATTTAATTGGCTTAATTATGTTTTTGATCTCTAAAGCTTTGTTTGGGAGTTAGATTTGAGAGGAAAAGGGAGGGGAAGGGGAGGGTTAGAGACATTTAATTTATATTTTGGAGTTAATTATTTTGGAGGGGAAGGTTTAGGGAGTTTTTTTAAACCCCTTAAAACCCTCTTAATCTTAATTTTACAAGTTCCCCTGTTCTAGGAGTTTTTTAAAATAAAATTGTGATTGACTAATTTACCCTTCAATTTTGTTTCCTTTCTCACGATTAGGGTTACTCTTTCACTCTATCTTTTGGGCCCTCAATACACTATCTGCTCTATATCTCTTTCACTCTCCGCTCTTTACTTTGTATCTCTCGCTCTTTGTTTTCTGCTCTCTATCTCTCTCTCTATTCTTGGTACTCTTTGTTCTCTGCTCTTCGCTCTCTCGCTCCCATCTCTATCTCTGGTCTCACTCTACAAGGTAATTTGTTATTCTCAACCAAACCAGTATGAGAAGACATGGTGTTGCCATTTGTTTTGCAGTAAATAGAATTGA